GAATTGTCATTAAATTAAGCAGTAAGTGAAGATGACCTGTATACAACATGTGTATGTATCATTAAGAAGGAAACAGTGACTCTTCCCAGCTGTAGTTTGGGAGAAAAAGCGTTGGAACTGCTGCATCCTGACTGGTTCAAAGAAATGGAGCAACCAGCAAACAGATTGATATGCTAGTAGTCTCAAGAATCAGAAGGCCTAGTTAAGCCTACTATTTTAACAATTGGTTCATGAAAGTGATTAACAGTCATTCATTAGTGAATTTTTTTCTTTTACTTCCCCATCCCCAATAGTGACAAAGTAAAATGAAATACTCTTCAGAACCAAAAGGCCAAATTCCAATCTTTTTTTCAAAAAGATTGGGAAGAATGGGAGGCCAAACAAACTCATGGCCCATAAAGATACTTACATTATCACATGAAAAGCACAAAAAAGCTATTTATTTATTTATGAGACTTATATACCGCTTTAAGTGCAAGCACTCTCTAAGCGGTATACACCAGTAAGCAATGTATGTATGTATGTATGTATGTATGTATGTATGTGTGTGTGTGTGTATATATATATATATATATATATATTTACATTGCCCCCAACAATTTTACCTACCTCGGAAGGATGGAAGGCTGAGTCAACCTTGAGCCGGTGAGATTTGAACCACTGACCTGTTGAACACAGTCAGCTAAAGTGGCCTGCAGTACTGCACTCTAACTGCTGCGCCACCTCGGCTCCTTATTTGAAGAAATCTCATCAAGAACATTAACAAATCTTCAAACTGATAGCAAATTAAAAGATACAGTTATTGTAAGAGAAAATGTTTTTCTCTTGCAATCGATTTGCCATCCATTTGCAATCCAGAATCCATTTGTGCTGTTTGTTTTTCTTGTAGTTTTGATGTCATCTCTGAATAGTTTTTCCAAGGTTAAATTTGTGGCTGTCTACATTGTAAGACTTAGTTGTTAATTGTAAGTCTCAAAAAGAAATCAAAGAAAAAAAAGGAACAACTGGCAAATGTTCAAGAAGGAACTTGATGGAACTTGTGATTGATTTTCTATGGTATATTATAAATTTTATAATACATGCATAGATTTTTAAAAAATGGATAGCAGAAAGTTTCTCTTGCTTTAGATGGGTTTTATTGAATAAAACAGAGAGCCAGAATAATGCAGAATCTAATTGATTTAGTAATTTATTCATTCATTTACAGTATTTGTAACCTCTTTAATTAAGATTGGTTGGAGATCAAAGCATGAACAAAACACAAAATAAAAAAATAAAAACGATAACTTTGATACATATCCAACATGAACAAATACAGGCAGGACAGAAGAAATTATGAAATGATGTTGTTTATACTGTTTTATGAAATATAAAGAATGAGAGGGCTTAATGTAACTTTTAAGATAATGTGCTCCAGAGCATGGTAGCTACTGTAGAAAAGGCTTAGTCCCTTAACTACACTAGTATGCTACACAGGTTTTCAGATTCAATTTTGACCAGGCAGTGCTTGATTTGGAGTAGTCTATTACTTCAACTGCCATGATATTTTTCCATGAGAACATCTTAGAGTTATATTTAATTTTTCATAAAAACAAATCTACATTTTTACAGAGAATATGAAAGATGAAAGCATAATTCTATAAAGTGCTTTCATGCAATAGCTAGCACATTGAAATTGGCCCAAAGCACCGCAGCATCCAGTGCAAATACTTTAAAATAAATCTTATTCTGCGGTGGTAAGAGTTGCCCCACCAATACTTGGCTGCCACATTCTGGACTAGTAGAACTTCCATGTCATCTGCAAAAGCAGCCTTGCAGTAGACCAATTGTGTAGTGTGTCAAGCCCCGCAGGCTTGCCACTAACTGGGAGAGGGATGGGCACGGGTGCATCCGGAGCGGCGGCGGAGGCTGGTGGTGACAGCTGGAGGCAGCGGTGGCGACAGCCCTCCCCCCTGTACCTGCCTGTTGATGGGGGGGAGCGTAGCGATGAGCCGGCTGGCTGGCGGTCGCGGACTTCTGGGTTTTGCCAGCTCAGCCGTTCGGCATTCCGCTGAACGTCTAAACCAGCAGTTCTCAACCTGTGGGTCGCGACCCCATTTGGGGTCGAACGACCATTTCACGGGGGTCGCCAAACAACGCAATCCGCCATGTTTTTCTGGGGCGGCGCATGGGAGCGGGGGCGCCGCCGCGCACGCGCGCCGCTTGCTTAATACCGGGGTTGCCGTATAAAAAGGTTGAGAACCACTGATCTAAACGGCGGGGACTTTGAAATCAGCCCTCGCTTTCTTTGCTGCCTTGCTGCCACCAACCAGAGCCCATGACAGGCTGACCACTGGGGGCAGGGGCCGGCTGCTGTGAACTGGGTGCTCATGATCATCGTTCCAGATGCTGGTTAGGTGGGTGGGGGTGGGTCTGGGCGGGATCCATCTATTTAGCATACTGGGAGGCGGTTGCTGCCAGCACTGACTTTTTTTTGCAACTGCTTTGAGCTCGCACGCCAGAGTGTACCCGAATAAACCTGGTTTCCTCTGAGCCCAACGTCCTGTTTTCTGTTGGGCTTAGGTCTGTGGTTGGGACCTTTGACAGAGTGACTAAGGTGTAAGTTACTGTTGCCAGACTTAGTCTTAGGAGGATCATAAGTACTACATCAGCCAAAGTTGGAGTAAGCCCCCCCCTTACTATTTCCAAATAGAACATTTCTGCCATCCTGTGACATGATCCCCCAGAAATACACCCTGTACTGTATTTTGATAAGTGCAGAGTGTAAATTGTCTTTACAAAAAGAAGCTAAGGCAGAGATCCCCAACCTTTTGGGCACCAGGGACCAGTTCCGTGGAGAGAGGTTTTTCCGTGGACCGGAGGGTACATGATTTTGTGTGCTGCCTTCATCCCATGGATGGGGCTTTCCTTGTTTATGCAGATCGGTACTGGTCCACAGAATGGGGGTTGGGGATCCCTGAGCCAAGGAATCCAGATTTCTTCTGTAGAAAGAGAAGGTGAAAAGGGGGCTGCTGTATTGGTTGTTGAAGTCAGATTCCAGGATGAGGTAAGTTTACCAAAGCATTCCAGGGCAGCCTAAGAGAAGATAGTTAAAGAAAGAATTTGTATGTGATGGATAAATCAACTCTGTGCTGATGTCCTTACTGGCAAATATACATGACTCCTGCTGTAGGAGCAGGTGGCAGCCATACCTAGGAAGGCCTTTGCTGAACTTTGTACGCAAGTTGTACCCTTGCGTAATTTTGGAGTCTTTTCTCGTCATTTATGTCTTGGTTATCTGCCATTTGGACTACTTGAGATACCTTTGAGAAGTATCTGGAAACTGCTGCTTTTATTCCCCACAGCAACAAGCATATGAGGTGGGCTGAAAGAGAACAACAGGCTGAAAGTCACCTAGGTAGAAAGCAGGGCTTGAACTCACAGTCTCCCGCTTTCTAGCCTAGCACCTTTACTATTAGACCAAACTGGTTCTCAATTTAATACAATCATCTTTGACTCATCTGTTCCTCCACAGTTTCTTAATAATGACTTCTGGTATAACAAGAAGTAGACAATAGTAGGTTTTTCTCAAACAACATATCATACTCTCTGCTTTGTCTCATTCAACAAATTCCTACCTTCTCATAAATTTCAGCCACAACTGGATGGCCAAAGTCTTGAAGTTTAGCGGCAATTCCAGCTAGCTTTGTTATTGTGCTCTTTCCATTGCCGTGTGAATGTGTAATGGTGGTTATGACCCATTTTCCTGATTTTCTATAACTGCTCTTGCAATTTGCATGTAATTCACTTCTGTATTGATCACTGTTTGGCGATACCATGTTCTCAATGGCTCACATCGAGTGCACAGATGAGTCAGTTCTTTCAAACTTCTCTCAATATCTTTAATTTCTCCATTTTCCCAGTACTTTCTGCTTTGTTTCCTCTCAATTTCTATTATAGTCATCATTTACTAAGTAAAGTAACATTCCCTGTTAAAAATACATTAAAATGGAAATAAATATTATAAAGTTGTATCTCAGATCCAGATAACAATAATGTTCTCTCAGTATTTATAAGATTTTGGCTGAGGGGCAATTCTTCAAAACAAGTTGATTTAAGAAGATGGCTCCCACAGAGCATTACAATGAAAGGTGTGTTTATTACATAAACCATCATTTAACTATTCACAGTTACAGTATCACATCCATATATATCTAGGCATGTTTGGGTTATTTGTAAGCAAGGTGAATCATATACTAACATTGTTTCATCCCTGTCACTTTACCTGGAAATTTCCCACTTGGCACCAGAATATTACACATCTCTACTTAACCTGCCAAATCAGACTGATCTTAAGCTAAATCAACATTTTTGGTTTTGAGAACAAGGAGAAGTTGATAGATAAAATTATTTCATTTTTTTTTTCAGAATCCCACATGCAGTTATAGTTGCCTACTTGTTATCCATTTGTTAGTGTGATTTGCTGTTCTGGATGTGACTTAGCAGCTGATTTATAGTGCTTAGAACTAATTTTATCTTCTTGCTCACTTGGAGGAAGCATGCCTATGAGATTTTCTTCCTCCAAAAATGTTGGAGTTGCGGTATGTCTGTGTGTGTGTGTGTGTGTGCACGCGCATGCGCCAACATTAGAGCAGTTTAAACATTAAGTAAATCTTGTAAACTGTTATTCTCCCTCCCCCCATACAAAATGTTATACCTCTGTATTATTAGTTTAGTGCCTATGTTAAATTTGGATTACACCATTTTGTTCAAGGTTTTTTTCTTTTTTCTTTTAGGAAATAAAGCATACTGAAAATTTGTTCAAGTTTTATCTAAAATTCTGCACTTTAGATAAAACTAGTGTTACTGTTTAAAAATTGTATTGAAATCTGTTGACTTACATGTTAAGATTTGAAACAGAACTTTTTACTGTTCTTTAAAACTAGCATTTATAAAAACATAATATATTAAATATGATGTAAGGGTATCAAGGCTGTCTCTCCTGATCTTCTGTCTCCCAGTCTGCCAATAAGAAGCCTCGAAAGACTCCAGGAGAGAAGTTTCGCTCTGAAACTGGAATCAGAGGAACAGGCCGAGGAAGAGCTAATGGCCATCCTCAGCAGAATGGAGAAGGGGATCCTATTACTTTGTTTGATGTTGTGAAGATGGGCAAAAGTGCTATGCAGGTAAAATCATTACTGCCTGTGGGAACTTGTGTTAACTGTATTTTATAACCTACAAATTTAATGCTAAGTTGTATGCAAAAAAATTCAACAAATGAACAAGCTATAAATGTCAGATGAAAATTTGAATGGTATGATAAAACTCAGCATCTGTATGCCTGTGTGCATGCATACACATGTGTGTTACCTTGAACAAAGTGATCGGCTAAAGGATCAAAATGGCTTTCATTCTTTTGAATTTTTTTTCTTGTCATCTTGATTGGTAATTTCATTGAATATGTTTTGTTCCTACATGGAAAAATTGGCTGGATAGTTGACAGAAATGCTTCTTACTATTGTTTTAGTAGAATGAAACCAGCACTCCTGTTTTACCAAAAGCTTGTGTGATGAAATGAGTGAGATTATGAATGAAACAAATTTGACAGCATAGGTCTGACTGAATATAATTAGTCAAGTGAGCCTATTTGCAATCTTACTGTGGAGTGCTAATGGTGGCCAAGAGATTGTTATTTTTTATCACTATATCTGCAGAGTTGTCCAACTGAGCTTTTTATGTTTTCAAAAGTATGTTATTTTCTGACTCCAAGAAAATATGGACCACTCAATAGCCAACTACAACTGATTTGTAGGTTTTATCTATTCCTTAATTAATTCACCTGCATACCATAATTAATTCACTTTCTATAAAAGTACTTTTAACTGAAAGCATGATCTTAAAAAAAGTTGCAGTTACCTATGGCAAAGGAAGGTCTATATGGAATGAAATGAGCCATTTAGTAAAACAAATCCACTACCACAAAATGGATGTAAATCCCTGAAAATGGGAAACATGGGTGATAAAATCTAGTGAAATAGAATCCCGTGATACAATTGGAGAAGCAAGCCACCAGTTTTCCCTGAACATTCTTGACCTGGCAACATATATGACAACATGAAGCATCTTTCATTACATAGATACAATACCTTTCCCCTTAAAGGAAGGGGAACAGATAAATGTTCATTGTGGAACAACCACCCATCATTTATACAGAAAGATGACGACTCCGTGATCTCACTGAAGTTCATCCATCTGAGCCTTGACATTTGAATCCTGGTGTTTGCACTCTAATTTGATACAACAGATCTACAACCTGTCTCCCTGCCCTTAAGTCTTTTGGAGAATGTAACTCTGGGGAGTACACAGTTGCTTGGCTGCAGGATTATATAGGGAGGGATAAGTATGGAAATTGATAGTTTATATTATAGTGCATCTATTAATTTATTTGGTGAGGCAGGCATATAAATGATATAAAAACTGAAATGGAAGACCAATTGTGCCCACCTGATCTAATGAGGTATTTTGCAAAGATTGTTTTTTGCAGAATTTCCAAATTCCTGCAATCTGTGCTGCCGCTGGTAGAACACAATTTTTATTGCAAGCAACTCTTTATTATCTTCCTTCTGTTCAGCTGGGAGAAGCAATTAGGAATACAATACACACAGCAGGAGATCTCTCTTGCTGCAAGGAGAACAGTTCCCATTGCAAAATCTGAGGCATCTGTTTGCATCATAAAAGGATAGCAGTGGTCCTATGTTTAAGAAACAACAGTGAATAGAAAAGGACTTTCGTTTCCTGAAACAATGCTGGTTCTTCGTTAGACTATTTGAACATGTGTTTTTTCTTCAAGACAAAAATCCTTGTGCCCTGTACAAGGGCACTTCAGTAGAGATGGAAATTAGGGATGAGCTTTTTATAAGAATTTGTGAAGCTCAGAAATGCTAGACATCCTTGATTTATAGGTGCTTTCTATGAAATCCATTTGTATTCTTTCTGTAGAAATCCAGTAAGAGACAAAATAAACTCATTTTTCCAACTTAGCAAAAAATCTGTTCATAGAGTCACTGTAACACATATTTGACAAGTCTTGTGCTGACATGGACCTTCTGAAAAAGATCAGTATGTACACAAATATTTACATATATCAGAAAATATTTCATACTTGAATCTGAAAAGGATCTTCCCACAATTAAGAAAAAAGGTATTACTTTGTATTAAAAATTGCCATATCTTGGTATCAAATGAAATTAAATATGCATGGCCTTCTTTCATTCTGATTTAATTGTAAGCAACTCTAATTTTGAAAATGAGTGCCTCCTGAAGCCAGCCAGCATATCTGAAAAGAAAGGCATTGGGGAATGATCTTTAATGGTTACATACACATTCCTTAAAGAATTATCCCTTAGTGATGAACAATATGGGTCTAAAAGCTGGGGATTTAGAAGGGCAAATAAATTTGTTCCTCAAAATTATCATCATAAATTCCTACAAAGTACCAAATTTTCAAGTGGACATGGACTCCTGGCTTCAAGTTGATTTTAACAGTTATACAGCCAATGAGGCTATGTGGTTGCTTCTCCTCCCCCAAAACATCAATAAAATTGGCATATTATCTGTAAGCAAGGAGATTTAGTGAGTTGATCAGGAAATGATGACCAGTGGGAGTAGAAATACTTGAAAATCCAATATGTATTAAGGAATTCTATAGTTAAACATGTTTAAAGTTGGAAAAATCTTGATTTGTTGTTAAAGTTGCTGACAATTTCCTATTGGTATTTTGGTTAAATTGTCCAATACAGCTTTTTAAAAAAATAAATGAAAACTGTCCAGTAATAAATGATTACCTTCAGTTATTGCAGTGCCCATTTGTCTACCCCCTTTTTTTCAGTGGATTCAAAACAACAGTAACCTTACTGTAATCTATCTATAACACACATGCTAGTCAATCCACTTCTGAAAGTCAGAAATTGATCCTGGACTTCTCTGAATTTCATGTTCTTCTTGAATACTTGAAGGGTGGTTGCTGACTGAAACAGGCCTTGGACTAAATGTTGTGTTAGTTGTATCATAGCATTGGATGGATTTCTTATTTGAGAGTTGTAAATCCATTTGCTGTTGATGTTGTAATGATACTTCAGTAAAGTGAGTGCTCCATAGAGTAGATGCCATTTTCACAATTAAAGGCAAGGTATGATACCCTACCAAATAGAAATAGTAGAGTGTTTACTTCTTTGAGTTAGACCAAAGAAAATGCAATACTAGAATGCTACTTTGTAGGGTAGTCTTTGATGTAAGACTGCTCATTCAGCAACTTACTTATTTATTTAGAACATGTATATAGTCCCCCATCTTCTAATGAACTCTGGCCAGCTTCCAATCAAACGTTAAAACGACATATTAAAACTATAAAAAACACATGAAAACATGAATTTTTGAAATAAAGATGGTACTGAACAAATGGTGGTCCTTTGAATGTTGGCCGTGCCAGTATCCTTGCAGTCATGTGATTATAACCTGGTTTCTTGGCAACTGATTTGCATTTAAAGTTGGTTCCAGTGCCCACTGATTTCCATTTAAAGTTGGTTCCAGTGCCCATCACATGAACACTATTTGTGAACTTCCCTGCCGGCTTCCCCAGATATTCAGTGGGGAAGATGGCAAGGAAGCTTATAAATCTCTGGTGTAAGTTTCCCTCACCTGTGCACCCTGCCCAGCCCCTCTGCACACTAGTCACTTGTGCACCACCACTACCCTCCCTAAGCCTTTCCTTGTGTCCTCCCCATTGATATAGCCTTGTATACCCGCTCTTAGTTTTGGCGCATCATCTCTCTGAGTCTTGTCATGCCTCATGTATCTTCCCTGAGTTTCATCATTCCTCCCCTGCCACCAATGCACCCTCCATAAGCTTTGCCATGACTCCCTCACACACACCTCTGCACACACTCTCTGAGCCTTACCACACCTCCCTCACATCCTTGGGCACTCCCACATACTCTCCCTATATCTTGGCACACTTCCTCACACATCTTCTCCTCACCTTTTCAAACCCCAGCATGCCTCCCTCATAGCCTCACACATGTCTACATATCATCCTTCGATCCTCACCTTGCCTCTCCAGCACTGGTCTACCTGGAAGGACTGACACCTAGCCACAAGATATTGCCAACTATCTGAAGCCTTTGATTAATTCAAGGGAGAATCTAGTATAGGTAGTTGTTGACCTTTGACCACAACTGGCATTCATTTCTAAATGATGCAGTTGTAAAGCAAAATGTCTTGTCACTGTGTCACTTAGTGACCTCCATTCTTCCACTCTCAGCTACCATTGTTAACTGAGATTTGTGTGTTGTTAAGCAGAGGGAGCCCCAGGTAAGGAGCATGAAGTGCTGGACGAAGATGAAAGAAGCTATGGGAGGCCGTTGCAAGCCGCATGAAGATTAGCACAATCCCACAGCTGCCCATGGAAGCCTCAGCTGCACCCAGTTGCTTAGTTTTTCTTCTGTTGCTCAAGAGGCGCACCTGGCTGTATACAAGGCAGTTGCTAGCTACACCAGGCCACCTCGCACCATTCTCTAAGCTGCGTACCCCATTCCTTGTCCAAATTACATGTCCCATTCTCAAGTTCCTACTGGAAACTTCTGATTTTTCTAAGGTCTTGAGAGAACAGGTGCACTAATTGAGAAGTAATGGGGCATGCATAGATTGGAGGATTGAAGGGGACATAGGAGGGTGGGGAGAGTTGTAGTGCCCCCATAGTTGTTAGTGTGGATGGGCTGCCAAGGGCCTGAATTTTGATCATGTGAGTGGGGAGGGGTGCTGCAGTGGCTTAAGGTATGGGTCAGAAGTCCATTATTAGGCACTGTCTTAAATATGAATTGTTGCTGAATGAATGGTTGTAAGTCGAGGACTGCCTAAATTGTAAGGCACTTAAAATCTAATATAGGTTAGGTACAAATAGTCCTTGACTTACAACCAGGGTTGAATCCCAAATTATGATTGTAAGTCGAGTTATCACGTGACCTGACTTGACACTACAGCTGCATCCTGGCTTTCCCAGGTGTGGTTGTTAAGTGACTGCACAGGTCATTAAATCAGGATACAAAGTGCTTGGGGGGAGAACCCTGGGAAGCCTTCCACCCAGCTGGGTCTGAAAAGGAGGCAGGCAAACAGCAAAAGGTTTTACAAAGCAGAAAACAGCCCAGCAGGGGGAAGACCCCAGCTAGATTAGAACCAAGTGCTTCAATGCAATACAGAAGAGGCTCCAAGGCTTCCAAACAAGCCATGAGAAGCCTTGATTGTTTAAGTAAATTTAACTTGTTACATTTACTATACACACCTGGAAAGAGGGTGACAAAATTTGTTAAGTGACTTATCTTGATGAGTGACTGGCAGGCTGAAGAACAGAGAAAAAGAATATCCTGGGGATTTAACTTAAAAAGGAGGAGGATGAAGGAAGCAAAGAAAATCCTTCAGAGGATTGTTTGTGTGGAGTGCTGAAAAAAATATTTGGTAAAGACAGTGAGAGCTCAACTTTTTGCTGCCTATCTGAGTCCCTTTAGAACTCAGCTTCTGCTATGTCTACACATGCTGAGTCCTCATTGCCTTTGCAAAGTTTTCTTCCTTTTGGTTTCCTTCATTTCCAAAGCCTAACAAGAACTACGGGTAGGAGAGGCCTGCACTCTCTCGACTGCCAACTGGCATCATTCTTTTGCAAACACCATCAATGGATGGATCACTAAGCTTCCTCCCTAGTCAGTGCTAGTGTCTCCTCATCTTCAGGTTGCAAGGAGCTAAAATGTAAGTCGGCTCCCAGCTCCAGTAAGCCAGCTTCTCCCTTTTACTCCTTTGCCATTTGCTGACTCCTTTTAGGACCCAGCTTCTCCTGCAACACATGAGTAAAGTTTTAGGTTTGTTTGCCATTCAGCAAGGCAGGGCACAAATAGGCAAGGAAGATAGCCAGATGGGAGAATATGCAGCAGTCATAAGTGTGGGCAGGTTTCCAAGCATCCACATTTTGATCATATGTCTGCAGAGGCGCTGCAACAGCTGTAACTTGAAGCATAGATTATAAGTCCCTTTGTTTAGTGCTATAATTTCAAACGATCACTGAACAAATGATTGTAAATCAAGGACTATCTGTGCACTGATTTTTAAAAGAACCATTCACCTCTGTAAATTGTCATCTTTCTGAAACACATTGCTACAGAAGGCATTGAAGGTATTATTTTATGGCATTTATTTTCCTATTCAGGCAGGATTTTTCAGAAATTGTGGTAATAGACTCCTGTTTTACTCTTGGCTGTTAGTCTATGATATATTAATTTCATAAATCACAGGATGTGATGAAAATTGAGTGTTATTTATATATAGTATGATGAAGCATTGAATTCCGTCTTGAATATTTGACTGTTCTTTCTCTTTTATTGACAGTCCGTGGTAGATGACTGGATTGAATTGTATAAGCAAGACAGGGATATAGCACTACTGGATTTAATCAACTTCTTCATCCATTGTTCAGGATGCCGAGGTAAAAGGCATAAAAGTATTATAAAACTACTCTGGTTCTATGTATTCCTTACATATACAGTTTGAAATAAAAACTTGTTTACAATTAAAAAATGACTGCTGCAAGAGTCTAAAAGATAAATGTGCAATAAAAAATGAAATGACAGTATTTGAAGGACATTAGGGAAGAGAAACAGTCCTGTGATTTCATCCATATTTCCTAAAATGGAAAGACTTTTTTTTAAAGTAACATACTATTACTATTGCAGAAATTATGACCTAGTAATTTCTATTATAACATCCAACACATCCTTTCACATTCTATTTTGGAGCCATATTATTTTTCCTGATATGAAGGATACATTTGTTAGAACTAAATTATGTCATGACACGTCACATGACGTTGCGAGTTTGACACCCTTGCTCTAAATAATGAACCAGGATTAATCCAAATGTTAATTGATATTCAGTATTTCAAATGATAATTAGTAAAAGTTCTTCTTTTAATTCTGGAGATAGGGTTTTCTAAAAAAAAATAGTTATAAACAAGGCAAGATCAAAATAAAACCAAATATAGAAAATCTGTAATTTTTCTTTTACAAATTTTCCCATAAATTCATCTTAACCTCTTTACAGTGTCTTTGGCATTTCTGCTTTGTCATTTAAACTTGATCCTTAGTCTTTTCTGTTAGAAACAAATCAATGTATTTTTAGTTTCGTGGTCTTTTTCTTCACTTTCCCTTATTTCTGGTTTGTCTTGCTTCCTGTCTAATAACTGTCATAATATTACTTAATACAATATACGAAAATAGTTGTTTCACTGAAGTAAATTAGTATCACATGTAATTCTGCAAACTTACTTAGAAATTAATATTGTCTCTGGAAATGAGAAGTTGCAAAGAATACAGCTAACTGAAAAATTTGTTAAATGAGTTTTGCCCCATTTTATGACTTTTCTTGCCACATTTGTTAAGTGAATTACTGTAGTTGTTAAATTAGTAACATGGTTGTTAAGTGAATTTGGTTTTCCCAGTGACTTTGCTTGACAGAAGGTTGTAAAAGGGGATCAAATGACTCCAGGACACTGCAACCGTCATAAATGTGAGTCAGTTGCCAAGCATCTGACTTTTGATAAGACCGTGGGGATGCTGCAACGGTCGTGTGAAAATTTGTCATAAGTCACTTTTTTCAGTGCTGTTGTAACTTCAAATGATCACTAAGTGAACTGTTCTAACTCAAGGACTATCTGTAATCTACCCCCAGCATCTGATAGAACCAGAAGGAATTGGGGGTTATCCATTTTGTATGGCCCATCTGAGACCTTGGTTGCTGCTTGGAATAATAGGGTAGCTGAGACTTAGATTGGCTATCCTGTCATCCCCTGTGGCTTACAGAGGAGGGAGATGAAATGGGAGAAGAGACCTTGAGGGCCATTGGTGCTGAATGAACTCAACCAAGTGCAAGTTAGAGCTGCTATTGCCTACCTTGTGGCAGCGAGGGCGATGAAACACCAGTATTTCATCCTTAATGTATTCACAGTCCTGTATTGTGTGACATAGGCCCTCTGGATAAGGTGTCAAGCTAAGAACCCGGCTACCTTTAAGACCACTGCATGCCTTTAGCTTGCCTATAGATTGGGGAGGGAGGATGGAGAAACAGTGGAATCCACAGGTGGCTTATCATCCTGAGAGAGCAGAGAAGTGAAAGTTCTGTTTTGGCAAACAGAATGTTTCTCATAACAAACAGTTGTGTTTTGTTTGGACATTGTGACCTGTCCAGTCAGAGGAGAGAGGAAGAGAATGATTCATTTAATTAACCGCTTCCCACCTTTTTGTTAGAACTAGCTTTCGCTTTCTAACTTGCCGCTATAATTCAAACCATTAAAGACAACATTAGAGGACTTTTCAACTCCGTTGTGTTTCTTGGTGGGGATTTCAGGCAGAGGTTGACATTGGGGCATGAAGATCCTCTTACAGGGACATGCAGAAGAATTTGCATAACATCTGCTAGATAATGTCACTCAGATTCATTCCCAGTTGGACATTGGCTTTGTTGAGATATGGAAGAGATGCTTAGGGAAAATTCTTGCCTGATTATTTGGTTTGAACCTGTTGGACCTGAAGAAATGGACAGGATTCTTAGGACTGACTGCAGCCACCTGATTTTTAGATCCATGCTTCTGGCTAGTTAAAGTGGCCTGAGGAATGTTGTTTGAGTGGATTCTGGTAGTGGTTAATTCTTTTTTGAGTGATAGGGCTATTTCTTTGCCTTTTAAAGAGATTGTGGTTTGCCCCCTTAAAAAGCTTTCGCCTAGACCCCACTATATTGAACAAAGCTAAACTTATCCTTTTGGTGACTTTTAATACTATTGACCATGGTATCCTTTTGGATCAACTCAGAATTGAAGGTGGGTGGCACAGTGTTCGGCTGGTTCACCTCCTTTCCTCAAGGTTGATTCCAGTCAGAGATGATTGGGTAGGAGAGGTCCCGCCTTCAGCCTCTACTACTAGGTAGGGTGCTAAAAAGTTGGTGCTTTCTCCTTTCCTTTATATGAGCCTATTGGGTAAACTCTTTTGTTGCCTTGGGGTGAAGTACGCTGATGATATCCATTTGTATATCTTTACCCTTGGCAAATTAAGCAATGCCATGGCCGTCTTATCCTGGTACTTGGAGGCTGTATCATCTGATATTTTAGGTGTCTGCTACTCTCTTACCACTGTGTCATCTGCAAATTTATAATCCTATTTTCTTGCCCCTCGTCGAGATCATATAAAAATATGTTTAACAGCATGCAGCCTAAAATGGAACCATGCAATACTCTGTTTTCTATTGAATACTGAAGAGCCATTGGTGGACAGTCATTTGGTGGTGTAATTGTTCGGCCAACTCTGTCCATCTAATGGTAGTATGTTCCAGCCTACTAAAATCTCATGAAAACTGTCTAACACTTTTACTGAAATCAGGATATGTTACATCTATTACATTTTCATGGTCAACTAAACTGGTCATCCGTAAAAACGATCAGGTTGATCTAGCATCACTGTTTTTTCATCAGTTAGAAATTTTGTTCACAAAAGTATTTTTTAATAATTTGTTACAGAATTTTGACACTTAGTACTGCTTCCTTCTATCAGCTGTTTCAATCCTACCAGGATTATCCTACTTCAGTTAAACTATACTACTTTTCATCTTTTTTCCCCCTGTTGATAATAAGATTTACCCCAACCTTTGGCTTCCCCAAGCTTCAGTTTGTTTTCCACATTTATTTACAAAATTTCCACAGCTATGCAAGAGAGTTAAGTGAGTTTTGTCCCATTTTACAACCTTTCTTGCCACCATTGTTAAGTGAATCACTGCAGTTCTTAAATTAGTAATATGGTTATTACGTGAGTCTGGCTTCCTTATTGACTTTGCTTGTCAGAAGGTTGCAAAAGATATTCAAATGACTCAAGGACACTGCAACTGTCATAAATACCTAACAAGTGCCAAGTGGGCAAATTTGGATCATGTGACCACGAAGATGCTGTAATCATAAATGTGAAAAACATTCATAAGTCATTCCAGTGCCATTGTAACTTCAAACAGTCATTAAACAATAGTTGTAAGTTGAGGATGACTTGTAGTACCATTTATTCTCAACTATATCTTTGATTTTGTTATTAAATATTTCTTAAGTAATTAATTCTCACTGCATTTTTGTTTCTCCTGACATTCTTGTCTTTCACATCAATATGACAGATTGGCTGGAATCATATGTAGTTATTTTTGCTTCTATTGATAAATAGAACAGATTTACCAACTTTCTGCCAATATTTTCACGTCTTAATATTTGTTCATTTTCCTATCATTGGTAAACATTGTACTAGCAAGATATATTTGTTTACTTGCTCTTATTTTCCATATTTTGCAATCCTGTTTGATGGAGAAAATAAAGTGGAAAACAACCACTCCTTTTTGCAGTGCATATATATTCAATCCATATCATTGTTGTACGAGGCACACAAAATTCCCTAGAATTCATTCTCAGCCAAAAACACAGCATCCTCTGCATACGAGGGTTATCAATATTCAATAAGAAAGTTCTTACATCATAATAAACATTCTTTATAAACAGTGGATAGTTTTATTCCTACATTTGTGTAACTATCTAATCTACCCATTATGTAGTATATTATATCACATTCATTTTTATCAGCATTTTACACATTTTTTTCTCATCCACAATTTCTTTCATTTCATCATTGCACCAAAATTCCTTTTTTGTATTTATCATTAACATAATTTTACTGTTATTTTTATATTTTTATCATGTTTTTATTTTTTTCTTTGTTAACCACAAGAGTAATTAAGATAGGCAATGATCTGTTTGCTAAATAAAGCAAATAATTCCACAGTACAATTTATTGCACTCTATAACAAAAGTATTTTTACTTAACTCAAGCAGTTCTTGTCATATCCACATTGCTACATTCTGGATCAAATAAAGTTTGCAGGTAGTCTTCAAGGGCAGTCTAATGTAGAATGAGTTGCATTAGTTCAATCAGGATGTTATTAAGATATGGTTCAGGAATGAATGCAACTGGTAAACAAAAATAGATTTACAAAGGCCTCCTGGCCATAGCTGCCTTGATCAGGAGCTATCAGTCTATTCTAGAAAAACAGAGCAATAACATCAAATTTTATAATTGGCTGCTAAATGTAAATAGAGAAAGGAAATCCTATATGTTTATTCATTTGCCATTATGTTCTTTAACATGTTTGTGTGTGTTCAACATAAAGATATCTTTAAATATTATAAAATATTTATACTTACTTTATTACAGGAACTGTGCGGATTGAAATGTTTAGAAACATGCAAAATGCAGAAATTATCAGGAAAATGACTGAAGAATTTGATGAGGTATAGTACTGGACATATACAAAATATGTTTTAAGCTTCAGCAAAATTGGACATGTAATGAACGTTATTGTGTGATCTAATTATTTAAGGAGATATACTGTATGAAAACATAATCATACATCCTTGTAGGTAAAAAAAGGAAAGAAAAAAGATTGGACTCTTAAAGAGAAGTGAGCAATTGCTATCCAGATATATTGACTGACACAGAACTTTGAAGCCAGATTGATTTCAGTGACAAATATTTAAACATAAATTTCAGTAATTTTTTTTGAAATTGCTTGAAATTAAACTAATTTCACTCTACCCTAATCCTGTATTGCATCCCACAATACATATACTTTTTGTAGAATAGTAAAAGTGGGACAAAATTTAGGAGTGGGAAAAGAAATTCAAGCATTATTTGAAGAAATAAAGACCTGACAGCAATTAAAGGATATATCAAGGAGTTCTGTAATTAAAATTGTAGGCTACGTATTTGGTATATAAAATATGTATTTGTTGTATCATACTTGCAGTATTTTCTTATATAATAAACTGAAAGTTGTGAACACAAATTAATTCAAATATTTTGGAAATATCTTTAATGATGTAAGATTTAGTGTAGTCTCATTCATTTCTGTATGGTTAGCTTATTTATTTTTCAGTAAACACACATAGATTGCATGAGGGCCCCTATAGTTTTCTTTTGATCAAGGCACTCTGTGACATTTCTATACCACTGCCACTACTCATCAAAGTTGCTTATCTTGTCTTATCTTAAGCTCCTGCTGCTGTTTTAAAATTTGTTTTTAAAACCACCCATTGAGGTACTATCCATATCCTATGAGACTAAAGTGTATTTTTTGTAGGATAATATATCAAATACTACCTTGTTGTTCTATTATAGAAGTGGACAAGTTTTGTTCTAGCAAGGATTTTATTTCAAAACTGATCTATCAGATGACATATGCCAGTGGTGAAGGCGGCTAAAAGCACATGGTGGGCCAACTATCCATTCTCTCTCTTATTGCTATCTCCTTTTTACTTTTTTTGACATAGACTTCTCTCATTTTCAAGCAGTAATCTTTCAGGAAAAGGCTAGCCCTTTCTTATGGGGAAATTGACTTGCTTGCTTGCAGAGGACTTGGGAAATTTGGCAAAAAAACTAGTTAAGCACTGTAGGCATTATACCCATAGTAGGCTCTTCAGTAGATCCCAATTTGGTATCTTACTGGAACTATTAGGATGCAGTTTATCTGTTATCATTCCTCTTTCAATATCCCACTGAAGATAATTCTCTTCTGTCTGTTGGTGCCTGTTTTACCTGGTCTATTGGTGCCTGTTTTATCTGGTCATCTGCTGTTATTCCTTTATCTGTGTTGATTTTTTTCTTTGGGTTGATGAAGTATTGGTTTTATTTATGAAGATATTTTATTATTATTGTTTCAACATTATTATCAAAGTTCTGAAATATCTGAAGGGCACACACATCCAGACAGATTATTCCTGGGTAACCTAATCATAACCACAATTTTTTAAAAAATTATATGCTGATATATTCAATTCTACCTCTCACTCGGGCAGTTTCTTAAGTTCAAGTGCTTCTCTAATAAATTTGTTTGAAAATTTCAGAGTTGTCTGAAGCTTACATGTCCAAAATGAAACATCACAGATCACTCTCCTTGTTTACTGTCCTTCACCACTGACTATTGCTCATTTGTCATTGTCAACTACTTAATCAGACATGAAATTTTTGTCTCTTTTTCCTTCATGATTCAGAATATTCAGCTAATCATCAAACTTTTTTCTCCCTTGACAGTATTTCTAAGTGTAGGGTATATTTTCTCTCTTTCTTTGGGAAACATTGTGAATCTTACCTTTGCCATCCTGATAATGTATCTGATTTTCAATTTTCTTATGATTTTCTCCTATTTGTTTAGGCAGTATTTTGCTTCCAGTTTGAGTACAAATTGGTGCTTCAAAGCACATGAAGGTTCTTACATAACACCTCTTTCCAAATATTTAAAATAGCTATGTCTTTTCCCATCATCAAAGCTGACACCAGCCAGAGCATAGAACAACTCAAAGAAGTAGTGCAAGATCGGAAAATATGGAGACACCTGGCCCATAGAATCGCCAAGAGTTGGACACGACTGAATGGATAACATCATCATCACCATCATGTCTTTTCCTGGGATTATGCAGCTCCTCTCCACAATTCACACATGATCAAAGGAAGTCATATTTTATTTAAAGATATACAGACAGCTATTACATAATTGCTTTGGCATGCTCCAAAGCACTTCTTTAATACTCAGCTCTGAAGACTCTTAAGCCCTGATATCAGTCCAGCATTCTTCTTCTAAATGAATCAAACCATTTCACTGTTTTTATCCAGGTCTTTAAATCCTAACATAGATTGTTCCCTGCCAGATTCTGGTAAACCTCAAAGCATTTCTGTGGCCAATTATCTTACTGTATTTTTTTCTTATGATTTGGATTGCCCACATATTTTTCCAGGACATAAAACGGTTGGATCTATTTCAGTTATGTAAAATTACCTTTTATTGAGCTATGTATGGCTTTAAAAGTATATGCTTTGAATTGCATTCAGAAGCTGATAGAAACCAGTGCAGTGTCTGGAGCACAGGTGAAACATGCTGTTAGCAACAAATGTGAGCTACTAACTGGGCTAATGCATTCTAGCTAATTGAAGCCCTATGACCTGAATAGGTACCACCATATAGAGCATATTGCGGCAATGTTCCAACTAAATTATAGAGGCATGTCAAGTGTTTTACCTGATACTTAAAAGATAAAATTACTGAGCTCTTGGAAGTTATAAAAAAATAAACAGTGAAACTAAGTTAGATATAAAAATCAAAATATATGTAATGCAGTAAAATTGAATTGAAAATATTATTTCTATCTTGTCTCTCCATATGAGAGATATCAGTAAAGTAGAATATTTTTGTTTTGTGCTTGAAGAGAACACATTGTAATTCAGATTGCAATTTAGCCATGCCAAAACCTCCAAAATTGGGTTGCTATAAGCTTTAGCCAGCCAGCTTACCCCAACACACACACACATACACACACACACACACACACACACACACACACACCCTTGCAGAGGTAAATCAGAGCATGAAGGATAACTTTGATGGTCTCTCCCTTTCTTCTTCCCTTGACCTGTGTATCTGTATGTCCACAAGACTTCCCGTTGTCTTTATTTCTTTACCTCCTCTTAGCTGCTTTAACTTAATTGAGTTATTTGTAGAATTAATATATTTTTAAAGAATTTGTGGTATCACTATCCTTCAATTCAAGAGCAGAATATTCCAGCAGTACTGGGAACATCATAGGAAAGGGCAGATAGACTGGTTGGATATACTACACTCGAATTCAAGGGTGGGGATGGTGTAACATCAGTGTTCTCTTAACCCTTTGACAACTCCACCCTTGAAGTCAAAGATAACCTATCTAGTTAGGTCACTTGTCCTTCCCAGACCTTTCCACTGTCTTCCTTTCTCTGTTCCCTTTGCTGTTGTTGATTGCATTGCCATTTCCTGTTTTTCCCATATTCGAATACTTCTACCTCAAATACAGATTTCACACCCAGAGAAGGATGTTATGTTCTAGACATAGACCACCAGGAAGCTATTTCATATATAATATTTTGTACATCATTTTGTGTGTTTTAAAAAATAAGCCTCATGTTCATCACTTTTATTTTCCTGATTATCAGGACAATGTAGCTTTATTTGAAATTACCATGTTTTTAGTCATTCAGATAGAATTTAAGCTGCACTAAAATTTCATATTTTAATTAGAAGAGAAGCTGGCAGAAGCTCAAGCATGTTTTTTTAAAGATAGTATTTGCTTGGTCTTCCCACAGGACAGTGGTGATTATCCACTTACAATGCCTGGACCACAATGGAAAAAGTTTCGATCAAATTTTTGTGAATTCATAGGAGTACTGATACGACAATGTCAATATAGCATCATCTATGATGAATATATGATGGATACAGTGATCTCATTGCTGACTGGTTTGTCAGATTCGCAGGTTCGAGCTTTCAGACATACCAGTACACTTGCTGGTAAGTACATTTTAAAGACAAAACATACAAAATAATGGTTACATTGTGATAAACTGTCAACGCTGCTAATGTTGAATATTCTTGCTTTGACAAAATATGCAGAACTGTCTGGTATTTTTAGAGTTAATTCAGATGACAGAGAAAAGGGAGGAGATAGTAAGGAAAGCCCGGGAAAATGAACGGAAGTGAATCTTTGCCCTCCAAGTTAATTGGAAGATGTGAATCATGACTCCAGAATAGGGGAGGGGAAATGCCTGGAATGTTATGTGCAAAGGGAAAGGAAATTCAGATCTTGGCATCCATCATGCCATGCTGACACGTCTCTATATAATAAAGGGTTTTTTTTAGGTTAAACCATGCCTGAAAATTCTTTGAAGTGTTTCATTAGTCAGACACATGACATCATGCCAAGATCCGCAAATCTTTTAAACCAATTACAAGGTCCCGGACCTCAGTCACTATTCCTAATCTAAAGGAGATAGATGACAAAGATCCAGGGAAGATCTCATTATGGAAGGAGAAAGATGACTTGAGGCCAGCCCTTCAGCAGCAGCAGCTTCCCCAGGAAGTGGAGCGGCAGCCAGCCAGCTGAGGGAGAAAGAATTCTGGCAGATCTCCCAGCTGAGAGCAAAGACTTCAAAAGCAGAATGCAGAGATAACGAAGTTTTGGGTGAGTCGCTGGAAAGATTTCAAAACCCAGAGGTGAAAAGCAGAAATCAATTCTTGGAGAGAGGAGCCTATACCCCTCCCATGGCCCAGCAGAAAGCCTGTCAGATCCTGTCTTCCCCTGCCAGGGACCCCAACCCCAAAGAGAGAGGGAATTCCAGTCTGAGGCATCTGCAGCAATGGGTAGATGGGGTTCCCCAGCAGATGGATGGTCAGCGATTTCTGAGCTTGCCACAACTAATAGAGGCCTTGCAACAGCTTGGGGTGATGCAGAAACCAGGAGATCAGCAGCTGGGGGGAGACTGACCACAGCAGGGAGATTGACCACAGCCCCTGAACGTGCAACCCCTGGGCATAAATCTGGGGTCAGCAACAACAGCCTATAATTACACCACTTTTCAGAGCAACTTTCGATGGGGACCCAGAGAAATTGGTTTTTTTTCCTCAACCAAGTGCGCTCTCATTTGAATTGCTGGGCCTGGCTCTACCCAGACCCAGGGGCCATGGTCGATGTGATTGCGTCCAGCTTAGAGGGAGAAGTCTCCGAATGGCTGAACAAATTATATAATGAGCAAGCCCTCGAATTGGAGGACCCCCATCTCTTCCTCCTAGGGCTGAGGGAAAGATTTGAGGACCCATCTATTGGTCTTAAAGCAAGAGAACAGATCCACAAAATAAAACAAGCTGGCAGGCCTACCTTGAAGTACGCGCAGGAATTTTGCAACATAGCAGGTCGAATAGAGGGGTGGCCAGAACAATCCCTAATCCATCATATGATTAGACAATCACCTTTCTCAGGCCTGCATCTATCGAGCTGTACCTGATCAGCTGCAAGAATGGTACCAGGCAGCAGTGAAGCTAGACGTTCAGCTCGCCCTCTATAAGAAGCCTCCCTCACCTGAATCCGAGCAGCTGCCAGAGCAACCCGGACAGCAGTCACCCCGTCTTCCATTGCAGCTTGTTGAAACCTTTATCGGGACTCCACTTTAAGACCTCCCCTGAAGAAGGCACCTGGGCCCCTCGTAGTTGCGGGACAGACCCACTATGAAGTGAAACGTATTCTTGACTCTAGAATTTTTAAAGGGAAATTGCAGTACCTAGTACAATGGAAGGGATACCCGTTGTCTGAAGCCACCTGGGTGAAATCCAGTGAGGTGAAAGCTGACAAGCTCGTCAAAAGGTTTCAGGCGAAATACCCCAACAAACTGAGAACTAGTCATTAACATATGCTTTTGTTTACATTACAGGATCTGTCCTTTTTGTAAGGGGGACCGGATGTCAACGCTGCTAATATTGAATATTCTTGCTTTGACAAAATATGCAGAACTGTCTGGTATTTTTAGAGTTAATTCAGATGACAGAGAAAAGGGAGGAGATAGTAAGGAAAGCCCGGGAAAATGAATGGAAGTGAATCTTTGCCCTCCAAGTTAATTGGAAGATGTGAATCATGACCCCAAAATAGGGGAGGGGAAATGCCTAGAATGTTATGTGCAAAGGGGAAGGGAAATTCAGATCTTGGCATCCATCATGCCGTGCTGACACGTCTCTACACTAATAAAGGTTATATATTTACATATTGATTACATATTGAACTAATTCACAGATAATAATAAGCCATCTCTGATTTCCATAATGGGTCTGTGGAAAAGTGCGATGCTTGTAATATTATACATAGGATTTGCCAAGAGGTTTTCTCTTGATTCTAAGTTAATTGATGTACTTTTATGAGTGAGGCATAATTACAGATTCTGGCTGATTGTTATTTTGAAAGTAGCAATCCATATTTTACCTCAACACAAATAGATCAGAATCTTCGGATTCTAGTTAGTATTAAGCAAATAATTGTTTCAAAAATGCACTTGGGCCTGGAAAAGAAAAATTGATTTCTGTTTGTATTTTTCCTAGCTATGAAGCTTATGACTGCTCTTGTGAATGTTGCCTTAAACCTGAGTATTCATCAGGATAATACACAAAGACAGTATGAAGCTGAAAGAAACAAAATGATTGGTAAAAGAGCTAATGAAAGACTGGAGCTGCTTCTTCAGAAACGGAAAGAGGTAAATGACTATTCAGAGTGATTGTCATAGTTTTTCACCTGTAAAAAGCAAGTCAGAAAAGATACATTCAAAAAAGATACAAATTTTACAGTTCAGGCCAGCAGGCCCAAAATTATGGAACTGCAATTGATTTTTGCATATAAACTGTCCCTTTAATATAAATGAAATTCAATCAGTTTTCAAGCATCATTAAAATAAATGATTCTTATGTCATTCCATATTGGTTAATATTTAACATAAATACTGCAGCCTTTTTGCAGTGAATAAGAATTTAAAAATCCTTGTAGTTAGATGGTCTAAAGCTGCATTATATGTAGTTTGTTAAGTTATAATATATTAATAATTTAGATTTTTAAGATTTTACATATTGATGGTGCTCCAGGTGCCTCATGTTTTGGCAATTTCCTGCCTGCTTTTCGTGGTTTAATTTGGTGGGTGTATGTGCGCGCGCGCTTGTGTGTTCACGCTCCTTTCTTCATGTGGTTCTCAAGTTTGCAAGCCAAGGTCTCCTACCCGGCTTGCAATGGGGGAGGGGAGAAGCTACATTTCCCCTTAAGCACTGTGTCTCCAAAGGAATCCCTCACTCATCTGCACCTTTTCCAAGGCTGCTGGGCTTGCGCAGTATTCCCCCCCCCCCCTTTTGTAATGGTTTTCTCAGCACTTCCTCAACGTGTTGGGTCTTTGGTTTGTGTCGCTGGAAGGCTGAGTTTAGGATTTTTTCTTTTCCTTCCCACTTTCTTAGAAGCAGAAAGTCACTGGTCTAATCTAATATAATATAATAATAATAGAAATAAAGTGCATTGTTTATTTGTTTGTTTATTTAGGCAATTTAGAATAAATATAGTGAATCATCCTGAAACCTACCCCCCACCACCACGGTCAGTGGAAAAATTGTCTTCCATAAAACCGATCCCTGGTGCCAAAAAGGTTGGGGACCTCTGATTTAGGGAATCAGACTAAAAACTTGAGGGCCATGAGTTCTAGTCCTTTTTTTCCTATTTTTCAGATTTCTGAGATAAGATGGTAAAGAAATGTGGTTCACATTTTGCTATCACCCAACTTAATTTGTACATCATATAAATAGTGTTCAAATCTGAAAGTTATTAATGTTTATATATTTTCCAGATATTGCATATCTTTAATACAAAAGCAAATAAAAATATGTTTGGGGAAATTGTGTAGAAAAAAGTATGTGTCTGGGAGCCCAAAAGAATACTGAGCTGTTTCTATGATGGCTACAGAATTTATCTCGGGGGTTAAGTGAATAATTTTATCCATAAGATATATTGCAAAATGGTCCTTCTGCTTTCTTTTATGTACTTTTATGTCATTATTTGCAGTAAGATTTATTATTCAGTTCACATAAAGTTAATGTATAATCATGAAATTAGTTGTCATCACTGTTAAAGTAGACTGTTACATGAACAGTAGCTTGAAACCAATCCAATTTTGCCTGAATGTTGTTTTCTATTTTGTTTATCATCCTTATTTTTCCATTGCCAAATACTTAATATTATCAATATTATGAATTGGCCCTGTGAAATGGGGAATATTTTGGAGATTGTGCTACTGGTCTGATTCTTTTCCAAACTGCAAATAACAGTTTTCACAATAGGAAGTTTGCTGTCCAAAATAATCTGGAAAAAGTCCCAAGCATAGAAAAAACATCTGGCAACATAATCCTATTGTACAATTTTAATACGTCTCCATCTTTGAAGATTAGAGAATCTAAACATAATGAAGGTGGATTCTGTTTATATGTGAGACCATCTTGGATTTTGGCCCCAAGCATGCATATAGTATTCTATTTCAACTCCAAATATAGAATCAAGAATATAATCTTTTGGGAACTTTTGGGTGAGGAATGGCAAGCTAAGACAACTACAAAGGAGCAGAGATGATGGCTGCAGCTAAAATCAAAGGACTGGCAAATGTCCCATGGAACATCTGGCACATGCAGTTCTACAGCTTCCGAAATGTTTTTGATGTATGGCAGTTCTAAGTCTTCCGAAAGGCAGTTGTAAGGCTTCTGAAATATTTTTAACGTATGGCACACTGAGTATTTTGAAAGCTGTAGAACGCAGCTTCCAATATCTGCAAGTGGACCTTGCAGTGCACTGCCCAGAGGTTACCATATGAGAACAAATTATGCAGGAGCCCTGGTGGTGCAGTGGTTAGATTGCAGTACTGCAGGCTATTTTGGCCGACTCCCGGCTGCCAGCAGTTTGGCAGTTCAAGTCTCACCGCTCAAGGTTGACTCAGCCTTCCATCCTTCCATGGTTGGTAAAATGAGGACCCAGATTGTTGGGGCCAATATGCTGACTCTGTGGAGAGGGCTGTAAAGCACTGTGAAGTGCTATATAAGTCAAGATTGCTTGGAGGTGGGAAATACTTCCAATGTAATGTACTGAATCTCTTGCATGGATTGCCCCCGTGACTATGTAGGACAGACAGGGAGGAAGCTAACCACCAGATTGCAAGAACACAAGCGAGTGGTCAGATGAGGAGACCTGAACTCATTGGTCGTCTCATACTGCAGTGAACAAGGACATACATTCAATTTTGCAGCTACTAAGATTGTTGGACAAGCAGGCACTAAAACAGCTATGGAAGTGATTGAAGCCTGGGAAATGGGTCCCTGGTCAGTCAACAGGAATGCTGATTTACATCCATCTTATCAAGTACTTAGGAGGCAAGATCTGGGCAGCACAAGAAAACAACAGCCAAGGGATTAATAGCCAGGCATCAACACCCCAATCAAGATCTAAAAAGCCACACGCAACAGACACCATATAAATATCACACAAAGAATAGCCCAAAGCACATGCTCTGCTTGAAAGAAGTTCCCAGAAGATGGGTTCCAGCATGAGTCTGAAAGTTCGGAAGACTAAACCTCTGGTCCCGGTGACCGACCCAGATTGGATCCTACAGTAATAAATCAGTTTAATTGGAATTTCACATGTATTGATCTTCTGCACCTGACAAATGTTCAAGATAAGAAAAAGAAAAAGAAAAATTGAGAGATAAAATCCTACAACAGCATCTGAATGAAATAAAGATGAAGATTGTTGGAAGCAAAAGAAAAAAATACAAACTTAGTTTGTTTGATCAAGGTTAAAATTAGATGTACTGTATGTATAAATCTGGGGTTCCTTTATGGACTTCTTGCTTGACAGCAAGCCTATAATGTTGATTTATAGACTTTCATATGGAAAAAACATGAGTTATGAGAAAAATAGATACTTGCATGTAACTTTATAGGGAGTGATGAATTATCAAGTTTGTACTTGTGATGAAAATTAGAAGTTACTTTTTTAATTATTTATTTTTTATTTTTCTTTCTACATAACTTTTCTCCTTTTTCTTTACTCTCTTTTCTTATCGAGGTTAGCTCATATTTTCTTTGACTATTGTAATTAAAATTTTCAGTAAAATATTTTTTAAAAATGAATTTAATCTACTGTAGCGGTGATATTTAGGTGATGAATAATAAGTATTTTATGTTTATAGTCAGCCTTGATTATGAATAATGTTATTAACTGTGTTGACATGCCCCAGGATAGTAATCTATTTATGTGTTTAAATAAAAGAATTAAAGTAAGCATATTTAATTGTATTTCAGTTGCAAGAAAATCAGGATGAAATTGAAAATATGATGAATTCCATTTTCAAGGGAATATTTGTCCATAGATATCGGTGAGTAAAAAGACATTGGGAATCTTAAATAGCAGTCAAAAATAATATTTTCCCCTGTCTTGCTTAAAATTTATCAAATAGACAGAATATAAACTCCAGGAATTGACATTTTATGAGACACTGTGTAATAAAATGGTTTAAACTATGTATTTTAAATTGTTGGATTACAATCAGGGAGGCCCATGTTCAAATCTACCCACTGCCATGGTAATATCATGATGGCTTTGGGCCAATCATTTCCACTTAACTCAGCCCCCCCCCCGCCCCCCTACAGAGATGCTATTGTGGAGAACGTTTGATCAGAGAATGTTATGTACACTGACATGATCTCCTGCAACAGCGGAATATGGAGACTATGCTTAAAACTTCATGGAAAAGATGGATTTTGAAAAAATAAAATTTGGGACTGACATGGGACTTATGGACTTCCTACTGTGCATTCAGGGAAAGGGTGCAGATACGTCATAGAACTATAAATTCTATATACTTGTATGCTTTAAATAATCTACATGAAATAACTCTGATTTCAAACTGTCCTTGCTGATTAGCATTAGAGACAACAAAAGACAAATGCCATATCATTTAAAGGAGGAAAACCACTAAGAAAAAAAATAAACATTACACTGCTGTAATTTTATACATAAAATTAAACAATATATTTTCACCATTGTTTTTTTTTAATAGTGATGCTATTGCTGAAATTAGAGCTGTTTGTATTGAAGAAATTGGAGTGTGGATGAAAATGTACAGTGATGCCTTCCTGAATGATAGTTATTTAAAATATGTTGGTTGGACACTTCATGACAGAGTAAGTGCTGCATTGCTATAAATATGCTATTTCATTTTTGATGTGAAAGAGAATATTGCTTTCTCATACTTTTTCAACCTTTGTTACATTTAACAAGATATAGTCTTATCAAATCCATTTTGGTTCATTTATATATATAACTGTTATTGATAAGCTTATGTCTGCTGCTGATTCTTCTGTCTGCTTTTTCCCCCCTTATTCAATATATGAAAACATATCTTCATACATCTGAAATAATGCATTTTGTGCATATCTATTCATCCTATTTAAACAAAATATCAATGTTGCTACACTAAAGGGTATGTATGTAGATGAATGGTGGCCCTGTTATGTATAAATTTTATTATTGTATTTAGGGCATATGAATGTGAATATTTTTATTTTTATGTATATAAATTGACTGTGATTGTGTATTGAGTGTTTGGGGTATGAGAATGGTGGAGTCGGGGGCAGAGCCTGGTACCCCCTCTGCTGAGTGCAATAGCAAAAGTAGGGGGGGGCAGGACTTACCCTTGGGCTTGGTCTGTATAGAAAGCTAGTCCGATCAGGAAGGGAGAAGGCTGGTGAGGGTGAGGGTACTCCGGGGAGGAGAGAAGGTCGGAGCATCCCGGTTATGACTGGGATGGGCAGATATGGCGGGAGCCGAGGGGCAGGCCATCTTTGGGGAACGAGGACTCGCTATATTAGAGCGATTCCTTGTTCCGGCCCCTCAAAAGGCTCATCCTGTAGTACTGGTGACAGGGGAGTACAGGGCCCTAGTTGTAGGCTGCTGTTGCTTAATGCCAGGTCCGTTGTCAACAAAGCCCCCCTTGTCCGTGATTTAATATTGGACAGCGGGGCGGACCTGGCATGTATAACCGAAACCTGGCTGGGCCCTGAGGGGGGTGTCTCCCTCTCGGAGATGTGCCCGGACGGGTTTGTGGTGCTTCATCAGCCTCGACATCAGGGCAGGGGTGGGGGAGTGGCAGTCATCGCTCGGAAGTCCTTGAGTCCTCGTGGGATTCCTGCCCCGGAGGTTGTTGGGTGTGAGTCCCTCCTATTGAAGTTGGGTTCACGGGTTAAGTTGGGCTTGCTGCTGACATACCTACCTCCCAGCTGCGTTGCAACAGCCCTGCCTGCGTTGCTGGCGGTGGAGTTCCCCAGACTTATGGTACTGGGGGACTTTAACCTACCATCACTCGGCGATCGCTCAGAGGTGGCGCAGGAGTTCATGGCTTCCATGGCAACCATGGACCTGACCCAGGTAATCCAGGATCCGACTCATAGGGGTGGTCACACACTCGACCTTGTGTTTCTCTCGGGGCAATGGAGACATGATCTGGAATTAGGGGGAATAGAGATCTCACCCTTGTCATGGACAGATCATTTCCTATTGAGGCTGGACTTCAGAGCATCACTCCCCCATCGCAGGGAGAGGGAGCCGACTAGGTGGTTCCGCCCCAGGCGCCTAATGGACCCGGATCGGTTCCAGGAGGAGCTTGGGGAAATACCTGACTCCCTTGTCCACAACTCGTCGGGGTCCCTGGTTGCGGCCTGGAATGAGGCGGCGTCCGGGGCCCTGGATCGAATTGCGCCTTTGCGACCTCTCTGTGGTGGTGGTCCCCGGAGGGCGCCTTGGTTTACTGAGGAGCTCCGGGAGATGAAGCGCCACAAGAGACGTCTAGAGCGACGTTGGAAGGCCAGTAACTCTGAATCTGACCGATCACTATTAAGAGCCTATCTTAGGACTTATTTAGTGGCGATAAGGACAGCAAAGCGTGTTCACTTTTCCGCACTTATTGCGTCCGCAGAATCTTGCCCGGCCGCCCTGTTTAGGGTGACCCGCTCCCTTCTTAAAGTGGAGGAGGCGAAGGAACCCTTGCAGGGGAAAGCTGAGGAGTTTGTTCAGTTTCTCTCGGACAAAATCGCTCAGATTCAGAGAGACCTGGACTCCGACTGGGCAGTGCCAGCCGAGTTGCCAGGGGCTGGTCTTAGTCATGTTATCTGGAGCGAGTTTGAGCCTGTGACCCCTGATGAAGTGGACAAGGCTGTGAGGGCAATGAATGCCGCCACCTGTTTATTGGACCCGTGCCCCTCCTGGCTGGTTTCTGCCAGTAAGGAGGTGATACGAGGCTGGCTCCAGGCAATAATCAATGCCTCCTTGATGGAGGGGTCTTTCCCGCAACCTTTAAAGGAAGCGGTGGTGAGGCCCCTCCTCAAGAAGCTTCCCTGGACCCAGCTGTTTTGAAGAACTTTCGTCCTGTCTCCAACCTCCCCTTTGTGGGGAAAGTTGTAGAGAAGGTGGTGGCATCCCAACTCTTGCGATCCTTGGATGAAACTAATTATCTAGACCCTTTTCAATCTGGTTTCAGGCCCGGCTACAGCACTGAGACTGCTTTGGTCGCACTGACCGATGACCTCTGGCGAGCCCGGGATAGGGGTCACTCCTCTATCCTGGTGCTTCTTGACCTCTCAGCGGCTTTCGATACCATCGACCATGGTATTCTTCTGTGTCGTCTCGGAGAGGTGGGGGTGGGCAGCACCGTATTGCGGTGGTTCTCCTCCTACCTCTCTGACAGGTTGCAGTCGGTGTTGGCGGGCGGACAGAGATCGACCCCTAGGCGCCTCGATCATGGGGTGCCTCAGGGCTCGGTCCTGTCCCCCCTCCTTTTTAACATCTACATGAAACCACTGGGTGAGATCATTCGGCGACACGGGGTGAGGTATCATCAGTACGCGGATGATACCCAATTATATATCTCCACCCCGTGTCCTTTCAGTGAAGCAGTCGATGTGATGTGCCGGTGCCTGGAAGATGTGAGGGTCTGGATGGGGGTGAACAGGCTTAGACTCAACCCTGACAAGACCGAGTGGCTCTGGGTCTTGCCTCCCAAAGGTCAACTGGATGGTCCATCATTAGTCCTGGGGGGGGCAAATTTACCTCCCTCAGTGCAGGCACGCAACTTGGGTGTCCTCCTGGACTCACAGCTAAATTTGGAACAACATCTATCGGCTGTGGCCAGGGGGACCTTTGCCCAGGTTTGCCTGGTGCACCAGTTGCGGCCTTATCTGGACCGAGAGGCTTTACTCACAGTCACTCATGCCCTCGTCACCTCAAGACTGGATTACTGTAATGCGCTCTACATGGGGCTACCCTTGAAGAGCGTTCGGAGGCTGCAGTTGGTTCAGAATGCAGCCGCGAGAGCGATTGTGGGCGCGCCAAGGTACGCCCACGTGTCACCTATCCTCCGCGAGCTGCACTGGCTTCCTGTGGGTCTCCGGACGCAATTCAAGGTGTTGGTTATCACCTTTAAAGCCCTTCATGGCATAGGGCCAGGTTACTTACAGGACCGCATACTGCCGCACAGTTCCCAGAGACCGGTGAGGTCCCATAGATTGGGCCTCCTTCAGGTCCCATTGGCCAGACAGTGTCGGCTGGCGGGCCCTCGGGAAAGGGCCTTTTCTGTGGTGGCTCCGACCTGGTGGAATCAACTTCCCCCCGAGGTTCGAACAACTCCCACCCTGCCGGCCTTTAAGAAAGCCGTTAAAACTCTCCTGTTCCGGCCGGCCTGGGGCTGATGTCCCGGGGGGGGGGGGGCGGAACATGATCGGACTTGCGGTATGATTGAATTATTTTATTGTCTTATTCTCGATGATTGTTTTAATTTTGTACGCTGCCCTGAGTCCTTTGGGGTTGGGTGGCATATAAATAAATTAAATAAATAAATTAAATAAATAAAAGGAACTAAATTATTCCCTTCTGTAGTTAGCAGTGAGCTACAACAGTCCTTGATAAATTGAAACAAAAAATATTTAATTGTCAGTGCAACTAAAATTTTTACTTGTTTATAATTTGTTCTCTGTAAAAGGTGTAAAGAATTTGAATAATATTTTTCTTTTAGATTATGGTACTTGATCTGAAAACGTAATGATATTGCTCCATGCTAGGGTTATTTGTAGTCCAATTAAAGTCCCAAATCTTGATCAGCAGACAATTTGGACAGTAGTATCTCTGTGTGTCAAATCACTTTTTCTATAGGATTCAGATCTTCACTTCTCTGAGTACGAAAGTATGAAAATTACCAATATTGATAATCTTGCCACAAATTTTGTGTGTGTGGGGTGGGTAGGAATCTCATTGAAGATGATGTCTCCTTTTTAAATCCAAAATCTAAAGGGGGAGGGTTACCAAATCAGCTACGTGGAAAATTATATTGCTACCTTTCTATCCCTATCACTTATCCTTGTCATTTTAAAATTACGACTTTAGCAGATACCAGCTGACAGAAGTGTGCAAGGAAAATTTTGTTGAAAGATTTACTTGTTTACACTAAAATATGAAAATTTGAAAGCCAGCGTAGCGGGAACAAAATATTTTCTGAATCCTAGCCAAAATTGTTATTGATGATATTGTTATTTTCGGAAACATACTGTCGCTGTAAAGGCTTGATATGTTCTATAGTTGCAAGTCATTATAAATATTTAATGAAAAGACAACTAATAAATATAAAAGATAATTTTGTGTTACAAAATATTACTGAAAATGATTTATTAAAATGCCGATATATACTTTTCTTACGTATTTTATTATACAAAGTCAATTCTAATATGTTTTTAATTTAGCAAGGTGAAGTGAGATTGAAATGTCTGAAAGCTTTGCAGAGTTTGTATACCAACAGAGAATTGTTCCCCAAATTGGAGCTATTTACAAATAGATTTAAGGTAAGGGGAAGAGTTATAAAACACTAAGAAGTTAACTTAAATGTAAGTGATAATTCTGGTGGCTGAAAAGAACATTTTATGGCAGTTAATCTTTTAAAACTTAAGCATGTTTTGTGACAAATATATGGTATAACGTGCTATGCTGCAAATGTGGAATATGTTTTCTTTGAGAAAATTTTTTGGATACATTGATACATTTCTAAAGCTTATGAATTACATAAGTAATAATCAGTGATGAAATGTATACATTTGAATTGCTGTGTCTAATGACATAAACTAAACTCTGTCTGGCTTTGGGAGTATCCCGCAAAAGTCTGAAAAAATAATCAGTAGTTGTATAGAACACGTGATAAGTTGAGGTTGTACTTTCTTTAAATGTTTTTGGCCTGCTGGTTTTTTGGCCAGTCATTTCTTTCCCTTTCCTTTGTTTCTTTGTTTTTGTCATTTCCTCGAACAAGAAACCATCTACAGCATGTGAAGCTACCTTCAGGACACTTTACCTTTTCACCTATAATCTTAGCCCAACACTTTTTTATTACCACATTCTCAAAATTGAACTGTAATGTTCTTACCCATAGCTGTCTGCCTGATTCTTTTATTTGAATTTGCGGAGACAGCCTCTTCATAAGTAATTTTATGGATTAATCCTATGTAACCATTTGTATTTGTTTTCCACTGATTTGTGGATTTCTGTCTACTACAATGATTCAGGACCATGAGAATTTATAAACTCATACTTGCATTGAGTATGTGAAAACCATTATTCCATAGAGAAGAGGTTAATTTATTAAGTTTTGGAAGAGTCCTGGTACAACCTAACATTTCCATAGTAAGACTAAATTAGCATTTCTGTAGACATATTCCACACACTATAATTTGTTTCAGATAAAGCTTAAACCCCACTTACATTTTTCCAACTTCTTTTTTTTTAAACTATATTGCCTGATTTAAAAAAAAAATCTTGGCAACTTGAAAACCTGTAGAAAAGTTTATAAACTTGTGCTACCCTAATAAAAGTATGGTCTCTTTTTTAGCTAATATGCCACATGCACATGCGAATATAAATATATATACACAGAATACATCTATATCTACTTATACTCCCTTGATAATGCTTTTCTGTATTAATTCTGAACAGAAAATAGTTATTGCATGTCTTATAACCCCGAATAATTTAGTTTATGAGTTCTTTAATGTGGTTTGTGTAATTTCATTTGAAATAAAAACGGCTTAATATTGATTTAGGTAAGATGGATATGCGTCATGTGACACAACCTATGATTCTGTGTAGAAATATAAAAGAAACATTTGGGTGAAGTTGCGTTATCCCAAATTATGGAATTCCATAATTATAGAAATAATATCTTTCTTGCTTCCCAAAAGGGCTTGGTTGGTTCATTAGTTATATTTCAAATTAGATTGCACTTCTGTCCTAACCTTTTTATATCTAAAGTACTGTGGTATAAAGCAAATGGCTACTTTGTTCAAAAGCACAGCTCATTACTTTTAAAGAACTTTTAAAGACTATGTTAGTTTAAATTTCTGTTTCACTATAACTAAAATTGTTTAGCTCAAAGAGATCCTGTTCATATATTTAGCAAGGAAATCTGTGAAATATCCAATTTTAGGGGGGAGAGCAATAGCTAAAAAAAATGTTATCTGTTTAAATTGACTTAAAAGACATAGAAATTCTAATTAACTTTTGATTAATGTGAGATTATATTCTAAATTTATATGGAGCAATCTTAATTGCTCACTTTATTTGTATTAAATATTTTAATGCTAAATTTATAATGTGTATGTTATATTTTAAGACATTTTGGTTTTTTTAAAAGTAATATAAAATTATTAGTACTGCAATGTGTATCTTACATCCCCAGCTGAGAGGGACACTGAATGTAGTTGACAATAGCAATATATATAAGAATTAATTAAAAATGAACACAATGAAAAGTAGGGATCTGAAATCTAGGAAAATACAATTTTGAGTTAAGGAGACATTGACAACGTGCGATAAGGGCATTTTGTAGCATACATTGGTGCATTGATGGAACCAATTTATATATTTTCCTGGGATTGAATGGCAATTATGTAAATCCAGGAAATGATGAAGTATGCCCACAAGTCAGCCAGATACATACTTAGAATAGCCCCTAAGCATTTTTTCAGACTTCGAGCTAAGGGACAATACATCCGCAAATTAAAACCTAATGTAATGTAATTTTTTAAAAAAATCTGTATTAATTTAATTATTAAAATTAAAAGACGACTTAACAGCAGGGACTGAACAATATTTCTAACACATATCTGTAGAGAAAATATATTCCATGGGATTATTAGACAAGAGGCTCTTCGCCATTTGCTAAAATTATTATGTAAAATCTACACAGGAAATTTATAAGATATATTGTAAGATATTTATTTTTAAATAATCTCATACTGAATACTTAGTAACATACACCTTTGGTTATGTGGACATCACCTATGATGTTTCTCTAATTTAATTTCTTGTGCCGTATGTAAGGGTTTTTTAGCATTACTTTATGTAATACATTATATAGGAATATTTCATGCATTGTTTTGGAAGAAGTAACAGATGAGTTGTTTATTAAATATGCGTGTTATGATTTCAGTTTCTTCTAGAAACATGTTACATTCTTATATTTCAGGATCGCATTGTATCAATGACACTTGATAAAGAATATGATGTTGCTGTAGAAGCCATTCGATTAGTCACACTTATACTTCAGTAAGTATGTTTAAATGTGTGTGTGTGTGTGTGTGTGTGTGTGTATGACGGGGGCCCCTGACGGACGCCCAGACCCGCTTGATAAACCAACTCTTGGAGAAAGAGAACGGCGCCATGCCTCGGGATGGAGGTGGGTGGGGAGGAACGAGCAAGAGCAGCCCAAACAACTTGACAGCTGGACTCGCATGGGGAAAATGACTGGGGGGAGGAAAGGGGAAAAGGGAAAAGCAGCCCTGCAAACCACCAGAGCGGTAACAAACGCGAGCCCTTTAAGAACAAAATGACTGGAGACAATGAGTGGACCGAAGACCAGGTCAAAAAGCCAGGCGCAGAGCTGACCAGTAATATAAGAGAACTCCCAGAAACCTTGTTTTATGCTCTGATGATGTCAGCAGTGTTGGCCAACGAAAGCTTAGTATTTGTATTGGTTTAATGTTATCCTGGTGCTCGAACACATTTGCTTTTATTACATTTGTTATTATTAATTAATATATGTATGTATATGTATATATATATACACATGTATGTATATGTATATATATGTATGTATATGTGTGTGTGTGTGTGTGTGTGTATGAAATTCTGACACTTTCCTACTCTATTCTGTGATTCCACATTATTTGCTTTATTGAGAATGTAGCTTAATATGCTAACCTTGATTCTTCTTCCTGACACCTAAATATTATGCAAATAGAGTAGAGTAGAATAGAATAGAATAGAATAGAATAGAATAGAATAGAATAGAATAGAATAGAATAGAATAGAATAGAATAGAAACTGTATTGTCGCTTTAAATGTACACTAATCGGCATACATTAAAATGAAATTTCATTGCATTCAGCTCTCAAAAAAATACCATTATGCATATACCCACATATATATACATATATGACACAGAGAAACATCACAATCTAGTTCAAATGTATACAAATACATGATGGGAAAAAAAGAATCCTGTGAATTTACAGGACAGATGGCGTAAGAACAAAGCTGTTACAGAATCTAGTAATTCTGTCATAAATGTCTGATGTGCCTGCAGAGAAGCATCAGCAAAATACTCTAGAGCTGAGTATGGGAGATGATCAGGCTAAGCTCGAGGGAGAGGTCAAGTGTGTCATCAGTTAGAGTCCCTTTGCACCCACAGGAGATCTAAATGCATCCCTGCTTGAATTGCATTGACTCTTGTATACTGCCTTTCCCAATAGTAGTTCAGATTATTGTTTAGAGGTAGCATGAAATGTTACTTGTATTGGAATGAACTTGTATTCATTTTGGATCTAACCCTAACTTCTAATTTCTAACCCTGACATTGAGATGGATTGGGGAATGAGGAAGAGGAATCCTCAGTCAAGCATCCGTGCTTATTGGGGGATTTCTACTTTTCTCCTTAGATCCCTTTCAGCTACTACAGCAGCACATCTATATTTATCTCTAGTACACATCATGTGCCATGCTGAAGAAAACCTATCTGCTTTTCTTATTTTTTTTTCTGAGGTAAAAATAAAGCAAAACACCATATCATATCCTCAGACCTAGAACTCAATGGAAGACATATTTGCTGGTGAATGGGTTAAAATTAAGTTAAAATTGCTGGAGGTTAAAATTAAGGGAGGAATTTTTCAAGTAGATTGACTTATCACCACTACTATAGTATTTGTCATTGCATGATTCATTTGTTATATTCCTGTTCAAGAATACTGAATAAGTCAGGCTATGGCTATCAATATCAAAAATATCTGCCAGACTATCCCACCACTTTAACGTGAACAATTTAAATCTGAATGGAAAAAACACCATTTGAAATGGAATCACTTCTCAACACTGTCCAAATCTGTAGCCAAGATGTTGCAGTAGAATTTAGACTGAACATATATGGCACTTCGGAATGGGACAACTTGCTATGGCCAACTTGCCACTACCATCTTGCCACTCACATCTTGCCACAGGATTGCCACAGGACAATGGATGGCCAGATGCAGAGCCAAACAAATGGGTGGGCAGAGCACACAGAGGTTCAGCGAGAGGATGGACCACACAGGCAGCTGGAGGGAGAGCTGAGTGAGTGGGTGGGCAGAATATATGAGATGTGGTTAGCGAGCGGATGGCCAGACCGTGCAGGTTGCAGCAAGTGAGCGGGAGGCAGAATGCGTTTTCACCACACCAGGCTCCAAGTGGAAGAGGCCACCCCTCCTATACCTGGCCTCTTCTGCCTGGAGTGGCCTCTTCTGCCTGGAACACTGAGGCTGCGGGGAACTGCCACCTGTCCCAACTGCCACTACCCTCGCTGTGGTATGATTTAACCACCTGAAGGGGGAGAGCCTTTTGCTAAAAGGGACTGGGGGGGGCAACGTTCTAATTGCGGGATGGAGGAGCAGCCATCCTGGAGCGTTAGAGCAGAAGGTGAGAACAGCTACTGGCCTGGCAGTGCAAGAAAAGAGGCCTCAGTGGTGACGAAGGAACACTGGCCCTGCCATGCTGCCCAGGGTCGAGGTCTGGAGTTTGCCTAGTGACACATGCATTTCAGGCAGAAGGTCCCATGGCGCAATGACTGGAGACTGGCAAAGGGTAACCAAGTCCACCCAGACAGCTCTCTTTGCTCCCCACTCCCTTTCCCAGAGTGACTTGCTGAGCTTGACCCACAGATTCTTCACTAGCCCAAGAGCCAAACTGATCATAGCTGGGCTGCCCAGCCCTAGAAACAGGCAAAACAGATCTCACTGACTTACACCTTTCATGCTTATACTTATAATGCCTATAAACATCAATAATCTGAATGAAGATGATTATTACAAATACCTGGGCATCCTCCAGGCTGACAACATCAAGCATACTTAAGAAGAAGGTTAGTAGTAGTGAATACATCAGAAAAGTGAAGAACATCTCAAAGTCTGAACTCAATGATAGAAATACCATTAAGGCGATTAACACCTGAGCAATTCCAATAATTATACATCTGGAATAGTGGACTGGACTCAAGCAGAACTAAAAGTCCTGGATAAGAAGACCAGAAAAATAATAACAATGAATCGTGCCCTTTGTCCTTGCAGCAATATTGACAGACTCTACTTGCCAAGGAAAATAGATGAACGTGAAATGTTTCAAGAACACCAGACAGTTGAAGAATAAAGGGCATTGGAAGAATATATGAAAGATACAGTAAAGAAGATGGATTGAAGCTAGTATATGATGAAGGCTTACTGAATACTAGAGACCAAATTAGCTGACAAAGAAGACCAAATGAAGACTAGAAAAGAATGGAAATGCCTCCTCTGCAATGAAACTAAATAAACAGTGGACCACTTACTTAGCTGCTGCAAGAAGATCACATAGACTGAATATAACAACAGTATGACAAAGTAGCAACAGTGGTGTGTTGGATATCTTTTAAGAAAAACCACTGGCCTCAAGCAAAAACTGGGACTACAAAATAGAGTAATAGAAAATTAAGATACTATAGTGTTTGAATAGAACAGAATAGATAGGCATCTGATACATAACACACTAAACTTAACAATTATTGATAAGAAAGGCAAAAAGTCTGGATAGTAGACATGGCAGTACCTGAAGACCTCAGAATAGAAGAGAAAGAACTGGAGAAGACAACAGAATGCAAAGACCTGCAAATAGAAATAGAATGACTATAGCAAAAGAAAGCAAATATAGTACCAATAATAATAAGTATCTTCAGTGCAATCCCAAAACAACTGGAGCACCACTTGAACACCATTGACACTGACAAAGTCAGTATCAATCAATTGTAAAAGGCAGCTTTACTTGGTACAGCTTACATCCTGAAACAGTACCTTTAATATTAAACCACAAGATCTGCATATCCCAGTTCTTTGAAGAGGACTCGATAGATGGTTAAAAATACCAAATCCAGTCCATAAACATCTGGGTATTGTATCCAACCATAATAATAAAACTTGTATGCTAACCAACTCTCATTGACTCACAGCAATCAAAGAAGTTACAGTTCCATTAAGAATAAAACAAATGGTAAAGAAAAAAAGATAAAATATGGCCAAGTGTGACATACAGATGGAATTGAGAGAGGGGTCTCACTCTCTCACTTAAAGGCCTGGTCTGTCCTTCAATTTTGAAAGATCAGGAGCTTGATTATTCACTTTGCCATAATATAGATTGAACCGTATTGCCACCAAGATGTATCCTTGCCTGATATCTGTTGTAATTTCTATCTAAAGATAAAGTCAAAAGCAAATCTGAAATCAATAAAAGCTGCAGGTAGTACAGATCCTGGCCTAAAAATATATTTACTAGAGGCTAGAAAATAAGAGTGTGATCTAAGACTGAGCACTAGACCCTGCTTGCTTCTTTTCTGATTTCAATCCATTCTGAGAGTTTATTATAAAAATGCTTAGCAGGCAATTTGCTTATTATGCCAAGGAAGCTATTTAGCTACCTTTTTTAAACATTGGAACTCTCCTTTGGAATCAATGCCTTACTGTCTGTAAATATAAGCAGGGAAATAGGACAAAGGTCCATCAATCTAGGTTACCCCAAATAACTTCAACATTGATAAAGTAATTGCCTTGAGCTTTGCCATGCCTGAGTTGTTTAACAATGTATTTTTAAGTTGGTTGCAAGATCCACTATGAAAACAATCTCATATTAAACTCTAGGTTGAGCTTATTTAGATCTTCCTGCAAATATAATGCCCTAAAATTATCCTTCCACACTGAAGCTGTTGTAAAAAAAAAAAGAAGAGAAAGGAAGGCTGGTGGGGTAGAGGGGACAGAGGAGGTGTGCTTTTAGATGTGAAAACAACCCTTATACCAAGAAGGCAAAATTAGGTGATACCTGAAGATATTGACCTGATATTTTTTAAAGTAGTGACTAATTCCTTCCTAGCTTCATCATTCATAATCAAACCAAGGTTGGGAAAGCCCCTAGTATTTAGGTTTTACACTCATTTAGTTGAGTAGTACTGACTGGAAAAGCTAAATCAATTTATAGTACTTATCTACAGACCACCCTACAATTATGGTAAATCAAATTTGGGAGGCTACCCCAGACATAAATGTTTTAGTACCTCTGCTGTACTATACTCCCATCAGCTTTTTAAAAAATCATACTTCAGAGAAAGGTGTTAAAATAAAATTAGTTTTTCATTAGTTTTCAAAATTATTCACTATATCTTCATACATTTTTTCCCTTGCTAAGGCTAACATTAGAGTAATATGCCCCAGGTTCCATCTGAACTTTGTTCATTCATGGATGTTCATCACTAGACAGGTTTAAGGCATGTTTTATATTGGTAACACATATCACAGATACATATTTTATATGCTCTTAGTTTAAAACTAAAATGAAATGTTAGTTACAGTATATATTTTGATATCATTTAAGATTTTACTCTCTTATCAGACAGATTTATTTTCTGAATTCATTGGAGACTTCCAATTAGCTTGCATATAATATGGCATACAGAATGTTCTCTTCATAGAACAATATTTATTTAGGAAAGCAAACACAAGTTTATTTTATAAAAATATACTCTGGCGTACTCTGAATCTAGACAATGCTTGAACAGAGCTCAGTGCATGGAAATGATGTGCCCTAATGCCTGCTTCAGAGAAGAACAATTTTAGATGGACATGCTTCTTATAACAGCCCTAAAAATCTCTCGCAAACTAAGTAATATGGGAAATAGTTTGAAGGACTGTGGAAATAGTAGAAAATTGATGAAAATCAGCTCTCTTTTTTTCTAGTAATGAAAACTTGCACAGACTTCAATGTTCTTTCATTAAGAGAAGAGCATCTTCCATGACCATTTTAGACTCATGAGTATCTTTGATTGTATATTTGGATTTACATAGGCATAACTAAAGTATTATGGTCTCATTTATAATAATGTTTGCTTGGAATATGCTTTTAGTATCATATGCATGGCATATTTCAATAAAAACCTGGACTAAAGTCAATGAATTTTTCATTAGGCCTACTTTAATTTTGTAGATTCTGTTTATTCTAAGGGTAACAAAGACAGTAACATTGAATACTTGAACTTAATGTGTTATTTCTTCATTCAGTGGAAGTGAAGAAGCTTTGTCCAATGAAGACTGTGAGAATGTTTATCATTTGGTATATTCGGCTCATCGACCTGTTGCTGTAGCAGCAGGGGAATTCCTTCACAAAAAGTAAGCCTGTATTCACTGTCTGGATGTTAATGTTTCAGTGGCTAATCATTGTTTAAAGCTGTTTGTTTTCAGGTTAGTTTTTGTTTGACGTGTCCCCTTAGAGATGTAATATATATTGAAATGTTGCCTCATACTAAATATCTAGTTTGAGTGAGACCCTTTATGTGCATAGTTGAAATCCCTTGACTCATTAACTGTCCCAGGGATAGCCCTGGATAGGATTGCCCTCTTTCTGAAAAGCAAATCTAGAACTTGAGACTTGTCCTGGACTCAGTCCAAGATGGATTAATTCAGGTGGCTTACCCTGACTAGAATGCAGCACCACTTGTGGTGCCATCTAGACCAGGGCTTTTCAACCTGTGGTACGCGTACCACCGGTAGTACGCGAGCACCTGGCTGGTGGTACGTGTAGGACCGGTTGAAAAAAATGTAAAAAAAAAAAGTTAAAAAATAAGTAAAAGAAAAGGTTAAAAAAAGGAAAAGTGGATGAGGTGAAGTGGCTGTGAGAGCTCAGGGGAAGCACCAGGATCAGCGCCCCTTTCCGCCTGATCGGCGCTTCTCCGGGGCGTGAGAGCTCAGGGGAAGCGCCAGGATCAGCACCCCTTTCTGCCTGATCGTCGATCCTCTGAGGCCGGGAGGGCTCAGGGGAAGCGCCAGGATCAGCGCCCCTTTCCACCTGATCAGCGCTTCTCCGGGGCCGTGAGACCTCGGGAAGCACCAGGCTCAGCGCCCCTTTCCGCCTGATCGGCACTTCTCCAAGGCCGTGACAGCTCAGGGGAAGCACCAAGATCAGCGCTCCTTTCCGCCTGATCAGCGCTTCTCTGAGGCCATGAGGGCTCAGGGGAAGCGCCAGGATCAGCGCCCCTTTCCCCTTTTCGACCTGCTCCTCTCCCATTGCCCACTCTGCCCAGCTCAAGCCTGGCTGGAACAGCATTGGTGCTTCCAAAGGTGGCCACTTCAAAGTCACTATGGGCAGCCCTCGGCCACTCCCCTTCGCGCCTCCAAATCGATCCCTAATCGGGGAGAGAGGGAGGGAAGGAGGGAGAGAGGGAGGGAGAAAGGGAGTGGGAGGGAGAGAGGGAGGGAGAGAAGGACAAAGAGGGAGAAGGAAAGAGGAAGAGAGAGGGAGGGAGGAAGAGAGGGAGGGAGGAAGAGAGAAAGAGGGAGGGAGAGATAGCAAGAGAGGGAGAGAGAAAGGGAGAGAGAGAAAGAAAGGGAGAGAGAAAGGGAGGGAAAGGGGGAGAGAGAAAGGGAGAGAGAAGGGGAGAGAGAGGGAGAGGGAGAGAGAAATAGAAGGGGAGAGAGAGAAAGAAAGAGGGTGACAGGGAAAGAGAAAGAGGGAGAGAGAGATTAAATTAGTAACATGGTTGTTAAGTGAATCTGGTTTCCCCCACTAACTTTGCTTGTCAGAAGGTTGCAAAAGGCGATCACATGACCCTGGAACAATGTGACCATCATAAATATGAATCAGTTGCCAAGCATCAAAATGTAAATCACATGACCCTGGGGATGTTGCAACAGTCATAAGTGTGTTAGAGTGCAGTACTGCAGGCCACTTTAGCTGACCATGTTCAGCAGGTCAGCAGTTCAAATCTCACCGGTGCAAGGTTGACTCAGCCTTCCATCCTTCCGGGATAGGTAAAATGAGGACCCAGATTGTTGGGGGTAATGTGTATGTATGTATGTATGTATGTATGTATGTATGTATGTATGTGTGTGTATATATATATATATATATATATATATATATATATATATATATATATATATATATATATATATATATATATATACACACACATTGCTTACTGGTGTACACCGCTTAGAGAGTGCTTGCACTTAAAGCGGTATATAAGTCTCATAAATAAATAAATAAATAAATAAGTCACTTTTTTCAGTGCCGTTTTAACTTTGAACAGTCACTAAGCAAACTGTTGTAAGTCAAGGACTACCTGTACTTTATCACTTTTTTCCTTTTTTTTTTTTTAGTCAAGTTTTTGACACCTCGCTAGGTGACTGGTGGTACTCAAATGTTGCCATATTCTAAAAGTGGTACAATCGGTGAAAAGGTTGAAAAGCCCTGATCTAGACTATGAGACTGTTAGCAGCAATTTAAGCCATATCAATAAATGCTGAGATTATTTGCTTCACATATGGCTGGCTGGAAATTGCAATTGATACAGAATGTGGTTTCCTGGAGGTTGATGAGAGAAGCCACTACTATAATAATAAAGATATTCCAGTCTCTAAACTGGTTACAGATTTCCAAGAGCATTTCAGAGTGTTTTTTAAAAAAGAAGTCTTTGATCTGGGACAACAAAGCCAGTCAACAAAACATTTGTATTCATAAATTGGGAAATTAGAGTCACAATTTGCAACACTTTTCCCATATGAACAAAACATAAGAAAGCAAATATATAGAATTGATAGAAGAGATATTTGTCAATTTATTACTTTATTATTAGTTTAAAAAGCATTATGAACTGCTAACAACAGTTCCATAGCACTTTTAATTTTATACCTTTATACTACAGATTATAACAAATGGAAAGCTTGCTATTTGAAATGCTAGTTATGAGTCCCAGTACAAAAAACATTACAGGTAATCTAGCAACCATTCGCAGTTATGTGATTAAAAAAGTAACTTTGTGACTAATACTTAGCATCTACAACACTGAAAAGTTTATAAAACCAAAAAGCTGAGGTAAGATCAAAAGCACAGTTAGTTTCAATTAGTACCCATTTGCTGAACAACCAAGTTGCTTGTCCCAATTGTGATTACCAAACAATGATTATGGTATATGCCGGCGTATAAGACGACTTCCGGAAGCGCTAAACTCGGCGCCAAAGACAGGGGTCATCTTATACGCCGAGTTGTCTTATACGCCGGAAATATTCGTAGTTTCCGGCGTATAAGACAATGTTCTAGGAAGGCGACTCAGTGATAAAGACAGGGGTCGTCTTATATGCGGGTCGCCTAATACGCCGGCATATACGGTACCTGTAATCCTCATTAATTCTATCTGTAATGACTCTGTGATGATGTAGTAGTGGTGTTGGCGATAGTGATTATAATGATCATATACTTTTCATTGGCAGTAGATTTGAGTCATTGAATGCTGCTTTTCTGTATATTTCAGCAACCTGTTATGAATCTACAAATTATTCATCTTCGTTAGTTTATAGAATAAGGACCCCTCAGTTCAACCAACAATGAATGACTAAACATCTCCTTTCATTCTGCCTATTGATGACTGATACACATTTATGTTTGCACATATAATATGTCTATGTCTCTGCAAATTTGTCATATTTTATTCACTGATTTACCTTGTTTTAATCTATAGGAACAACATTCTAAATAAAGGACTCTAATAGTTTGGAATGTGAACTGTAAATTATTCTTTATCATTGTGAATTATTTCATTATCCAGGGTTTCTGAATGGGAATATGGTATTATATAATTCCAGATGTGGTGGTTCAGGAAAGAATGTCTAGATTACTACAAACCACTTCCAGTTCAGAGGATTAAGTTCAGAAAATACCTCAATGACCGAAGAATAATGGGAAGAACCAGAATGTTCAGTTTTAGTATTTTACATTTATAGTCTTTACCCTGTCACATTTTTATCATTACAATCCCACATTTGATAAAATAAACATACACCTAATATCTTTGTCTTAGGATGAACCCAAGAATACCCACTGATATTAGACAAGATGCATTAGAGCACTACTTTTCAAAAGGTTGTTGAGAGAAGAAAAAAAAATCCCAAAGACTTTGTTATTTTTCCTTGTGTTTTACTTTGAATTTTCTCCTAAAGGAAGACTCTGAGATTGCTTATAGTCCATAAGTAATATGAATTACATTTTATAGTCCATAAACTTAATATTCTGATATACCAAGAGGTCTTAAGTCTATCTTGATCTTCACATTTTATTTTATATTTCCTTCTGTAAGATATCATTAAAATATTTGCAATTTCAAACTGGACCACCATTTAATATTCCAGATGGAGTATTTACACATTATTTTCCAATTTTTCACCAAGCCTTTCTTTCTGCCCTTTGCACATCTCTTTTATCTTACTTTTTATAAAGAGTCTTTTATGGGGAATTAGCAGAGCAATATTAAGATTCTTATCATTTGTAATTTTACTATGAATAATTCCATAGTTTAAATTCCATAAACAAAAAAAAGTGTGATTTCGGTGTATTTGGATGTTCTGTTTATTTGACTGGAGAAGAATCTTTAGGTGCTAGTAAATACCTCCCTTTGTTGACTCTAATGAAGAAATACATTTGTTGCTAGAGTGTTCCATTAAAAATGGACAAAACAAAACATGTTAAAATAAAAAATACTATCTTTTTATAGACTATTTAGTCGGCACGATCCTCAAGCAGAGGAAGCACTAGCCAAAAGGAGAGGACGGAATAGTCCAAATGGGAATCTTATTAGGATGCTGGTCCTTTTCTTTCTTGAAAGCGAGGTAAAATTATTTTATGTTGAATTTTATTTAAACTGATCAGTTTTAGCAACAACTTGTGTGTCCAATCACACTTGGCCAGTAAAATTCTATTCTACTCTACTCTACTATACTCTATACTCTACTCTGTTCCTATTCCTATTCTTATTCCTATTTCTATTCCTTTCTATTTCTATTTAAATCTATTTATTGTGGCTAAATATCTGTTTTCAGAGAATGAGGCTTATGGTAAAATTTGAGTATATTTTGATCTTTATAATTACCACAAACTGGAAATAACCAGTTTGATTTAATTATTATAAAATATCATATTGTAAGATTGAAGAAAATGCTCAAAACTACAAGTGAGAATTTTTAAATAAAGTTTTTTGTTTGCAACTTAGCTCTAAATCTTAAATAAGATTTTTCCTGTTTTGTAACTTGAATTAAACAAGCTTTTTATAATGAACATATTACAAACTTGAATAGACCACTGAAATATAATGTCAGCTTGTTAATTATAATGACCTGTGTTGGCGCAGTGGTTAGAGTGCAGTACTGCAGGCTACTTCTGCTGGCTGCCAGCAATTTGACAGTTCAATTCTCACTAGCTCAAGGTTGACACAGCCTTCCATCTTTCCGAGGTCGATAAAATGAGGACCCAGATTGTTGGGGGCAATATGCTGACTCTGTAAACACTTAGGGCTGTAAAGCACCATGAAGTAGTATATAAGTCTAAGTGCTATTTCTATAATGCTATCGGGGAAAAATTATAAATTAAAACTGTGCTTGTGTGTGAACAGGTTATGCAAGATCATGTTAAATACAGCATAAAAAATAAGAGAGGAAATGTTCTTGCTTTAGACTTTTACAAATCTGTGTGTTTTTCTAACATAATGCATGTCCTACTAATTAAAAAGTGACTTTAACACTGAATATCTTTTTCTGTTACTTTTCACTGCCTTTTATTATATTATACATTACCCACAAATGTATTCTTTAGTGCAGCATCAAATGTATTTTTAGACATCTGACTTAAATTTATGCAGTTGCAAAATATGACAGGGTACTAAATCACAAAATCATAAATCGCAAAGGAAGCAGATATGAATATTTAAAAATATATCTTAGGATAGGATTTCAGTATTGCAATGCAACTGCTAAGCAACATATTCAAAAATATAATCTTTAATCTGTATTATAATGAGCATTGAAAACAATTACTATTTTTTTTTAAGATAAAAAACTCTTCAAGGGTTGAAAACTAAGTAGACAAACATTTCATCTGAAAGTGGAGTAGTATATGTTTTGGAAAACCAAGACAATCTGAAATTAAAATTATACTATCAGTCTACAAAGGGATGAAGATCAAACTGAATTCATCAGTAAGCATGTATTTTAATGTGGTTAGGGTATAATAATAGAATCTTGAAAATATGTCAAAGTCTCTGTTTTAACTTACAACTAATCCAAGTAAGACAGAGTTGCTTTGACTTTGTTTTTAATGCTTTCTACCTTCCCAAGACTCGTATATCTTTTCTGTAACAGCTCAGCATTTTCCCTTTTCTGAATCAGGCTCTAATACGTTCCCAATTTTTTACATATTCTTACATAATGCTGAAAATAATACTATAAGTAGGGTCTGTGACAATGTCTATAAAGAGTTTTGTTTGTTTTAATTTTTAGTTGCATGAACATGCTGCTTATTTGGTGGATAGTTTATGGGAAAGCTCTCAAGAACTGTTAAAAGACTGGGAATGCATGACAGAATTGCTCCTAGAAGAACCTGTCCAAGGTGAAGAAGGTACTCATCAGGTTTACTTATTTGATTAAAACAAGATAGCATTGTCTAGTCTCTTCCATTTAAGGCAGTGAAGTGCATTGGACTGTTTATTTAATCTGTGCTTTCAGATTATAGTGTTTGGGTCCCAGTAAAATCAACAATGCAAAGTAGTTGTAATTAACTTAAGAGTCTTGGTTAGAATTTAGCTTTTTACTTATACCCATATCCAAAATTATATATTTATTGCATTTATTGGCATCCATCCAAATCAATCAATGTGACTCTGGGCAGTGTACAACAACAAAAATAAACATTAGCAAAAAACTAATCGTACATTATCTAAAATAACCTCCTCTAATATATAAAATGGTAAACTAAATTAATTAATTAAAACAACCAGAAACAAATTCCCCTCAACTAAAACCAATTACCTGAAGAAAAAGCCAAATCTTAATGAGTTTTCTAAAGGTAAGCAGCATTGAGACCATCGTATAATTGGGATGAGGGGGACTGAGAATAGAGGCAACTATAAAAAAGAAACATCTTGAAAGTCCCATATGATGACAGTATTTCAGTGAGGGTTCCTGGAGCATGACTTCAGGAGCTAAAGGTGGGCAAGTTGTTCTTGAGAGGTGTTCTTGCAAGTAACCTAGTTCTATGCCTTATAAGGAGAGAGGGTGGGAGAGAGACACAAACAGACAGACAGAAGACAGACTATTTCTTGAGGAAATACAGAATTAAAAACTACAGAAACAATTTTAAAAAATATATAAGTGAAAAAAGTGAAAAACAATGGAAGTCAAGAAAAGAGTAGAAAGAAAAAGAAAAATATCTAAAGATATTGCTATCTTTTTTTGCAGCAGTAAAACATGATTGTTACCATTTCGATCTTCCCAAATTACATATTGCAGTTTTTTTCTCCCCATGAACAACTGTAATCTGTAATTATCAAGATCACCATTTCTTTTTCAGAATTAATTTTGTTTATTTTCTGCAAAAAAAACCCCATAAAGTGTTTCTTGTCTTTTATAAAAGTAATTATTGTTCCTTCCCTAATTAAATAGGTCAATTTAGCCCAGTGGTTCTCAACCTGTGGGTCAGGACCCCATTTGGGGTCGAACGACCATTTCACGGGGGTCACCAAACAATGCAGTCCGCCATTCCCCCCCCCCTTTTCCTTAGCTGTGCTACTTCCTTTTATTCTATTGGCTTTTGAAAGCCAATAGAATAGACTCTCTTGAATAGAGTCTAATTCTATTGGCTTTCAAAAGCCAATAGGAATTGTCCAGGCTGTCTCTGCCCTGCTGAGCCCGCCAAAAGTCCCATTCTGCAAACGGTGCTGCACCAGTTGAGTAGTCCTCGACTTACGACCGGTTGGGGGTCGCGGCATTAAAAAGGTTGAGAACCACTGATTTAGCCATTTCAGCAAGTTCTGCCATCTTCACAATCCACTGTGGGTATTTCTGCATTTTTCCATTTTTGTGCATGTAATGGTTTCATTGCACTTACTATATATAAAACTTGTCATTTATGTATGTATCTTTTCTTGCTGATTGTTCATAAATCCTAGTTAAAAAAAGGCTTTAATTTCAACAGATAACTATGTTTTCATGTTTTTCTGCATCGTATATGTTTATATCCAATATTTTTTCACTTTTTCACAAATTTACCATGCATGGTAAAATGTTGCTTTATGTTTTTCATATTGCCAGCAACAATTATAAGTACCTTTGTAATATTAGTCTCTCTGGTGACATGTAGCAAAAGTACATCATTTTATAAAATAATATCTCATAAACTATATTGCAATGTGAATGTCAGGCCTTGTAACCACATTCTTTCCCATTGATCCATCTGTATATTATAGACTAATTTCTTGTCCCATTTTATCATGAACTTGTATTTCTTGCATTTCAAATCTTAATATATAACTGTTAGCACTCACTATCTCTGAGTCCATGACATTGGGCTACTATGGTAACAACTTGGTCAGTTAATTTCTATCAAACCAATGGTTTGACAGTCGGTTGATCTGTACTTGTAGACCCTGTACTTGAGAGAAAACACCAGGAAAAAAAAATCACATTTATACAAATTTCCCAATGAAATTCTGTTACATATTGTTCTATATATGGTAACTTTCTGTCCATTTTGAACCTCTGTCTTAATTAGAAGTTATGAACACTTGAAATATAATATATGAAAACTACCAAAAAGTAAATCCTTCTGAAGTCAATTGTTTTCTTGCTTTTATCTTAAGTTTTCCATTTTTTTGTACTAACAAATCTAGATATGTTAATCCTCTCTTTGCCTATTGCTCTTTTCTATAAAATATTTCATAAGCCAAGACTGACTTAAGTATTTTCAGTCATAATGGTTTTTAAAATCTAATTTACTTTGTCATAACAAAAACAACCGTGGTGCCCAAACCTTATCAAAGACTTTTTTTGCCTCCAATGATGCCAAAACCAATTATTCACTTTTATTAATATACACAAATAATATATTAATCAAGAATCTATTATCCATTCATAAAGATGGATTATTATTGTCAGTACGGGTAATCCTCAACTTAGGACCACAATTGAGCCTAAAATTTCTATTACTAAGTAAGACATTTTTTAAAGTGAGTTTTGCCCCATTTCACAACTTTTTGTGCCATAGTTAAGTGAATCACTGCAGTTCTTAATTTAGTAACGTAGTTGTTAAGTTAATCTGATTTCACTTGTCGCAAAAGGTGATAACATGACCCCAGGACACTGCAACTGTCATAAATATGAGTCAGTTGCCAAGTGTCTGGATTTTGATCACATGATCATAAGGATACTACAACGGTTGTAAATGTGAAAAATGGTCTTAAGTCAGTGCTGTTGTAATTTTGAACAGTCACTAAATGACTGTGCTGTTGTAACTTTGAACAGTCACTAAATGAACTGTTGTAAGTCAAGTACTACCTGTAGTAATTTCTATAATATTTCTTGCCAAGATTCCTATTGGAGTCTTGACAATAGCGTTTTACAAAGATATTACTTATAGCTTCTGCAGTTACCGTAATAAGATCCTTACCAGTTTTCAAGTTACAATTATATAATCATTATAACATCACATTACTAGAGTTTTTCTTTTACAATATTACTTGATATATATCTAGCCATAAAGGAGCTACTCTGTCTTGAGTTTTTTTATACTCTTTTATTTATTACATCTGGCTCTGGGGGCTTTCCAAATGCCATCGTAACAGTAGAGCCATAAATTTCCTGTAAAATTGGGATGCAGCAAATTAGACAAATTTCCTGAAAAATTAGGTGCCTGCCAAGGACATAGAAACCTCTCTCTCCAAGCTGTACGCTTTAAAAGAGACAAAGTAGGAAAAAGAATAGGGGAAGATATTACCCTGACTCTGTAGAATATAAGTGTAACAAATGTACTGTTATGATCCAGGTGGTCAAGGCAAGGCAGGCCTCCAGAGAGTCCTTTATTGCTCTCAATAAATGTTCCAGCAACCAGCCCTTCAATAACTGGTAAGGCTCCACCCTCACGCTACCCTGAAGTCCCCCAAACAACAGCTCCTATACTACAAAGAAGGTCCACAGAGTAGGAGCATGCTCACAGGGCAAAGTCCAGGGTTCCAAGTCTACTCGAATAGGCTAAGTAAGTCCACAAGGCTAACTGTAGTCCACAGGCAAAGTCCTGGCAAAGCAAAGGGCAAAAGCAGTCCACAAGACAAGGGCAAGGTCCAAGACAAAAGGCAGAATTCAGTCTTCACGACTAGCAAAAAGTAGAAGACAGTCTTCAAGGCAAGACAAAAGACTAAAGGCACTAGTCAAAGCCAGGGCAACCTTCTTCCGAGTAGCCTTGCAGCCTTTCTCTGAACTTGCCAAGCTCTTCTCTCCATGCCCTAGGATTGACTGGAGGAGGCAGCTGTTCCTCATCAGAGGGGATCTGCTGCCTATCAGCACCATTGCCTGTCAGCAGCCAGTCGTCCCCTGTGTCTGTGAAGGCAGGCAGCTCTCCATCTGGTCAGCCACCTCCACCAATGCCTTAGGGTCTTGGGACAGCAACCTCCTCAGTCCCTGGCTCCAAACATGCCATCCCTGTCAGATGGTCCCAGTTTCCAACTTCTCCTCCTCCTCCGAACTGGGCTCTGATGGGGCCATGATATGTACCCATCAACCTTCCAAAGCAATAAATTGTGTCCTGAATGGACTGCCATGTACTTCTGTAACAGTCTAAATATATATGTATATTTACCGCCTTGAATTACTTATACAATGAAATAAAAATAGGATAAAAATAAACAAACAAATAAATAAATAAATAACATACAGCCTTTATTAACCAGCCATTTCCAGATCACAGAATTTCTACATACTGTTATATAGAAATAAGCCAAAAATTGCACAGTATAAAAAAGAAAGTCTTTTAATCTTTAGTTGTCTGGCTTGATAAAACTGTTTACATTTCTATGCTTTCCTGGAATATATAACAGTATAACATTTTTCCCTCATACTGCAAAGCTTTTACATTCCTGGCTGCTTATATTTTATCATTATCAAACTTCAGCAGAAATCCAGTTAAATCAGGTTTCAAATATTGTAAGTATTTATATCTTAAAAGTTTACATTAAACTGCCTCAATTAATGTAGCAGTTAACTTAAATAGGTCTTTAAAGCATTTTGCCATTGTTTATGCCTATATTATAGAAAATGAAATTTTAAAAAGTACTTTTTTTTCCTTGTTTTCTTCATCATGGATTTAGACCAGGACTTCTTGGCAGGCCACCAAATCTAAAAATCTTGTTATATCTTGTGCAAGTAAAACTGCAGTCTTTTAACTTAAAAACTTTTCATCAGTATATTCTGAAATATGGCAGTTTATTACTTGTAATATCACCAGAATCTCTAAACTTTCATAGCTCACACAATGACATATGGAATTTCAGAAGATGAAAGCACTTGTTATGTATTTCCTATTTAAATTAACAGTTTCAACCAATAAAATATATACCTGACAAGGGAAGGTGGATAATTTCCCACTCTGAGCCTCAGAAGCCTCTATGGTAGCTTTACCAGAAACTGAGCCAAGAATGAGAGTTTGACATCTGAAGGAAGTGTGATCCATTGAAGGAGAAAAAAGAAAAAGAGAGATATTGCTTTGTAGGATTGCATGACATCTTATCATATTGTTATCTTATCAGAAGTTGGGGAATGATATACATTCATATTATATAAAATCAAAGGAACCACTCCAGTATTATATATACAGCTAGAACGATCAGCTTGACCCCAATACCTGGGAAGATTCTGGAACCTTTTAGACACCGAGTGCCCAAACCGCAATCCAAAACCCACTTATTTATCGCAAAGTGCCAGGGCCTCATTAGCATTGTGGTGCCCTTGGGGGGAGGGCAGGGAGGCACCTCTGAGTGCTGCCTCTGGCACACAAAAAATGGGGTCGCAAAAATGGGCCACCGTGCTGTAAGGCACAAAAACGGCCGCTGCCACCACATCACGGGGTGCAGGTACAAGGTGTTGCACCATGTAAGAACAGGGCAGGGCTAGTGAATATCACACAGACACTAGCCCTGCCCCATTTGCAGCAGATGCTTGCTCGCGGCCCCATGCATGCATGCACACATGTAAAATGCTTCCCCCTCCCTTTTCTTCCAGTCTACCAATCAAGAATGGTTGGTGACCTCTGCTCTACCACCTCTACTCAAGCTTGCCAGTCGGCCACTTCGCCTCCTTTGTGCTGGGCAGGGTTCCTGCTCCGGGCGGCAGGGGCGGCCTGATGGACTTGCTGGCGGTGGTGGCACCCTTGCCAATAGAGCTCTGAGTGCCACCTCTGGCAGTGTGCCATAGGTTCGCCACCGCTGACCTAGAGGAAAACAGAGTCATTACCAAAAGCCAACATGGGTTTGTCAAAAACAGATCATGCCAGACAAATCTTATTGCATTCTTTGACCAGGTGACAAAATTAGTGGACCAGAGGAATGCTGTGGATATAATTTACTTGGACTTCAGTAAGGCATTTGATAAAGTAGACCACAACCTACTACTTGATGAGATAGAAAAATATGGGTTAGACAGCATCATCACCATATGGATTCGTAGCTGGCTGACCGGCCATACTCAGCATGTGGTCCTCAATGGAACTGCATCTACATAGAGAGAAGTATGTAGTGGGGTGCCCCAGGATTCTGTTCTGGGCCCAGTGCTCTTCAACATCTTCATCAATGATTTGGATGAGGGGATAGATGGGGAACTCATCAAATTTGCAGACAACACCAAGCTGGCAGGAATAGCCAACACTCTAGAAGATAGGCTTAAGATACAGGAGGATCTGGACAGACTTGAACACTGGGCGCTATCTAACAAAATGAAATTCAGTAGTGAAAAAAGTAAGTTCTACATTTAGGCAAGAAAAACCAAATGTACAGGTATAGTATAGGGGGTACCTTGCTCAATAGTAGTAACTGTGAGAGGGATCTCGGAGTCCTAGTGGACAATCATTTAAATATGAACCAGCAGTGTGCTGCAGCTGCCAAAAAAGCCAACACAGTGCTAGACTGCATTAACAGAGGGATAGAATCAAGATCACGTGAAGTGTTAATACCACTTTACAATGCCTTGGTAAGGCCACACTTGGAATACTGCATCCAGTTTTGGTCACCATGATGTAAAAAAGATGTTGAGACTCTAGAAAGAGTACAGAGAAGAACAACAAATATGATTAGGGGACTGGAGGCTAAAACATATAAGGAATGGTTGTTGAAATTGGGTGTGTCTATAATGAAGAGAAGGACTAGGGGGTGACAAGATCGCAGTGTTCCAATATCTCAGGGGTTGCCACAAAGGGAGTCAAGCTATTCTCCAAAGCACCTGAAGGCAGGACAAGAAGCAATGGATGGAAACTGATCAAAGAGAGAAACAACCTCGAACTAAGGAGAAATTTCCTGACAACAATTAATCAGTGGAACAACTGCCTCCAGAAGTTGTGAATGCTCCAACACTGGACGTTTTTAAGAAAAGACTGGGCAGCTATTTGTCTGAAATGGTATAGGGTTTCCTGCCCAAGCAGGAGGTTGGACTAGAAGACCTACATGGTCCCTTCCAACATTATTGTTGTAGTTGTTGTTGCAGTGGATATGATCTATTTTAATTTGGATTGTAATGCTATTTTTAAAGTATTTGGAAATATTTATCTTTTAATTATTGCTTTTAATGTAACCTCAGAGTCTCTTCAAAGCGAGATGGGCGGCAAATTTAATTATAAATAAAATAAATATAAGACTCAAAAATTGTGTACATATTATATAGAGGTTTAAATGAAGCCAAATAAATAGACTTTTTAAAAAATCTTTAAAATATTGGAAGAGCACTTTGGATTTCAATTTAATTAAGTCAGCTTGGAACTGACTTCTTGAAGTATTAAACAAAACTATTGTGGCAAATCACTGATAAATTAATTACGAAATGTATTCAGATTACTTAGCCAAATTAGTCACTGCTAAGCAGTGGAAATAAATAGATAATATTTCAATGGCTAGATGGCATGTTAAGATCTGATCTGTAGCTTTCTTGAAAACTCTGATAAATTCCATTGGATGATAAAGGAAAGAATCGTTGAAAAAAAAAATTATTTACATAAGAGTTAAGCATTTTGACTTCTGTCAAACATTGTGGGCATGTTAAAGATATATCAGCAATATGTAAATTTTGTGTAACTCAGATAAAATTAATTAATTAACAGAACATCTTATAGATAGCACTTTATCCTGTAAAGTCATCAATCACATGACCGTGTCCATGTCTTCAACCTTTTACCATGGTTAAGTGAATCACGAGTTGTTAAGTGAAATCTGACTTCCCCCATGTCTGAAGCCAGTTGAGAATGTTGCAAATGGTGATCACATGACTCTGGATGCTGCAACCAGTGTAAATACATCCAGTTGCCATGACAGTCATAAATGTGAAGTCACTCTATTCAGTGCTTTAGCAACTTGGAACAGTCACTTTTTTTAAAAAAAAAAAAAAGTTTCTTATTTTCAGCGTTATGACTGGAATTGCTATTATTACTGCTACAGGTTTTAGAAGATAAAATGTCCTGTTGTTCAGGATATTGAGCAAAAATTGTAGCATTATTTGCATAGATTAGTTGCCAACATTTCAGTGCTCTGTTTATATTCTTTATCTCTGTAGCAATGTCTGATCGTCAGGAAAGTGCACTTATAGAGTTAATGGTATGTACAATTCGACAAGCTGCAGAAGCACACCCTCCAGTGGGCAGAGGAACTGGCAAGAGAGTAAGGTTTTTCTTGTTACTTTTCTCTTGGACTTTTTGCATGCGTGTTTTTTCAGTGATTTTAAATATTTGAATAAGGAAAAAGTTATTGGAAAACATTTGTCACAAATGATATTTGAGTTCACTATTCTATTTTGTAAGGCCTTTTCTTTAAAATGCAAAGTATTAGAATTGTTTTCTAGAACACTGACAATTCAGATGTTTTTTGTAATCCTGTCCAGAACATAAAATGTTTGCCTTGATGAGCACTCATAATGAGAATGTGGAGGTGCACATCTCAAACATTTAGAGATATACTCAAAGAACTTTTGAGAGATACACATCTTTGTAACAAAATGGCTAAAAAATCTATATACTTTGTATTTAAATAACTGTACAGGTAGTCCTTAACTTATTTATTTATTTATTTATTTATTTCCAAATATTTATATGCTGCCCAATCCCAAAGGACTCAGGGCGGCGTACAAAGTTAAAACAATGATAAAACAATAAAATAAAACAGTCATAAATAATCATTTCCTTCAATGACTGTTCAAAGTAAAAACAGTATTAAATAAAGAGGCTTATGACTAGTTCTCAGAGTTGCAGCTATAGCAGAATCCCCGCAGTCATGCTATCACAATTTGGGAGCTTGGCAACTGGCTCACAATTATGACAGTTGTAGTGTCCCATGGTATTGTGATCACTATTTATAAACTTCACCGCTGGCTTCCAACAAGTAAAGACAATAGTGAAACTGGCACAAATGGTGATACATGATGTCACAATTAACAGCTGCTTAGGATTTGCTTAATGACTGCCACCGGAACTGCCATCAGAACACAGTGTGGTCACATGATATCACTTGGTGATGGAGTTGCCAGTCCAATTATTGCCATTAACTGAGAACTACTTATATTCATTCCTATTGCAGCATTCTCAGTGGGAAAATGTTTCTTTCAATTTGAGTTATAATAGTAGTGTCCTATTAAAAACCAGCATATTAATTTGGAGATTAACTAGGCTGCTGCATAAAGAAGCCACAATTTGTATTTTTATTGGCAAAATTTATATTACAATTGTTTATGATGTGATAGTCCCCCTATTTTTCAGGTTTTAACAGCAAAAGAAAGAAAAACTCAGATAGATGACCGGAACAAGCTAACAGAACACTTTATCATTGCACTTCCCATGCTCCTATCAAAGGTATGTCAATAGAATGTGATTCTGTAATAATATTTATATGAGTCTTTTTCTAATTTGTGTATTAATTCTCATTTTTTCCTATTGCTAGTATTCTGTTGATGCAGAGAAGGTGGCAAATCTTCTTCAAATTCCTCAATATTTTGACTTAGAAATTTACAGTACGGGAAGAATGGAGAAGGTATAGTACACCAAAATGGAGTAATAAATCTGAGTAATACTAATTTATATTAAAGGTTTGGTAATTATTTGGAATTTTACATTTCTGTATTTTCATGTTTAAGTTAGAGTAATTGCTTCAAGAAATGATCAGAAATTTTTCTTTGTTCCACAGCATTTGGATGCTTTGTTGAAACAGATTAAATTTGTTGTAGAGAAGCATGTGGAATCAGATGTTCTTGAAGCCTGCAGTAAAACATACAGCATTCTGTGCAGTGAAGAATATACCATTCAGAATAGGGTTGACATAGCTCACAGCCAGCTCATTGATGAATTTGTGGATCGATTCAACCATTCTGTGGAGGATCTATTAAATGAGGTTTGCTTGTATCCTGTTTTCGCTAGAGTAAAATATCTGCCTACACATTAGTACCAGAACATTATTTTAATCGTTTAATTTTTTTTTGTTTGCATCCCAGAACATCAAATGAGAACTAAATTTCTATTGTATTGGTGGTATATAAGAGGCCTAGACAGAGGTGGGTGGAAAACCACATGAATATATTTACCACAGAGAACAAAAGAAAAATCTTTTTCTGTTTAATGATATTGTGATTATAAAGTGAAGTGATGCAAGGAAATTAGTTCCTGACACTTAGCCATGGTGGCACAGTGATTAGAACATAGGCTAACTCAGCCTTCCATTCTTCTGAAGTCAGTAAAACAAGGACCCAGATTATTGGGGGGAATAATCTGACTCTATAAACAGAGTGTTGCAAAACACTATGAAGTGGTATATAAGTGCTATTGCTATTAATGATATTGTGATTCTAAAGTGATGTGATACAAGGAAATTAGTTTCTGACACGGTTATTGATTCCATTAAGTTTGAAAGTGGAAGAGAAGACATCTGTATAGTCAAGATCTCTGATCATATTTCCAATAGATGCATTGTTTCAAATGTGGATAGTTTCCATTATCCTCAACTTATGACCTTAAGAGGGACAGGAAAAATCGTGACTGTGCCTGATTTTACCTTTTTTGCTGCAGTCATTAAGCAAATCACTCATGGTTGTTAAGAGAGATATCATGTGACCACTACTTGTAACCTTCAGGCTTCCCTAATGACTTTGCTTCCCAGAAGCCAGCTGGGAAGGTTGCAGATGGCAGTCACATGACTGTAGGATGCTGTGAGTATCATAAACGTACAATGGTTGCCAAGTGCCCAAACCTTGATCTTGTAACTGGAGATGTGCAACAGTCATTAAGTGTGAAGACCAGTCATTTTTTTCAGAGCGGTTGTAACTTTGAACAGTTGCTAAATGAGTGGCCATTAAATGAAGGCTACCTGTACATAGAACCCCTTTATTTGGAGAAAGAAAGATTCATGTAACATGAACTTTTTTTTATAATTAGAATTCAATTAACTTGTAAATACATAGCTTTTGTAATTATCTACTCATGAAATAGGAATAATACTATATCTAATTTAAATCATATACTAAATTATTTATATAATTTAGCTCCAAATCAGCTCAATTTTATAAGTGGACAAAGAATATAAAAGTATTGTGTTAAAATTGCAACTTATCTCCAACAATATACATAATCTTCCAAACAAGCCCGTATTTCTTTTTTTAAGTCAATTTTAATCAGTCCTTCATTTTTAATGTTAATATTCAACTTCTTATTTTTTTCAGTATTTCAATAATTCCTGGGATTACTCTACACATGATAGAAATTCTTTTCTTTTTTGTCAAAAGCAGAAAGAGTTAACTTGTGCACCTCAGAATTAAAATGAGAATGTATTTTCTAGGAGTCATACATGTATTGTCATATATGTTCTGGTACCTTAATTCCTGTCAAGCATATACAGTTTTTTCATGCTTGCCTGTATTAGGCAGATCAAATCTATATTTAAATTTGTCACTCATATAACAATACATACAGTGGAGCAAAAAAGTATTTAGTCAGCCACCAATTGTGCAAGTTCTCCCACTTAAAAAGATGAGAGAGGCCTGTAATTGTCATCATAGGTAGACCTCAACTATGAGAGACAAAATGAGAAAACAAATCCAGACAATCACATTGTCTGATTTGGAAAGAATTTATTTGTAAATTATGGTGGAAAATAAGTATTTGGTCAATATCAAAAGTTCATCTCAATACTTTGTTATATATCCTTTGTTGGCAATGACAGAGGTCAAACGTTTTCTGTAAGTCTTCACAAGGTTGGCACACACTGTTGCTGGTATGTTGGCCCATTCCTCCATGCAAATCTCCTCTAGAGCAGTGATGTTTTGGGGCTGTCGCTGGGCAACACGGACTTTCAACTTCCTCCAAAGGTTTTCTATGGGGTTGAGATCTGGAGACTGGCTAGGCCACTCCAGGACCTTGAAATGCTTCTTACGAAGCCACTCCTTCGTTGCCCAGGCGGTGTGTTTGGGATCATTGTCATGCTGAAAGACCCAGCCACGTTTCATCTTCAATGCCCTTGCTGATGGAAGGAGGTTTGCACTCAAAATCTCGCAATATATGGCCCCATTCATTCTTTCCTGTACACGGATCAGTCGTCCTGGTCTCTTTGCAGAGAAACAGCCCCAAAGCATGATGTTGCCACCTCCATGCTTCACAGTAGGTATGGTGTTCTTTGGATGCAACTCAGCATTCTCTCTCCTCCAAACACAACGAGTTGTGTTTCTATCAAACAGTTCTACTTTGTTTTCATCTGACCATAGGACAGTCTCCCAATCCTCTTCTGGATCATCCAAATGCTCTTTAGCAAACTTCAGATGGGCCTGGACATGTACTGGCTTAAGCAGGGGGACACATCTGGCACTGCAGGATCTGAGTCCCTGGAGGCGTAGTGTGTTACTGATGGTTGCCTTTGTTACGTTGGTTCCAGCTCTCTGCAGGTCATTCACTAGGTCCCCCCATGTGGTTCTGGGATTTTTGCTCACCGTTCTTGGGATCATGTTGACCCATGGGGTGAGATCTTGCATGGAGCCCCAGATCGAGGGAGATTATCAGTGGTCTTGTATGTCTTCCATTTTCTAATTATTGCTCCCACAGTTGATTTCTTCACACCAAGCTGCTTGCCTATTGCAGATTCAGTCTTCCCAGCCTGGTGCAGATCTACAATTTTGTTTCTGGTGTCCTTCGACAGCTCTTTGGTCTTCACCATAGTGTGGTTTGGAGTGTGACTGTTTGAGGTTGTGGACAGGTGTCTTTTATACTGATAACAAGTTCAAACAGGTGCCATTAATACAGGTAATGAGTGGAGGAAAGAGGAGCCTCTTAAAGAAGAAGTTACAGGTCTGTGAGAGCCAGAAATCTTGCTTGTTTGTAGGTGACCAAATATTTATTTTCCAGCATAATTTGCAAATAAATTCTTTCCAAATCAGACAGTGTGGGAGAACTTGCACAATTGGTGGCTGACTAAATACTTTTTTTGCCTCACTGTAGGAGAACCTTACTTGGAGTTCAGTGCAAAGTCTGAGTTTCGTTTCTGAAATACAAAGTTATACAAATTCTCAACAGCCATTGCTATACATAGATAGGAATCTATATTCTTAAAGATAAGTGTAATATATAAATCGCTCAGCTCATGTTCCACTTTGTTTTATTTCCAGGGAGAAGAAGCTGATGATGATGATGTATACAATGTTCTTTCTACTTTAAAGAGATTAACATCATTTCACAAGTATGTGACTTTATGAAATTTTATAGTTATTTAAAGATGGTCAGACATTTTTACTCTTGCAAAAAATTAAGCAAGATTGGAAGGTTTTTATTGTTTACACACACATACACACACACACATCTTAGAGTATGTGTGTGTATATACAAACAGCAACTTTACACAAGATGTAGGAAAGAAACTCCATAGTTTAAGAAATCTCATAGTTTATATGTTGTACTTAAACTCCTATTTATTACAGTGATTTTATTACTGCATTTGTTCAATTTTTACTGTACATGTTTGTTAAATGCATTTTATAATTTCTCTCAAAAGCGCTCATGACCTTACAAAATGGGATTTGTTCAGTAACTGCTACAGGTTATTGAGGACAGGAATTGAACATGGAGCTATGCCAGAACAGGTAATATTAAGTAATATGTGCTGCTGTCTTCATAAAATACAATATGAAAGGGATTTGGCTGTTCCCCAGTAAAAGTTCTATACGTAATTTTCTTATATTACTGTTTTTCCTCTTTTTGTTGTTGTTAATTGCGAAGTCGTGTCCGACCCATCGCGACCCCATGGACAACGTTCCTCCAGGTCTTCCTGTCCTCTACCATCTTCTGGAGTCCATTTAAATTCACACCTACTGCTTCAGTGACTCCATCCAGCCATCTCATTCTCTGTTTCCTCTTTTTAATGTTATTCTAATAATACTATAATACTGTTTTGCTTTGACAATTAAGATGGGTCGGCATATGAGTGAGTGAGTGAGTGAACGAACGAATGAATGAATGAATGAATTTTGTGACTACCAAAAGTCCATTAAATTGAGTTGGACTTAAGCAATTAAGGCACCAGGCTAGAAACCAGGAGACTGTGCGTTCTAGTCCCACGTTAGGAATAAAAGCCAGCTGACTTTGGACCACCCAATCTCTTTCTGTCTCAGTCCAAACCACTTCACAAGGTTGTTGTGTGGAAAATAGGAGGAAGAAAGAGTATTTGGTATGTTTGCTGCTTTGAGTTTTTATAAAAGTAATAAAGGCAAGATATTTTTAATTAATGTTCTTTACTATATCCTATCTTCATTTGAGGTGCAAAAGTATAAAGTTATTTATCTCTCCCATAATTTTACCTTCATAACGGTTCTATGAGTGATTAGGCTAAAAGATAATATGTGGTCCACAGTCCTTCAAATTAGTTTTATTGCTAGATAGAAATGTGACTACTTTAATCCATGGAAAACATTGTAATTTTCATTAGCACCTTTGTGCTTGCACACAATTCCCTTGGCACCTGATGAGATTTCTTGTCTCCTTTTATTTTTAAAGATTATTTTAATTTGGAAAAATCAGGAGAAAAATAAAAGTGAAAAAAAATAGTCATGTTAAGCAAAACATCAGTTTCATATGTTTCATTTTAATGTGCTGTAACAAACTAGGTTCATGCTATCAAAATAAATAGTTTCAAGTTTGGAACAAGCTACTTTAAACCATACCATACGTTTTTAAATTGAGATGCTCAGGCTATCTTTATATGTGTCTATACATTTGAGTTTTCCTGGCTTTAAACTATACAATTGAAATTTCAGTTGGTTGTAACTATTATTTGTCCTCCATCTCAAGAATTAATAAACTGATTCCTTGTATTGTCTTAAACTCCTTTAAATACATTGTTTGCAAACAATAGTTTATAATTGCTACAAACTGTACAAACTTTATACTTTTTTGTCTGTTGTGAATTTTGTTTCAGATAGTGGTTCAGGCTCTTCAGTGTTCCCATTATTCTATTCTCTGGCAGCTGGTAAAAATTACAGAAGGATCTCCTTCAAAAGTAAGATACTATGGATCACCGAGAGTTGAGTTGATTGTCCTACATTCTTTCATAAACACCCTATTTCTGGCATCAACAGGCCAATATTTACTGTATACAGATAATGTCCAATTTGCAATCATTCATCTAGGGACTGTTCAAAGTTACAATAGCACCGAAAAAAGTGACTTATGACCAGTTCTTGTACTTAAACAACTGTCACAGCTTTTCCATGGTTACATGATCAAATTTTGGATGCTTGGCAACCAGCAAGTATTTTACAACAGTTGCAGCATTCTGGGATCATGTGGCCATTTTTGACTTCCAAGCCAGCTTCCAATAAGCAAAGTGAATGAGGGAAGATGGATTCACTTAACAACTGCATAATTCACTTAATAATTGCATGACTCACTTAACAACTATGGTAAAATGGTTATAAAAGTCTGTCTCACTTAACATCCATGTTGCTTAGCAACAGAAACATTGGTCTCAAATGTGATGGTATGTCGAGGACTACCTGTAATATATTTTGCTTTTCAATGACCCTCTAAGCATGTGTCATGGCCCCTGTTACATGTTTTTTCACCTGTGGTCTCCTTGAAATAACTTAGACCTTTCAAAAGTCAAATGGTTCTAGTTGAGAATTACTATTCTATATAATTTGAGCTGGGATTTTTCCTGCATTTTAACTGAAGTATCAATGCATTTCCACTTAAATCTGCTATAAGATTACAGCCCTCATGTCTAGCTTCTTATCTGGATATCATGGTTCCCACTTATATAAAATGGGAAAAGTTATTTATTTTTCTGCATCCAACTTGCATGTATATCCACTCTTAGGTATTGCACATATATATAATTAACATATCAAGAATAGAAGAATAATCATTTGAAAAACATTTCATTGTGAAATCTAATACTATGTATATGATTCATTAGCTGAAGTTCTTATACCACATAAAGTTTCCTCATGATCTGACTATAATGACCTTCCTTTCTATAAATGAAAAACAATTGCCATGGCAGAATCCCATGTTCAGTATATGAATTTTCAAATTACATCTTCATGTGAATGAAAATATGTAGAAAAATGACTCCCACAAATTATGGAAACCTTTTTTCCCCATTATTATTTTTTTCCCTATTATTTTATACTCACAAAATCCATACTCAAATGCTATTATTACTTTCCTAGATATTGTTGAAATGCTGATGGTCCTTAATGTATGATCACAATCGGGACCAATTGTTAAGTGGTGCAGTCATTAGGCAAGGGATCATATAACCATACCTGATTTTATGACCTTTTAGCCACAGTTGTCATTAAACGAGACACCACATGATCATGACTTGTGACCTTCCCTGCTGGCTTCCCTATTGACTTAGCTTGTTGGAAGCCAGCTGAGAAGATTGCAAATGGCAATCATGTGACCCTAGGACAGGGCTTTTCAACCTTTTCACCCATTGTACCACTTTTAGGATATGGCAACATCCGACTACCACCAGTCACCTAGCAAGGTGTCAAAAACTTGACCCAAAAAAAAAAAAAGGAAAAAAGTGATAAAGTACAGGTAGTCCTCGACTTACAACAGTTTGCTTAGTGACTGTTCGAAGTTACAATGGCACTGAAAAACATGCCCCCCAAGCCACAGCCGAGCAAGACGCCTGCCCACCTGGTGGCGCTCTTCCTCCTGTCCGAGGTTTGCATTGTTGTGAGCATTTCTGTTGAGGATTGGCAACGGGGATGGGGTGGGGGGTGTTCGGTTTTTATTCCCCCTATCTGCTGGGTGGTTGCAGCAGGTTGTGGTCATTTCACATGACCCTGGGACACTGTGATCGTAATAAATATGAATCAGTTGCCAAGCATCTGAATGTAAATCACAAGACCCTGGAGATGCCGTAACATTCCAGCTGATTGGTGTTTCTTCTGGGCTCAGCAGAAGTGCCAGGATCAGTGCTGCTTTCCAGCTGATTGATGCTTCTTCAGGACTCAGCAGAAGCACCAGGATCAGCGCTGAGCTACAGCTGGAGCCTGGCGCTGATCCTGGTGCTTCCACTGAGCCCTGACAGCCCCGAAGAAGTGCCGATCAGCTGGAAAGTGGCTGTCACGTCGTCCTTCGTCGTCCTGATGAAATAAAGGCAGGAACGCAGGAACAAAGTGCAAGTCAGGTATTTTAATCCCTAACAAACAAAGTCAGCACTGGGAGTGGTTTGCTCCCAGTGTTTCATATAACAATGCCACACCCAAAACCCCACCCTCCAACCAGTAACCACCATCCGCCCAGCTGTCTTCAAAGGTCCGTTTGTCCGGCCCTGGCCCTCCCCCAGCTGAACCCCACCCCACCCCTCTGCCCTGCTTCCTGTTTGTTCAAGATGGAGCCGTCTGTTAACGCGCAGCTTCCAGGCTCCCCCGGTAACAGTGAGTTTGCTTGTGCCTCGCAGTGTTCTGTGTTGGGCAACCCCTGGTTCAGCTTCCCAGCTAGCTCACACACACACACACACCCCGTCCAGCTGCTGCACAGAGCGTCCGTGCCATTGGAAAGCCGCCCTCGCCCGGTTTCGGCTTTTCGCCGGCCTGCGCATGTCGCTCAGGTTTTGCAATGGCCCGCTTTCGTCCGATGATTAGCTGAGCGGCGGGCCGGCAAGGCTTGAGATTTCCAGGTGCCGACTGGCCGGGCTCAGCACTGTCTTGCCAGTTTCCGACACCCAGCTGGTTGGCGGGGCGGCGAGGCATGGGTTTCTCTGCTGCCAGCTGAAGCGAGGGGCCGTGCAGTGTCGCAGCTGGTACGGCGGCGGTGGGTTGTTCTCCGAATTCCCCCACCAGTGATTGGCCAGCCCTGTAGGGCTTGACAGTGGCACTGATCCTGGCGCTTCTGCTGAGCCCTGACAGCCCTGCAGCTCCAGCCATCTCTCGCTCAGGCTTGTGCAGTGCTGCCACCGATTCAGCTCATTCGTCTCCCTCGCTACTTTTCTAGGATGGTCGCGTACCACCTGCCAGGTGCCAATGTACCACAGGTGATACCCATACCACTGGTTGAAAAGCCCTGCCCTAGGACTTTGTAACTATTGTAAATGAGAGCCAGTTTCCAATCACTTAGATCTTGTGATTGGAGGGTCATTACAATGACTGTAAGTGTGAAGACTGGTTATAAATCACTTTTTTTCAATGCTGTTGTAACTTCAACCAGTCAATAAATGAATGGCTGTAATTTGTGGGCTCCTTGTATGTTTACTTTTTTTCTGTTTAATATTTCTGGTAGGGCACAAGAAAGAGCAGTGTAGGCGGTCTGCCAAGTGTCCCAAGTTTTGATTACATGACTGTATTGGCACTGCAATGACCATAACTTTGGGGATCAGTCATAAGTCCATTTTTTCAGCACCATCTTAACTTTGAACAGTTGCTAAATGAATAGTCATTGGTCAAGGGCTACCTGTACATTGAATAATATGATATGGTCATGTCTGGCTTTGGTTTCATTTTGGAATTATATTGTAAGATACATTGATAGATATATGGGTACACTCTTCAAGTTAAAGTTGTTAATGAGTGTTTTTGAGGAATGTTGTTTATATTGGGTATGTAGATTCGCCAAGGGAGTTATATTAAGAGGTTGGAAAAGTACTGTTAACCAGATATCATAGTCTTGATTCAGAAATATTTAATGTTTCTAGTTTTGAAATTATTTTTCTAATTAAAAATGGGCATAATACATTTCTTTCTGGGCATAGTATTTCTTTTATATCCTATAAGAATAGACATTTTATGTATATTTTGATAAATAGTTATCAATTATATGAATGTGATTTATTGTGATTTATATTAGTAGTATATTATTGTTTAGGTATATGTTTCTACTTTATTTCTTCCTGATATTATCTTTCTCTTGGTATTATCATTTCATAATAGAAAAAATCTCTTAAATATTCCCTTGTTAACCACTGAGACATAACTTTAAAACTATGTACTGCAGTAACTGCCATCATTTTCCAAATCTTCTTACTGCAGGTCTATTTTATTCTTGGATTTTATTATTTAAATTGTGATATTGTGAGCTAATTTAGAGGTGCCATCTGCAGCTATTATTACACAGTACCTTTTTTCTTCTCTCTATTCTGAATATTTTATTCCTGAAAATGTTGACTGATACTAAAAATAAGACAATTGTTTTATATGTTTCCTCTAGGAAGATTTATTGGTATTAAGGAAAACAGTCAAATCATTTCTGGCTGTCTGCCAACAGTGTCTGTCAAATGTCAACACTCCAGTAAAAGAGCAGGTAACAGAAATCACTTAAACACATAAAACATGACGACAGTATATTACAAACTGTTGTATATCCTATTACCTACAAAAATTAAATACTAAGCCTTCTTAATTAACTTGAATAATTTGTAAACTTTTAATATTTCTTCTAATTTAATTTTATCTATTCTGGGAACCTTCTATGAAGGCTATATGTAATTAGCCACACAATTAATATGCTTTCATTCTGAATTAAAATTGAGATCTGGCTAGATAATGGAAGTCAATAGAGTTCCAGAGTTCATTTTAATTATGTTTTCGTATTAGTTTTCCTATCTTTTACTTTTGGTTTCTATTACTAATAAACATGCAAACAAAAATTTAATTGAAACTTTTGTTAATAACCACTAATGCTATATGTCTTTCTGATTGCAGGGTAAAGATATTTCCTTTCCCCTTAATTTCCATAAGCACTCTTTTGAGTATAGAATATAATGTTTGTGTATATACTTTGCTGAATGAGATTTGTGATTTTAAAAATTTCTGATAAAGTAATTTGCTCATCATACTTTTTAAAACTTTGCTTATATTTTTTATAAATCTATCCTTACAAGTATATTTGCTGAAGTGTTTTCCTTATAAAAGTGTTTTTCATTGATAATAATAAACTAGTTTTGAAATACTATTGTATGTGTACTGCCACACTGGTTAGAATAATTCCCTAAGGTATCTATTTGAAAAGACATGGAGAAAAGATTATGAGGAAGAAAAGATGCAAATGCTTTTGTTTTTGTATTTCATCTTTATTACAATTACAAGCTAAGATAGAAATGAGCTATTTAAAAAGATACAGATTCATTTCCAGAATATACTGCATGTCTTTTTTGTTGTTGTTGTCATTGGATGACAGTATAAAAAGTATGAAAAAGCAAATAGACTTGCTGCTTTTCCTAGACATTTCTTGGTCCCAGTGACCTCTCTGAGAAAGGAAGAGGAATCCCAAGAAGCTGACTACAATGTAATTGAATTCAGTAATTTATCTTTTACTATTTTTAACTTGGGTCCAGACTACTTCAAGAATTATTACTGGAAATATTACTGCAGGTTGTAACATACAGGTCATGATCCTTTAACAATTGCACCATCAGTATCTCTATTTTTTAAAATTATGTTTTTATTAAGCATTTTTGAGAAAAAAGAAACATGAGCAAAAAAGATCTAAAAATAAAACACAGTATGCATATATAGATTTACAAGCCTCATAGGATTTGGTTATTTTTTTCTATATTTCATTAAATAGTTTTAAATAATTTAGTACATTATATGATCATTGAACAAATCATTGTTAAAATTCAAATAATATTTAGACAGCAATAATCATTTTAGTATAAATCTTAACATGAGATTAAGAACTATAATAATTACAATATAGGTAGCCTATGAGTCAGGCTAGAGATAATTTGTGAGCCATGAACTCCCAAATCGGCTCCAAATCTGTGCCCATGCAGATTGAAGTCTACTAGTTCCATAAGCCTGGGGACCTCAACTGCCATTCCAACCACAGATTTTTAGAGAGGAGGGAAGAAATATTTTGTTGTAATATTCAATTCAGTTTTGCAAAACCCAGTTTGGTCTAGTGATTAAGGCATCACTAAGGTTTTCGAGTTATGATAAAGGTAAAAATAGTACTAACTCTTCTGGTTGTGCTTCTTGTCCTAATTACCTTGAAGCATTAACATTGATCTTCCAAGACTGAAAGTATTTCTCCCTTCCACTTTCTGGAAAACTAGGGAAGGTCTCTTCTGTAACATGTCCCATGTTTTCCCCTGACCTGTGGATTATAAACTGCCTCTTATCAGAATATTTCTGAGGCTGCAAATTCTCCTTTGTTCTTGCAAGGCTATTTCCCACATATCGTCACAACAGCTTTCCAAAAACCAGGTAAAACCTCATCCAGCTTATATGCAATCTTGCTACAATCCAGAAGTGCAGTCTCAGGCCACTTCTCACTATCATTACTATAATTGCTGCCTAGGAGAAACAGGCCAGAATTGCTGTTCCTGTTGCTGCTACTCCTGCTGTTGTAATGCAAAAGAATCCTCAGCAGATGAGAAGCAGATTTGTGGTCATCATCAAACAGCCAAAAAGCCACTTAACAAGGCTGCCTCACCAAAGCTTCTGCTACTCCAGACAAAAGCAGCAGCTTCCAATTGATAAATCAAACCAGCTCTCACCTCCTCTGAACCAACAAATGGCTCTACCTCTCTGACATACCAGAGGCCATTTGAAAGTGCTACAGTATTCCGGATCTCCTGACACCCAGCTTCACCAGCCAGCTGTTTGCACCTAACAAAGTAGAGTTTAACTATGCACAACCTATTACAAATTATCCATAATTCTCAAGTTGTAAAAACTTAAATACATATAGCTTTATATTAGAATCTTATATACCTGAGCCTTTTTTTACATCTGTAAGATAATTGATTAATTTTTTCCTATATTTCAGGCTTTTATGCTGCTCTGTGATCTCTTGATGATTTTTAGCCATCAGCTGATGAGTGGAGGCAGAGAGGGTCTTCAACCTTTGGTGTTTAATCCAGATTCATGTCTCCAGACTGAACTCCTTAGCTTTGTAATGGATCATGTCTTCATTGACCAGGATGATGAGAACCAGAGCATGGGCATGTATTAGTTATTTTGATGTGTACTTATAAATAGTCCCAAATGGTTAGGAAAACCCACCCAGCTTTTTTAATAAATTGAAATTTCTCAGCTAATTATTAAGTTTGTAGGCTGTAATTTTTCTGTATTTATTTGCAGCAATATTTAAGGTTTTTTTTAATCTGCTTCTGGACATTTTATGGAGATAGATAGATAGACAGACAGACAGACAGACAAGCAGAATAAAAGAAAGAACTAGAGAAAATCACAAAATGCAAAAAACCTGCAAATAAAAATAGACCCACTATGGTAAAAGAAAGCAAAGATAATACCAGTAGTAATAGGCACTTTGGATGCAATCCTAAACAGCTGGAGTACCACTTGACAAAATCACCAACAATTGCAGAAGGCAGCTTTTCTTGGAACAGCCTACAGTCCTTTGACTATACCTTTAACACCTTTAAGCAACATTTGTCTAACCCAGGTCCTTAGGAAGAAGACTTGATAGGTAGATAAAAATGCCAAACATCTGGCTGACTGTGTGACCAACTATAATACAAATACCTATAATAAGTTGATCTCTTCAAATGATACTATCTCATGCACAAAAGAGAAACAGTAACAGAATTAAAGTTAAATTCATAGGATTTTTGAAAGAAATGTTTAGAAGAGATGGTAACATCTCTCTTCTCCCTCCCTAACATGCTGTGGAACCTAAGTATTGCTAGTAACTATGGGAGGCTATTTGGCAGTTTCAGGAGGGAAAGAGGCAGGGAGACTAAATATAATTGAATATCTAGAAAGAATTCTGCAATATGAAAGAAGGAAAATGTAAATAAGAAACAATGGGGCAATAAGGACAAATATTTCAAAGAAGAAAGAGGGGGGAAATATAAAGAATAGAAAAGTACTGTTACAAACTGCTGTTAACAAAAGATATATTACGTGCGTATGTGTGTAATGTTTGTTGTGTTTTGTTTTCTTGGTCTAAAATAATAATTAAAAAAATCAGAAAAAAAAATTAGAAAGACTTCTGCCGATCAAATCTTGGCCAGGAACATTGCAGTACGGTATTTTTTTAGCAAGTTTCTCTTGTTGCTAGTTAGCAACTATCACAATAGCTATCCTGTCATATTTTAGAAAACTGTAGAATAGGGGTGTCAAGCTGCCGGCCCACCCCATTGCCGTGCCCACCCCATTGCCAGCAATGGCAAAAAAGCTCCGATACGTCGTGCGACGTCACACAACGTCGCGAGTTTGACATGCCTGCTGTAGAATGTATCTGTCAGGTTCTGACTAATGAAACACTTCAAAGAACTTCCAGGCATTGTTTTCCTAAAAAGTCTTTTATTTATGTTACAACATGCCGGAACACCAAAGGGATGTTAAGAACTAAATTCTCTTCCCCTGAGCAATTAATTTATCAGCATGTTCCCTCCCTAAATTTGCTGTCATATATCACATTCTCCTATCAGGTGAAAGGGCAAAGGTTCTCTTCCGTTCTCTTCCCGAGCAGTCCTATCTTTCTCCTTCCCCCCCCCCCCCATCATCTGAATTAACTCTAAAAATATCAGACAGTTCTGCATATTTTGTCAAAGCAAGAATATACAATATTAGCAGTATCGATTAGGTAAATGAGAAATAATGACATTAAAAAGCAACAGTATTTTATTTCATTTATTGTTTAGAAGGAGATGAAGAAGATGAAGCTAATAAAATTGAAGCTTTACACAAGAGAAGGAATCTTTTGGCTGCCTTTAGCAAACTTATAATTTATGATATTGTAGATATGCATGCAGCAGCCGATATCTTCAAGCATTACATGAAGGTATGATTCTGTGCTATGTTACTTTTTCCTAATAAATCAGATTTGCCAAGATGTATGAGATACTTCTAAGGCTAACTTCATTTTGGTGAAAAGTCAGGCATACATTATTTAAATGACCCTCAATTTACTTAAGTCTCCTGGAGTTGAAGAGATCCGCTAGAACAGGAGTGTCAAACTGGCAGCCCGCAGGCCAGATGTGTTGTGCGCAGGCCATGCTTACCCCAGCTCCACAAAGGCAAAAAACATCGTGATATGTCACAATACGTCACATGACATGATCGAGTTTGACACCCATGCTCTAGAACAGGGCTTTTCAACCAGTGGTACGGGTACCACCTGTGGTACATTGGTACCTGGCAGGTGGTACGCGACCATCCTAGAAAAGTAGCGGGGGAGGGGAATGAGCTGAACCGGTGGCAGCACCTCACAAGCCTGAGCGAGAGATGGCTGGAGCTGCAGGGCTGTCAGGGTTCAGCGGAAGCCCCAGGATCAGTGCCGCTTTCCAGCTGATCGATGCTTCTTCGGGGCTGTGAGGGCTCAGTGGAAGCACCAGGATCAGCACCAGGTTCCAGCTGTAGCTCGGCGCTGATCCTGGTGCTTCTGCTGAGTCCTGAAGAAGCACCAATCAGTTGGAAAGCAGCACTGATCCTGGCACTTCTGCTGAGCCCAGAAGAAGTGCCAATCAGTTGGAATGTTGCAGCATCTCCAGGGTCTTGTGATTTACATTCAGATGCTTGGCAACTGATTCATATTTATTATGATCACAGTGTCCCAGGGTCATGTGATGTGACCACAATCTGCTGCAACCACCCAGCAGATAGGGGGAATAAAAACCAAACAACCCCCCCACCCCCGTTGCCAATCCTCAACAGAAATGCTCACAACAATGCAAACCTCGGACAGGAGGAAGAGCACCACCGGGTGGGCAGGCGTCTTGCTCGATTGTGGCTTGGGGGAGCACTTTTTTCAGTGCCATTGTAACTTCGAACAGTCACTAAGCGAACTGTTGTAAGTCGAGGACTACCTGTACTTTATCACTTTTTTCCTGGTTTTTTTTTTTTTTTTTTTTTTTTTTTTTTTTTTTTTTTTTTGGTCATCTGGTTTTTGACACCTTGCTAGGTGACTGATGGTACTCGGATGTTGCCACATCCCGAAAGTGGTACATTGGGTGAAAAGGTTGAAAAGCCCTGCTCTAGAACAAACTAAGATAAAGTATTCAAGGCTGCACTAAATATAGAGGAATCATTGGAAAGTTTCCAAAGCAAAACTCCCATAATAAATACAAGTTTATAATTTTAACCTTTTCCCAGTGAATAATGTTCTTTCTATTAAATGTTCTTACTGTGTACAAAATATTTACAATTGAATATTTTTGTAACATTACAAATGAAAAATGTTAATTTATGTATCTTGTTTTTGTGCCCTGGAGTCAATCCTTACTCCTGGCAACTGCCTAAACAAATCCATTTCCAGCAAGATCATCAGAAGTGATTTGCCACTGCCTTCTTCTTATGGTTGAAAAAGAATAATGGTCCAAAGTTGCCTAGCTGGCTTTGTGCCAAAGGTGGTTTCAAACCTGGGCCTTTACTACTCGGTGTAACTGGGTTTATTTCTTTATGTTAATGATCATTATTTTTTGACACTAGAATTCCACCATACTATTTCTGCAGGGCAGTTATCTTGAGAGTTATCTCTGAGTTGGATCTTTGCATGGAAATATAATGAAATAGTGGTTTTTCTACACACAAAATCTTCCCCTTATGTACAAAGAGAAATTCGGTTGGCAGTATAAAACTATTCAGCTTAACACTATTTGAAATTAGCATTTATTAATTAATTCTAGTGTAGGATGGATAGTTTATTAGAGAAAACAATCTAAAACCCCACATCAAAGGTTGACTAAGAAAAAGATAGTCAATAAAAATTAAATGCATTGTTAATTAAAATGTGTGCTTTTCTTGCTTTTAGTACTACAATGACTATGGCGATATCATTAAGGAGACATTGAGTAAAACAAGACAAATTGACAAAATTCAGTGTGCAAAAACTCTCATTCTCAGTTTACAACAGGTAAATTTTTTAGCCCCCATTAATTCTTTAAATGTGTCTTTTATGCTTTCTTCATATACTTGAATGTTCTGTTGCTATCATGTGGCCATAGGATAGAGATTAATAGGAATATTTACAAACTATTACAGAATTTCTGATTAGAATAAATGAACAGTTAAAATTGTCATCTATGATCAGTTCAGGACTACATTACAAAATTATTTTATTTGTTAATTTATAGCACCCCCTTCCTTATTGGAGCTCAAGGCAACATTCTCCTATTTTTCTCTATAACAACCATCCTATGAGGTAGGCTGGACTAAGAGTGACTGGAGCAGTATTGCCTAAAACTAAACTATAACCTGAATCTCTGATACTAGCCCAGCATCTTAACCATTTCATTCTGCTCATTCAGAATACATTAATTTAATTAATCATAGTTTAGTTTATATTTTGACAAAATATATCTGAACAAAAAGGCTGTACAATTCATACAATACAGTTAAAATAGAAAAACAGTGTGCTCCATTCTATTATCTTCAGCATGCATATTTAGTATCAAATTTCAGTAATTTATTATACAGTACTTGGGTCAGCATTATGAGTTAAAAACTTGTTGCATTGGAAGCTTAGATAAAGATGCCCCATTTTTTTCTTTTTTAAAGTTGAAAAGAATATTGAGAAAAAAGATGATATTTCAAGTAGAGTTATTACTGCGCTTTCGCATAGAGGAGAAAGACAAGGAGGAGATACTTCTGTAACTTTTATTTGTTAGTATATAATTGAATCAGAGAAAAAAGGGGGAGAAACTCCTTTAACAAAACAAAGACAATCCAAGTCTTCTTAATAAACATTTACTGAAATGTATGTCCATATTTTACAAAAGATGTTGAGAGAATACCTGAAAGTCTCCAAATTAAGAGAAATTAAAAATCACAGTTTTTGCTTTGATTAGCTAACACAATCAAACATTATAATGGTCTGCCTTGCATATTAATCTCTATATGAAAAGGTATATATATATATATATATATATATATATATATATATATATATATATATATATATATATATATATATATATATAGTAAGTTTATCAGACAATTTACATTATTCATTTGTTTCTTTTCTAAGTTATGTTGGAAACCACAGCTGTAGGCCCTAAATATTGATATAGAATGTGCCACTATATCTGTAAAGATTTGAACCTTCAGTTCTTTCTGCAGCTGTTCAATGAGCTTGTTCAAGAGCAAGGTCCTAACTTGGACAGGACATCTGCCCATGTCAGTGGTATTAAGGAGCTGGCCCGACGTTTTGCTCTTACCTTTGGTCTGGACCAGATAAAGACAAGAGAAGCTGTAGCCACGTTGCACAAGTGAGTTGCAAGGAATGTGTTGAAGTCAAATAATGCCTTTTTTAAAATAGGGTATAACTATGCCCAGTAGCACTATATGAGAGCCGAGGTGGCGCAGCAGTTAGAGTGCAGTACTGCAGGCCACTTTAGCTGACTGTGTTCAGCAGGTCAGCGGTTCAAATCTCACCGGCTCAAGGTTGACTCAGTCTTCCATCCTTCCGGGGTAGGTAAAATGAGGATCCAGATTGTTGGGGGCAATGTAAATATATATACATTGCTTACTGGTGTACACCGCTTAGAGAGTGCTTGTACTTAAAGCGGTATATAAGTCTCGTAAATAAATAAATAAATGTTGTTATATTGAATGTGTGTGTAAGAGAGAGAAAGAGAGGGAGGGAGAGTTGCATTGGTGCTTAAGAGAATAATTAGGCTTTTGTAATAAATAGTTTTAGAAGTTGACTGTTTAAATATTAGTCACATTTTCTAAACAGCATTCTATATTGTATTACATTTGTTCTAAACAATTTGAAGAAATTATTCATAAATAGAAATCACTGCATATTATTTATCATTATGTGTATGACCTCTAATGTAAGTAATAAATGCTTTAATTTTTTTTAATATATAAAAAGAAACGTAAAAAAATTAATAAAGAAAACAACCAAAAACAGGAAGAGGATACAATGAAAATATGTACTACCTTTAATGAAAATAATTTTCCTCCGATATTTAAACATGATTTAATCATGATTACAAAAAAAGATAAACAGTCTGTCTATTTATATCTATGGAAAACCAGTTTATCAAACGAAACTTAGTACAGATGCTTAATCTAGGATTGTAAATCTGTGGTCATACCATGTTCCTAATATTGAAGACAATATTTTGTTTGTTTGCTGATAAATCCATAATTTTTCATAAAATCTTAACATTCAGATTTTAAAACTCTCCTAACCAACTTAAAGATGTTACATTGAGTATGGATAGTGATGCATTGAATTATCCTTTCGTTTTCACTGCATTTGGTATTTTATTTCAAGTTTGTATAGAGTTTGATACAGTTATTTAGTTCTTGGATATCTTATTACAGAGATGGCATAGAATTTGCATTTAAATATCAAAATCAAAAAGGACAGGAATATCCACCTCCTAACCTTGCTTTCCTGGAAGTACTTAGTGAATTTTCATCTAAATTATTACGACAGGACAAGAAAACTGTGTAAGTAACACATTTTGCTACTTGTAGTCAACTTTATTGATAAGTAATATGTGAAGTAAAAAGTCTGGTTTAATTACAATTAATTACTGTACTGTACATCTAATTACAATTTTTATAAATTTATTTAAGAAATGGTTGGCATCGAGGATTGTCTTTTAAGTTGAGAGAATTCTGATATTCTAAGAACAAAATCTCACGGTTTGTTTAAACATATTCTAACCTCCAGTTTTCTTTCTCTGAACATTTATATATCTTTTGCCACTAGAGAGGAGGTAGACTTTATTGTAGTCTACTGTGTACATTCAGGCAGGAAACGTTAGCATTTCTGAGATAGGCATAGATAGATATTTGTAACAAGAAGTAGAATCAAATTGAGTTAATTTATGGGTAGGACTGCTTCCTTCAGCAGTATCTCTTTCCAACTGCAATAATCACATTCTCAATGTAGAGGAAGAAAAGAATTTTAAGCTCTATAGCAGGGGTGTCAAACTGGCGGCCCCTGGGTTGTATGCTTCACACACAGGCCACGCCCACCCCAGCTCGGCAAAGGCAAAAAACCGTTGCAATACATCATGATATGTCACGTGACACGATCAAGTTTGACACCCGTGCTCTGTAGAGTTGGGTTGAGGGAAAGTGGGGAAAGATTGTATTATATGACTAGACTTCAGCCTTCCTTCAAACTTTTGTTTTGAATCCATGTTATTTTACTTAATTTCTTTGACCAGACTGAGAAAGCCAATCTGTTTCTTGAAGTGTATAATATTTTATTTAGTCCATCCTAAGTCTTCTTAGTAATATGGAGGAGGCATAAAATAGTCCATTTAAAATTGGCAACATGTTCAAACAAAACAAAGCATAAAACCATCAGAACTAACTACACACTTTTAACATGTCTTGGAAATTTTAAAATATTTATTCTAGTGCTGAAGTTATTGCATCAGAGCCAATAAATATTTTAACATAGAGGGCATTCAAGAGATAGCACTCCACCATTGAGAGAAGCCCTCTTTCCAACAAACATCTATTGGCAAGAAAAAAAGCCTGTTGCTAAAGAACTTAAGACATGGTGTTATTAGCATAAGGAAAACTTGCCATCTTTTCCCCTCCATAAGGCTGTCCTTCTAGATCAAATTTTACATTATGAATTTTGTGTATAATATAGTCTATGTACTATATATTTTATGTTAAAAATAGTTGCTACAAAAATAAAAGCTTATGAAGAAAACAAAATCATTTATAGCTGCTTAGACAGAAAATGTATTTTTTTAAAAAAACAAAAAAAGGATTTTCACATATAGCTTTGGTATGTCAAGCCTGTAGCATTCAATAAAACTATTGTACTCTGCCCAGACTCATGCTTTTGTGAGATGGGCAGCCATATAAATATAATAAATAAATAAATCTAGAGACATATAAAACAATAATTATTAGAAGGAAATAATTATGCTTGTTATACATTGCCTGTTGTTATAATTTCTTCAGACATGTGGGAAAAGAAAGAGTGAATAAAGTCATTCTCTGACTGCTGAGTGGCAAAATGTACTTTCTAGAGCATTGTTCATGTTAGTCTGACTACAAATGTAAATTTTCTGCAATTTATTTTTCATTCCCTCCCCTCCCAGAAAAAAATTGAAATATATGTGATATTCCATTTTATATCGTACCACTATTTACTGATCTAAAGTCACTTTATGCTATGAGAGCATACAGTGCAATATGTGTGAAGTTGTTTTCTCATACATTTACCCTGTTTTAATTTAATGAGTTTAAAAAAAGACCTGGAGGATTTTTTTTTTAAAAAAAAAAAAACCTGAGTTTTCACTTCTGTGGTCTTGAAATAGAGTCATTTGCAATCGTGTTCTGAAGAATTTAGAATGTTCTTCTGGAATACATCTTTTAATACATACATGTCCATTTAATTTCATATTCCTTGATCATTTAGATTATTTAATATTTTTATTCAGTCAATCATAATTTTTATTATGTTTGGCTAAGCTGCTGTTGTATTAACTCTGAAAATAAATGCCATATATGTAGTGTCTGATGAATATATTTTTATCTACAAATAATTGAGTTATATTGCTAGTCCTCTAGAAAATCAGGGCAGATCTAACTCTTAAATCAGAAATATAGTTTATAAATAATCCTAATGCAAGGAACTAATAACTATTTAAAACAGAAGTTACATTGCAGCTATAGATAGCTATTTTCGTCATTTGTTTATACTGTTCTCTCTTCCTCTTCTCCAACCCAGTCACTCATATTTGGAAAAGTTCCTAACAGAACAGATGATGGAAAGGAGGGAAGATGTATGGCTTCCATTGATTTCCTACAGAAATTCATTAGTGACAGGTGGAGAGGACGATAGGATGTCTGTGAATAGTGGAAGCAGCAGTAGCAAAACTTCTTCTGTTCGAAATAAGAAAGGTCGACCTCCACTTCATAAGAAAAGAGTTGAAGGTAAATGTGGCTTTAAAAATTATGTATTGTAGTCAGAATGTTAAATAAAAATATAACTTACTCATGACATTATTTGGTTCAAATGGTTTCTGGAAATTAAGCTAATATCTCTTTTTGAACCACTATTTCTTAACAACAGAGTGAAATATTATTTAATTAATGCTTTCCTGAGACAGAAATAAACAAAGCAATAGAGGTAATCCTTGACTTATGGCCACGATTGATTTCCGTTGCTAAATGAGACAGTTGTTAAATGAGTTTTGCCCCATTTTATGACTTTCCTTGATACAGTTGTTAAGTGAATCATTGCAGTTGTTAGCTAGTAATACGGTTGTAAAGTGAATATGGCTTCCCCATTGACTTTGCTTGTTAGAAGGTCACAAAAGGTGATCTCTTAACCCTGAGACACTTCAACCATCATAAATATGAACCAGTTACCAAGCATTTGAATTTTCATCATATGACCATGAAATGCTGCAACGGTTGTAAATGTGTCACAATTCATTTTTTTCAGTGCCATTCTAGCTTGTAATAGTCACTAAGGACTATAGGCAGGTTTGTGATCTTATGAGTCTTTTGCACTTAAATTATGCAGAAGATACCTTAGGATATTGCCTTTCAGCATAAACTGTGTAATACAGAATATGGAAAAGGAGTAAGAAGTAAAAAATAAAATAAAATTGGAAATGAAAAGGAAATCTAAGTACAAATAATTTACAACCAGTAACGTTTATTCTTCATTCTTTTCTAGCCTTGAAAACCACCTTTGTTTTTACCGCATGCATACACAGACTCATATATTCTGTTCTTAAAACTTTTCACTTCTTTCTCTTTGAGTATTTTATAAATTCTATCCAAATATGTCTGGAATGCTTGGATTTCCCAGTTTGATCTTCATCCCTTCAACTCATGTAACCAAACCTATCTCTGTAGAATCAGGCTGCAGCATAACAAAATTGACAAAAGTGAAGTGGGTCTGAATACATTCTAAATGCATTGTATATGTATGTGTGCAGTATATTGTATTATTTGCTGCATTATATTTAATAAGCCTTCAAACAGATTATTGTTAAGCATTTTTCCTGTTGGGATTGCATTTCATTAGTTGCTTTATTAATTAAGCAATAATAAATTAAGGTTGATATGTATATTTTACTTTAATAATTTATGGTTACATATCAGATGAGAATCTTGAAGGCTCTTGGCTGAATAGAAATGACAGCATCCAGACCCCAGGTGCTCTACAGACACCTCAGCTCACATCAACAGTGTTGAGAGAAAATACTCGACAAATTGGGGAGCAAATACCAGAGCATGAGCCAGAACCTGGATCTGAACAAGATTTTTTAAACAAGTATGTACCTGTGAAATATTTTTTGCAATAATAGGAAATTAATGTTAAAGTACTGCTGAAATTATGATTCCAGCAAAAATATCTTATGTTTAGTAAAGTGTAATTATGCAAATTCATTCTGTGAAGTTCAGAATGTTTTAAAACGGGTCCCCAACTCCCGAGCTGTAGACTACAAAGGTTGGGGACTGCTGTTTTAAAATATAAAACTAGAGCATATGACTTAGATTAATGAGATCCTCTGAAGCAATTAGATATCACTTCATTTTCCAGAGACACCCATACTTGAAAGCATCCTCTTCTAGCTACCTACTGCCACCTTTAAGATCACTAAAAGAAAAGAAACAACCTTTCTTTCCATTGTAATCAACTCCAGGAGACAGTGAGGGATAGGGGACTCTGGCTTGCTATAGTCTGTGAGGTTGAGATCTGAAGAGTTGGACACAACTTAATAACTGAACAACAACAACTAAGCAATATCATAGTTTCTCCACTACTTTAGTCTCCCACCCAACAGAGGAGGGATAAGATCATACCTCTTCCATATATCACCTGTATTCTAGAATGTATTCTAAAGATGAATCAAAGACATGTTTTTTCATACATGCTCACAGCTATCTTACATTCCCTGCTCCCATAAGGTTATTTCTCACCTAGCTACAGATATCAATTCCTAGAAATTCCTCAGTGAGAGGGATTATGAATCTGACATCTCAAAGTTTGTTTCAAAAGGTTCCTTTACAACTTCTCTAATAAATGAAGATAGGAATTCAACTAGCTAATATGCATGGCTATTGGGAACTGCAGGATCTTGCTTTATATGCTTATCATGCCTGCACTTTTAAGTTGGCTAAGGTTTAATGAACTATCTCTGTGTCATTGAAACTTTTTATCATGTTAAGGATCAGTATAAATATTTGGTCCCCCATCTGGTACCAAATTCTAATATTATGGAGCTAGCAAAATCCCAAGAAAATCTCACAGTTAGTGTCTGTAAATAAGGAAATAGAATGGGGATAATGAGATTGACATATTGCACAGATAAAAACTAATTGTAATTGACTGAGTACCAGCACTTTCCCAGGGAAAAATTGATCCATTACTTTTTTTCTAGTTGTTAGATGATAGCAGAGAAATTGTTTATATATTTTTGCCTTAGGCCTCCAGTGGCCAAGCAACAAATTAATACACACAAACATGAAAGTCAGAGTGAAGAAGATGTAAGTAGCCATAACTCTTTGGAGTCATGTAGTTCCATGACTTAAGAGGCTAGTGCATGGATTGAAGCTCTTTCGTTTGAGATTGAGGATTTGTTTAATGAAAACCCTGATTGTACTCTGCATAGAGTACAAAAGTTTAAACCACTGCTATATAGGCAGATTTGTATCTTTACAAGCAGAATATTTAGTGAACATAATTCTGGAATCCTGCTTATTCCAGAATGTGGCGTCTTACTCAGGGATTATAGTATTACCAGTCAATGCATCCATAAATGAACCTTTCCAGTTGAGAATCACTCAGAGGCCCAGCCAGGTAGCCATCCAACCCATAGCCAACATCACCTTATAATATGACATTGCTTTGGAAACTGACTGTCCTGGGATTGTGTCCCGATACGTGTCCATATCCCTAGGAATTCCTGGATCATAACTACCTCATTAAATAAGTAAGGTTCTACATTTAGGCAAGAAAAACCAAATATACAGGTATAGTATAGGGGGTACCTTGCTCAATAGTAGTAACTGTGAGAGGGACCTCGGAGTCCTAGTGAACAATCACTTAAATATGAGCCAGCAGTGTGCTGCAGCTGCCAAAAAGGCCAACACAGTGCTAGGCTGCATTAACAGAGGGATAGAATCAAAATCACGTGAAGTATTAATACCACTTTACAATGCCTTGGTAAGGCCACACTTGGAATACTGCATCTAGTTTTGGTCACCACAATGTAAAAAAGATGTTGACATTCTAGAAAGAGTACAGAGAAGAGCAACAAAGATGATTAAGGGACTGGAGGCTAAAGCATATAAGGAATGGCTGCTGGAATTGGATATGTCTAGTTTAATGAAGAGAAGGACAAGTGTTCCAATATCTCAGGGGCTGCCACAAAGAAGAGGGAGTGAAGCTATTTTCTAAGGCACCTGAAGGCAGGACAAGAAGCAATGGATGGAAGATAATCAAGGAGAGAAGCAACCTAGAACTAAGGAGAAACTTCCTGACAGTTAGAACAATTAACCAGTAGAACAACCTGCCACCAGAAGTGGTGAATGCTCCAACACTGGAAGTTTTTAAGAAGACAATGGACGGCCATTTGTCTGAAATGTTATAGAGTTTCCTGCCCAAGCAGGGGATTGGACCAGATGACCTCCACGGTCCCTTCCAACTTTATTATTATTATGGATCATCGCACAATCAGCCAGATGTTGAGACTGGATTTGGCATTTTGTCTACCTATCGAGTCCTTACCCAGGACCTGGGATAGGCAGATGTGGATGTTTGATGGTATTACAGATATCGTCTCAGGATGGAAGCAGTTCCTAGTAAGGCCGCCTTTTGCAATTGACTAATAGCGAATTTGTCAATGCCAATGGTGTTCAAGTGGTGCTCCAGTTGTTTTGGGATTGCACCCAAGGAGCCTATTACTATTGGTACTAGCCTTGCTTGCTTTTGCCACAGTCTTTCTATTTCTATTTGTAGGTCTTTGTATTTTGTTATCTTCTCCAGTTCTTTCTCGTCTATTCTGTGTCTCCAGGCACTGCCACGTCCACTATCCAGACTTTTTTGTCTTTCTTATCAACAATTATTAAGTCTGGGGTGTTAAGTTTCAGGTGCTTGTCTGTTTGAATTCTGAAGTCCCAGAGCAGTTTAATTTTATCATTTTCTATGACTTTCTCATTATTATTATTATTATTGATCATCACACAGTCAGCCAGATGTTCAGACTGGATTTGGCATTTTGTCTACCTATCGAGTCCTTACCCAGGACCTGGGATAGGAAGATGTGGATGTTTGATGGTATTACAGGTATCGTCGCAGGATGGAAGCAGTTCCTAATAAGGACGCCTTTTGCAATTGACTAATAGCGAATTTGTCAATGCCAATGGTGTTCAAGTGGTGCTCCAGTTGTTTTGGGATTGCACCCAAGGAGCCTATTACTATTGGTACTACCCTTGCTTGCTTTTGACACAGTCTTTCTATTTCTATTTGTAGGTCTTTGTATTTTGTTATCTTCTCCAGTTCTTTCTCTTCTATTCTGCTGTCTCCAGGCACTGCCACGTCCACTATCCAGACTTTTTTGTCTTTCTTATCGACAATTGTTAAGTCTGGGGTGTTATGTTGCAGGTGCTTGTCTGTTTGAATTCTGAAGTCCCAGAGCAGTTTAATTTTATCATTTTCTATGACTTTCTCTATTTTATGATCCCACCAGTTTTTGCTTACAGGCAAATGATATTTTTTGCAGATCTTCCAATGCACCATTGTTGCTACTTTGTCATGCCGCTGCTTGTAATCAGTCTGTGCAATCTTCTTGCAACAGCTTACCAAGTGGTCCACTGTTTCTTCAGCTTCTTTGCATAGGCGGCACTTACTGTCTGTTGCTGTCTTCTCAATTTTGACTTTGTATGTATTTGTCCTTAAGGCTTGGTCTTGTGCAGCCAGAATTAGTCCCTCGGTCTCTTTCTTCAATTTTCCTGCTCTTAGCCATTGCCAGGTTTTATTATTATCTGCTTTCCCAGCTATTTTTTTCATGTATTGGCCATGTAGTGCTTTGTCTTCCCATGCCTCTATTCTGTTCTTCATTTGGTCTTTCTTGTAGGCCAGTTTGGTCTCTCCAGTAGTTAGTAAGCCTTCCTGATATACTAATTTCAGTGCATCTTCATCATTGTTCTTCAGATATTCTTCCAAAGCCATTTTTTCTTCTTCAACCATCTGATGTACTTGTAGCATTCCACGCCCACCTATTTGCCTTGGTAGATAAAGTCTATCAATGTCACTGCGTGGATGAAGGGCATGATTCATTGTCATTATTTTTCTGGTCTGCCTATCCATTGCTTTTAGTTCTGCTTGAGTCCAGTCCACTATTCCAGCTGTGTACCTAATGACTGGGATTGCCCAGGTGTTGATTGCCTTTATGGTATTTCCTCCATTGAGTTTGGACTTTAAGATCTTCTTCACTCTCTTGATGTATTCACCTCTAATCTTTTTCTTGACTTCAGTGTGCTTGATGTTGTCAGCTTGAAGGATACCCAAGTATTTGTAGTACTCTTCCTCATCCAGACTCTTAATGTTATTTTCGTGGGGCATCTTGATTCCTTCAGTTTTCACTATTTTTCCTTGTTTGATAGTAAGTGTGGCACATTTGTCCAAGCCAAACTCCATTACAATATCTTGGCTATATATACGGACAGTGTTGAGCAGCGATTCTATTTCAGATGATGTTTTTCCATACAGCTTCAGATCATCCATGTAAAGGAGGTGGGATAGTCTTGCAGATGTTTTTGATGTTTGATAGCCATGTCCTGAGTTATTCAGTATTGTTGACAGAGGAAACAGTGCAATGACAAATAGTAATGGTGGTAATGAATCTCCTTGAAATATTCCTCTCTTGATATTAACCTCTCCCAGCTTATTATTATTATTATGGATCATCGCACAGTCAGCCAGATGTTCAGACTGGATTTGGCATTTTGTCTACCTATCGAGTCCTTACCCAGGACCTGGGATAGGCAGATGTGGATGTTTGATGGTATTACAGATATCGTCGCAGGATGGAAGCAGTTCCTAGTAAGGCCGCCTTTTGCAATTGACTAATAGCGAATTTGTCAATGCCAATGGTGTTCAAGTGGTGCTCCAGTTGTTTTGGGATTGTGTTGTTGTTGTTATTATTATTATTATTATTATTATTATTATTATTATTATTATTGTGGATCATCGCACAGTCAGCCAGATGTTCAGACTGGATTTGGCATTTTGTCTACCTATCGAGTCCTTACCCAGGACCTGGGATAGGCAGATGTGGATGTTTGATGGTATTACAGGTATCGTCGCAGGATGGAAGCAGTTCCTAATAAGGCCGCCTTTTGCAATTGACTAATAGCGAATTTGTCAATGCCAATGGTGTTCAAGTGGTGCTCCAGTTGTTTTGGGATTGCACCCAAGGAGCCTATTACTATTGGTACTACCCTTGCTTGCTTTTGCCAGTCTTTCTATTTCTATTTGTAGGTCTTTGTATTTTGTTATCTTCTCCAGTTCTTTCTCTTCTATTCTGCTATGGCGCCTATTACTATTGGTACTACCCTTGCTTATTATTATTATTATTATTATTATTATTATTATTATTATTATTATGTATGTTCAGACTGGATTTGGCATTTTGTCTACCTATCGAGTCCTTACCAAGGACCTGGGATAGGCAGATGTGGATGTTTGATGGTATTACAGATATCGCCGCAGGATGGAAGCAGTTCCTAGTAAGGCCGCCTTTTGCAATTGACTAATAGCAAATTTGTCAATGCCAATGGTGTTCAAGTGGTGCTCCAGTTGTTTTGGGATTGCACCCAAGGCGCCTATGACTATTGGTACTACCCTTGCTTGCTTTTGCCACAGTCTTTCTATTTGTAGGTCTTTCTATTTTGTTATCTTCTCCAGTTCTTTCTTTTCTATTCTGCTGTCTCCAGGCACTGCCACGTCCACTATCCAGACTTTTTTGACTTTCTTATCGACAGTTGTTAAGTCTGGGGTGTTAAGTTGCAGGTGCTTGTCTGTTTGAATTCTGAAGTCCCAGAGCAGTTTAATTTTATCATTTTCTATGACTTTCTCTATTTTATGATCCCACCAGTTTTTTCTTAGAGGCAAATGATATTTTTTGCAGATCTTCCAATGCACCATTGTTGCTACTTTGGCATGCCGCTGCTGGTAGTTGGTCTGTGCAATCTTCTTGCAACATAATAATAATAAAAATATTATTATTACTATTTTATTATTATTATTATTATTATTATTATTATTATTATTATTATTATTATTATTATTATTATTAAATTCATCGAAATGTTCCCTGCTATTCAGCCAGACATTCCATACAGCCTCATTCATTAGATATATTCTAAAGTGATCCTAGTATGATCTTTATAATGCCATCCCCTTGTGTTGCCCTTCCATCAAATGCCTTCATTGAGTCCATTGTGGATCCCTATAAAGTAAATAATCACATCTATTTGAAGTTGCTAATAGTCTTAAATCAGTGTATATTTAAGAACAGGTTTATGATCAGGACAGTAGCAACTACTTTCAAACAAAATATCTGTAATTTGATTTTTAAAAATGAGACAAAATCACATATTCAGGATTTGAAAATAATGCCTCCAGTACTACATTTTCTTAGTACCCTTCCATCTCTTTTGCCAACAAATATTCTTGCAGTTGTTCTCAGCTGTTCTTTTTCAGTATCCTATGAATTGCAGTTGAAGAGGTTATCTCATAGTGCCAGCCCATAGTTTATGGTTTTACTTTAAGCATAATCACCTTTGCATGAAGTACTGCGGTAGAGTTGTTTATAGTATACATTCTCTACCAAATGTACAGTATTTCTGTACAAGTGGAAAGGCAAGCTATTCTAAAATGCTTTCATTTTTTTCTCCTAGTTATATAGTGGTCAAAACTGATTGGAGCACATATCCTCATTCTTCACAGTGGCCATGCCTATCCTGGTTTACTTCCATAGTAGGTCTGTCCCAACATCATTACCAGCATCTCCCAATTATTCACAATCTCTTATCAGAGCCAAAGGCAATTTTTGTTATCCAGTTCTCACCACATTCAACCTGCCTGCCAGGAAAATCTAATGGCATTGGGATAAAATAGAACAAATGTTGGTTGTGATCAGGAAGCCATCCACACAGAACGCTTATAATTAAACATGGAAACAGTTCTTATTTGCTGTGCTTCCTCATATGGGATTCATATGATTTTTCATTCCTCATCTCCATAAGAATTAAAAAAATCTTAATTCATCATTATCAGGACTCGAGAATAGTGCTAGTTTTCATGCACCAGTTAAAGCTTTTCTGTTTTTCTGCATCCTACAGTTAAGCATTTGGAGATCCAGTGCTTTTATAGAGCTCATTTTAGTACTCTTAGTGCCAGTTAAAAAGCCCCTCAATTTTGAGTCACACCTGTTTATTTGGAAGATTGTATTCCAAAGACTGAGTCACACCTGTTTATTTGGAAGACTGTATTCCTTCTTCCAAAAAGAAACCAAGAGAGAGAACTTGCAACAGTCAGATTTGGTTTTCCCTATTTGACATTTCAGGGGACAAGATTACTCCTCTTAACCCATCCTTCTCACCAATGATAATTTCTTTTGAATGAGTTTATACTTCTGATACTCTTTCCTAACTCACTTATTATTTTGGAACAGGTCTTGCATACCGTAAATATCTTTTAAAGATAGGGACCGATTTATATTGTATGAGAGGCTTCACAAACACTGGTTTTCTTCCAAATATTCTCTAATTGGGTAATAAATGCAATTGTCTTATGTTGCCAGCTAGCATGTGCATTCTGATTTGAAAATATGCAGGGGTGTACTATTAAGAGGTACATATCCATTTGGGTTGCAATTCTTAATCACATTATCTGCAGGAAATCTTTATAGCAGCAACCTGGATCATAGTAGGATGTTTATTAAATGTTATCAATGGGATATACACACTAAAAATAATACAATTATCCCTTACTTTCTTTATTTTATCGTAATCTGAATCCACTTCCAAAGCAATAAACTTTTTATTCACTTGTATAGATGATTCACAGCGATTGTTATGAAGAAGAATTGGTTACACATCTCTAATTCCTACCTTGGAATGGTCACTTATGAACTGCCGCCTTCAAACCCCCCTCCCCCCCAATCATGTGATTTCTTATTTGTGGAATCATTTTGGTGGTCAAAGACATGAGGAGTAAACCATGTCTTTATGTATATTGCATGGCAGCAGACATCCTGCCAAAACAGTTCCTTAAACTCTAGAATTTCCCAAAAAAGATATTGCACAGGTGCAATTCTGTATATCTGTATGTTCACAGATGTATCTTTCAAAACACTATAAAGTAACCAATTCTAAGTTGACAAATTCAGGCTTGCTTAATATTTAGTGGTGATAAAAATTAGCAGATGTCAGTATTTACATTTAGCTCATTACATTACTATATCCAGCCCTGTTATCTCATATGAGCACTTACATGTGGTTCTTCTCCCTGCTTTCTCTCAAATAATTAAAACAATCATAGTGATTTGTTTAGTTTAACAGATGTCAACATTATTCCGTGAGTTACAAGAGTAAGAATTTAAGTATAAGATCCCTGATCCTACTCTAAAACAATTGAATAGTTTTTCATTGAGAAGTAACATTAAAAATAATGTTAAATATTCATATTATGATCTTCTAAATTCATTCTTAAGTCCTCAGATGCAAATATCTTGGTTGGGTCAGCAGAAATTAGAAGATTTAAGTCGAAAGGATAGGACGGGAATGAGCTACATGAAAGGAAGAAGTGGTGTGAGACATACAGTGTAAGTATTCAATAGGAACCAGGAATACATTTAGGTGTGTAATTATTTTAACAATTAGTGGATAAAAGTTACTTTAATTTTACTGTGTGTAACCATATATATTTTGGATTTTCTATAATACTGTGATGCTGGAGCCCTCTAGCCAAAATTATGAAATTTCTGCATTTTGTGTGATTACAAATATTTAAATATTTGTAAATATATAGTTTAAAATATAAAAATACAAAGTATTTATAATATAAAATATTTATTTAAAACAAAATTTTAAAATATCAAATCAAGTGCTTAAATTGCAATGAAAATAGATTTTTTAAGTTAGGATGTGCATATAATGGGAAATGTGTTCTGAGTTCAGAACAGGACCTCCCCCCCAAAAAAAAAATAAAACATCCCTTAAGTGTTTTGAATGTGAGAAAAGCGGGATTAAGAATAAGCCTTTATGGCTTCAAGAATTTGAACAATTCTTTTATTAGAAATTTGTAACTCAAATTTCAAATCTCAAATCATGAAGCTAAATAAGTAATTTCTCTAGGAATTTAGATATTATATTTAAAGGGCAAGTGAGGAAAGTTGAGCTGTTTGTTGGTTTTTTATTCTTCACACAACTTTTTTGGTCCATTATTTCCTCCACAGTAAGAGGCCATTCTGGAAGAGAATAGAGTATCTCATCCACTTGCCAAGCATTGGGCACTTTGTTAATTCATTCTTCACAGTGCCAGCTGATGGCACCACTTTTGCCTCAAGAGGAGAAAGCAAAGTACTAAAATCTTTCCCGTGACTAGCAAATGCTGCCATTTATGTGGGGAATATAGTTTTGATAATGTGCTTACCTAGCTTTTAGCTGGGCAATGCAGGAGTAGGGAGCTTAAAAGTAAGCAGAAAAAGAAAGGTTCTGTTTAATGTATTTGTATCTATAGGTAACCTTTAGTGCCACCATAATACACTTTTGAAACTGCTTGAATGAATGAATTAATAATTAGTTTTAGCTAAGCAAGTAGGTTTTATTTGATAACGGGGATTTGTAGTTTTTTAGGGGTCAAAAAGGGGACTGATTTTAAAAACAAGGGGATGGGAGAGATGAGAGAATCCTTGTCTCTGTCTCGCTAATTAAATTATTATCAAACTGAAATGAACATAAAGAACAAATAAAATGGGATTGAGGCTACCAAGGCTGCCTCAGAGTCAGATAGGCCCTCCAGTACGCAGCCAAGTTCTTTTAGTTAGTCACTACTACTATAGTCTAGTATAAAATCCAGTGGTTCCTCTCAGCAATTTCTTCTCCATAACTGTTTCTCCAATAAATCCTTTTCTAACATCTTTTGCAAAGAATGGCTCCTTCTCTCCGTTATGTGTTCTTTAAAGAGCCTATTGCTTGGTTCCAAAACTCTCCTCAGATCACTCCTATTGTTGCTATGTGATTAGTTCCTTCTGCTACACTAACACTGGCAGGATAATTTTAAAAATATTATCCCATTCACAAGAGACAATTTCTAATCCTAGCTACTAAAGTGGAATGGAATATTCAAAACATGTCTAAAATAACAATATTCCAGATTATGTGTAGAATAAAACATCTGGAATATGTGTTTTTTTAAAAAAAACAAAAAGCAAATTCATTTTCAGATATACATAAAAATGCAAAATAAAAAGATAATTTATCATACACAAAAACAAAAGAATTTTACTCAATAAGTATATATAAAGAACAAAAAAAGCTGTAACCACAACTTTATCTCAAATTCATCTGATATTGTAAGTCTTTAAAATAAGCTTTCGCTGTGGACAAATTTGTTCAGAATTTCTTCCAAAACAGAAAATTAATGAGACATTTTTTCATTAACCAAATATATACTTTTCTAAAGCACACAGCTCTAAAATCCATTCCTTTATATCTGGAATTACAGTATTTTCCAATCTTGTAAGGATTATTTTTTTGCTATTGTTAGAGTATGGAAAAGTAATTTTTATTCTGAACATGTTAAAGTTCAAGTACTCGGTATATAATTCAATACAATATACATGTCCTTAGAAACTAGTTTTCTCAATAATTCTGTCAATATATTGTATAACATTAGTCAAAAAGGGTGTAAGGAACAAGATGATCACAATAAAATTGAGTTACAATGATCTCAAATTTCTTGCAGTGCTAACACTGCATCATTAGTCCATCCTTTAAAAATAATTCTAGATGTTTCCAATAGATACAAAAAACAATGTCTTGATGGATTAATTTCAGTATTAAATCACAGAACATGAATTTAGCATTCTTAAAAACTTAAATTCACTGGTTGAAAAGAACCAGAATTTTCAGCTATTGATTCCAAAATTCTTCTATATTGATTACAGATGCTTTAAATTTCCCTTTAGCTTTTAACAGAAATAAGTAGGTTTGGATTCTGATATTGAATAACATGATAGTTATTTTAGAAGCTGCTAAAGCAGGTGTGTTAAACTGGCAGCCCATGGGCCAGATTCATCACACACAGGCCCCACCCACCCTGGCTCTGCAAAAGCAAAAAACATTGCAATATGTCACAATATATCACGTGACGTGATCGAGTTTGACACCCATGCGCTAAAGTATCAGGTCCATAAAACCTGTTTTAATCAGATTTATCTCAATATTTTGTATTAATGGTAAAGAAAATTCTGTTTGCAGTTGCTGAAAATATTTGAAGTAATTATTAAACATGTATTATGATCAAGCATGAGTCATCCAAAACCAGTTCTTCTTTTTGCAGAATAGTACATATTCAGAATATTTTGTATAGTCCTACTTTTAACGAAAAAACACCCTGAATACATATGAGAATTTTTAAGAACAAGCATTTATTTTGTGCTCAAGGCTGTATATAAAGCTCCCACCTATTCAACAATTGTGTGAATGGATTGGGCTGAGAATGTGACAGGCACAAATCATCTGCTTTCTTCAGTCAATATCTACTCATATATTTAAAAGTATTCAGAAGTATTATGTTCAGGAGTTTCTCAGCAAAATAAATATGGCTGATGAGTGAGTTTTCTATTCTTCTCCTATACATCTTCCCACGCTCGATCTTTTTCAAGGAATTAAAATCCTTCTATAGCAGATTTGAAAATTATCATAAAAGGAAGGAAAGAAAGGAATTTCCCTTTGCATGAGTAAATGAACACAGACGGGTATGTCAGACTTTATTATTCAACTTTATTACTGATATTTTTGTACTTCTCCTGTCTCCCAACAAGGCGGGGTCTCATGGAGGATGATGCTGAGCCTATCTTTGAAGATGTAATGATGTCTTCCCGAAATCAGCTAGAGGATATGAATGAAGAATTCGAAGATACCATGGTTATTGATTTGGTCAGTAATTTTATCATTACAATATTTTTTTTGTTAAAATGTGGCTACCAATAAAACTAAACAACATTTAAGCAATATAAACAGTAGTTCCTAGGTATCCTGCTATAAAGGGAAGTGGGTGAGAAATAATTGTTAAAATAATTATTTTTCAGTATGGGCCTGTCAACCAATATATAGATAGATATTTTTCATATTGTTACTTCAGCCTTGGAATCTCTAAAGTTTATAATAAATCATGGTTTGAATTCTTGTAACTTCTTTCATCTTTTTTAGTTTAAAATAATCTGTATAAAAGATTGGTACTGAGAAAGACTTTCTTTACAGCCTCCTTCAAGGAACCGAAGAGAACGAGCTGAATTGAGGCCAGATTTTTTTGATTCTGCAGCTATCATTGAAGATGATTCAGTAAGTTCTTGAACAATATTATTTATAATTTAATGAATAATTTTCTACAGCCTAACTTTATTTTCCATTGTATTTTCTAGGGATTTGGAATGCCAATGTTCTAAAATCTGATGAAGACATTATACAAATCTGGAACTCTGTTCTTTAGAGCTCAAGGCCTATATACTGTGATAGCTAATATTAAAACCACATTTTGATGTGATTTGGTTTGATTTTTAACCAAATGATTAAAGTCATTTCCTTTTTGTAATGACAGAGAAGAGGAGCTTCTGAATGAAACAAATATTGGCCAATCAGTCAACTCAGAAAGGCTGACCTGCAAATCATTTATTTTCTCTGTCCTTGACAGTCCTAATACAGGTTTTTTTTTCTTGAATAGGGAGAAGCTTTTAAATTAAGACTATACAGTTCTACGTATGTTTTCAGAAAACATTGAATGAAAACAAAACTTTTTAACTTTATTTTTCTGCTGTACAACTTCAAAATGTTTTAACATTTGCCTTTTTATGTTTTAGAAGCTAGCCATTTTTATTAAATTTATGCCTGTCAGCCATTGACCAGCAGCGATGCTAATCAGCAAGCCATCCTGGTTGGAGAAGTGTTGTTAAACACACTGAATATGACTAGCAGTATGGTACACTTCTAGATCTTCTCTGACCATTGAGAGCGGAGCAGTCTTACAAAAGATGTTAAAAGTCAGATGTGTACATCTCTGCCAAAAAGTCAGATTCTGAAAAGAAAAAAAAAACAGATTTTATACTTCTGAGAAGATTTATTTTTATTTATAATGGGGCATAAGAATAAGAGATGTCCATGAAGCCACTTTTCCAACAGATGCTGTGTAACATTCATTTTATATAGCACTAGGGGAACACACAAACAGCACATTTTCTATTGGTACTTGTTCTGTGCATTTTTAGCAACTTATACCAGCAAATAAAATATTCTCAGTAAAATAAACCAGTGGTTCTACAGTAATCTATTTGCTGTTTCTACTACCTATTTCACTCCCCATCAGACCTGAGGTGCAAAAGCAGCAACTTTCTTATAAAGCATAAATCACAAAGGGAAAAAGGCGGGGGTGTGGGTGGGACATGAGTGGGACAGGACATTTACATTTTCAAAGCAATTTTAACTGTATCATAGAGAAGTGTTTATCTTTCCATGCCGTAAATATCCTTTTGTGCTATTTTTGTAAATTAATTTTGCCAATTAGATTTATTGTATGTGCTGCATAGAAATTGTGTTTAGATGGTGACGTTTTAAGCTTACAATGGAATACAGCTACAGTCTCAATGTTAACTGTGCATTAATAAGAGTAATTACTACATGATCTTTAAGCAGTTCAATCCAAAAAGTAATAAGCTGAATCATTGTTCTAAGAAATTTTCCATGGTGTTCAGTGATCTGGTCTTTTATTCTGCTTAAATATTACAATTCTTCCTGGTAGCTGCTAGTGTAGTTAAAGGATTTTTTCTTCACTTGTTGTGAGCGTAGCTCCAGCTAATAAGAACATCTGTTAAAATGAGGCCAAACTAATAATCTTTTTTTTCCTCTTTTGGGGGGAATTTGAATGTAAGAAACTCAGAAGCAGATCTTAACTCATATCTGATACATCCACTGTAGAAGTGCTTTTATATAACAACAGCAAAACAACTGTAGTCTCTCTTTTTAAAAGGTCCTTTAATGATTTAAATTATATTTAATGCATATCTGTTGAAACTTAAAAATTTAAGATCAAATAATGCTACTTTCATTTAGCATTTGAGACTTGTACCTCTAATATTTGTACTTGTCTCAAAATTATGATTACTAAAAACATTTGACCCATTAATTCAGCCATTCCTTTAATGTAGCTGTTTAGAAATTTTAAAGTTGCTAAAGTCACTGGGCTGGTGCTTCAGGACAAAGTGCAAGTTCTCTTGAAAAAGTGGTAAAAATTATTGCAAGTAGTCCTTCAGTTTGATGGGCAGAATCATACTGGTTTTGGTTTGAACCCAACATAGGCAAGTCTTGCATCCCACCACCCTTCAGATGAAAAACTGAAATGTCATTGATCATTACAGAATTCTATAAAACAAAAGCTGTTTGCAAGCAAGTTACCTCCAATGGGTTTCCAGTTTAGTTTTCAATCAGTAGGGTTTTTTAAATGTGTCTCCTTGATTGGTTTTGCTAGTAATTCTGTAAATTGTACATTTACAACATGAGGGTTTTTTTCCTTTTGTACAATTTAAAACTGATGCTTCACTTTTCCTTTAATAAACTCCTCAAAATCATATGTCCAGTAGAGTCCTTTCCACAAAAGCATTTCAAACTAGTGCTTTCTCTTCCGTTTGCCTTCCATTTAAAAAAATCTTATAGTGAAGCTTGGAAAACTGGATTCATTGCACTTGTCATGGTTACTTATGTTACTGCTTGCCCAACATTTCTAGGAAAATATAATATTTTCTTTCTCAGTGGAAACAAAAAATGTTTATGGTCCCTCTGTATCACAGATGTGGAATTTGGGCATAGTATTTCACAGGAAGTCTTCCCATATTAAAAGCCAGATCACATAGCAACATTGTAAGAAACCTTTTTTAGGTAATAGTTAAGTAGACCATTGTTCTTCCAGAGTTTTCCATATTTATTCCATATTTAAATTATTTGGTTCATTTCTTTATTAGTTTTTGACTGATTGACTACATTTTTATCCTGTCTTTAACTTTTGACTACCTGCAGAGTTAGGTTATAATAATTATTTTCCTCTAAAGGTATTGTGGCTTGTTTATGGACTTTATGGTGCCCCAAACTGGATACAAGGTTCTTGGAGCATTCTGATGCAGAATATAGGAATGATTTTCATGCTCTTCATTATATTTTTGTTGATAGTGCCAGGGGTTGTATTTCCTTTTTTGAGTGACTGGGAGAAGAATAGCAGGAGTAGCATCACAGCGTGGTTCATGTTCAGCTGGCGATTTTCCACAACTGTAGATATTCTTCATGCATACTGCTGCCAGGTATAATTCCTCCCAGCCCATATTTACACCTTGATTCAGCCACCATTGTATCTATCCAATCCCTTTTTTGTAGAGCAAATGGCCTGTATGCCATTTAAAAAAAAAGTACCAGTTTCAATATTGTCAATTGATTTGATTTTAGAATTGTCATCTTTTTTTAAAAAAAGTATTTTTCTATAAATAATTGTGTGAATAATTGAACAAAAGTTGCTGCTCCATGGAGCTTTTCTGTAATGCTAATGCTACATCTTTCAAATTTTCAGGCAATGTTTTGCTCAACGTTTTATTTTCAAAAGTGGTAATTTTAACACTTGTACATTTATATGATGTGATAGTGAATTATGTATCTTTAGAAATGGTTCACCCTATATCCTGGCATAAAGACAAGGTTATCTCACAGCTACATTCTTACTTTTGTATCCTAGTTTGGACTAACATAGCCTACCATAGTTTCCAGTTTTCATGTTAGCCAGGATAGGACTATTATGCCTATCATAATAGGCATTATTGTGGACTCGGATTACCATGTTTGTCATTAAATTGTTACTATTATTACTATTACATTGTCTTATCAACATATTCCCAGTATCACCCCAGTGTTCATGCCTCGTCCACTAGAACAACAGCTATGTTGACTGCATTCATCAGGGGTACCCCCTATCCCAAGGGTAGGCAACCTTGGCTCTTTTATGACTCGTGGACTTCAACTCCCAGAATTTCTGAACCAGCATGGCTGGCTCGGGAATTCTGGGAGTTGAAGTCCACGAGTCATAAAAGAGCCAAGGTTGCCTACCCCTGCCCTATCCTGATACTGCAAGATTTTTGCCATTTTGCAAACTAAAACCAACTAGATGTTCAAACTAAATGCAGAGTGTATGAATGCTGTCTTATTGTCCATGATATCTTAATTGAACTTCTTATCCTCACTCTATTTGCTCTCCCATATTTGTGATGCAGATAAATCATGATGAAAATAATAAATTGCTTACCTGTAGTACATCCATATGAACCATCAACTTTCCACCTCTACCATTTGGTTTCCTAGGACCACAGTGATAGTCCAAGAATTGAGATGCCAGTGTGATCTAGCTATTGAGGAAATTGACATTCTGGCAAAATTTTTGCAGCATTAGTTTGCATACATACAAGCCATCATTTAGTACAGTATGAATTCATATAGTTCAGTAACTAGTTACAAATAAGGAATTTCTTATTCTGTTCATTGGTTACCTTTTTGAAAAATAAGATTCCCCATTCTTCACATGTTCAAATAAATAGCATTTCAATGCCTATGTGAAAGTGAAATCAAGTGGAATTGTGATCTGAAGTGTGTCCAAACTCCACAGTTCAAGAGCTGGTAGAAAATGAGAGATTGTTTTCACTGGAGGAGCAAACCTCTGGTGTTTATGATGTAACATTCACCTATTTTTACAAAAGGGTTCCAGTATTCTATAATTACTGTTTAATTCTTGCTCAGTGTCCTAAAGATCTGACATTCCACTGCCGTATTATAGGGGTTTTGCCAAAATTGTGAATTCTATGAATTTACAGAAAAAAATGCTTGAATGGTAAGTACATCGTACTGGTTGGAAATTCTAGTTTTGTCTATATCTGGAGGATTACCAGGTTGGAAAAGTTATTGTTGAGTAAATATTCATTGTCACTGCCAACTGTTAATTTAGAAACTTAACGAATGACAAGAGTTTAATTATATTTTTGTCTCCAAGAGAGATAAGAAACTTAACTAGATTCTCTCCTTCATATGATATGTTCAAATTGGACTATAAAAACACTGAGTATTTAGTCAATATAACTTCAGGAAGAATTTACAGTTTAAAGGCTGAAAATGATGCTCTCAGCAATGATGAAAGGTAGATAACAGTTACTGTATTTTCTGTTGAAAAAGACTGCCGTTGTAATTATTTTCTTTGTTCAGGTTTATTTTTTAAACATTTAATATATAAAATACAAAGAAAAATAGCCATTTCTTAGCCATTTCTATAACAATAAATCTATCTAATCGACAAAAAAAATTCATTTTTTTTATCACAAGCATTAAATCCAGAATTGATACCCAAGTGGAAAAAAGAAAATATATTCTCCTCTTGAATACAATGATCAATTTAACCATTCCTGCTTTATCTTCCTTGCTATGGAAATAGTGTGTATTTCTATTTGTGAACTATCACCATTTTTATTAACAAAGCTCACTGTATTCTTTCAGATTCTTTGGCCTTACAGGGAAAAATACCGTATATGCCGGCGTATAAAATGACTTCCGGAAGCGCTAAACTCGGCGCCAAAGACGGGGGTCGTCTTATACACCGAGTCTCTTATACGCCGGAAATACTGGTAGTTTCCGGCGTATAAGTTCTAGGAATGCTGCTCAGTGATAAAGACGGGGGTCGTCTTATATGCCGGGTCGCCTAATACGCCGGCATATACGGTACTCTTTTTTTCACCATTTTTAAAATGCTAAACTTTTCTTTAAACATCTTTCTAAAATCAAAACTTTCTAATGCAACTTTTTCTTTAACTTCTTAAGTATAGGTTTGAACTTCAGGATTAAATACATATTACTAATTTCATTAAAAACACGAATCCTGGGTATAGTCCTATTATAAAAACAAACAAACACAAACACCAAGAAAAAAGTTTTAAACTAAAAGCGTTTAATTTAGTGCCAAGCTTTCGTTGGCCAACTGCCGACATCATCAGGGCTTAAAACCGGTCGATAGGTGTCTCCTTTATAGTGCTAGTCAGTTTGTGCACACGGCTCCTGGACCTCGTCATCGGCCCTACTTGATTGAGCTGCGTGTTGGTTATATTCTGGATGTTGATTGATGTACCACTCCGTTACCTGTTGTGCTTCCTCCACTCTCCTCCTTTGTGCATGTGTTGTTATCTATCTCCTCACTACAGGCTCCTGAGTTCGGCATACTCCTTCCTCCCCCCCCTTTTTTGGCTGTTTGTTTCCTGCGTATTTTCCCAGTTACTGCTACTTGCTCCATTGGGCTGTGTGCTGGGTATTCTCCTCTCATCTTTCCCACCCGCTATCCTTCCCATATGCTCATGGCCATGTCCTACGCATACATCACCTATGGTCTCTACCCCCTCTTCCTCGTCTCCGATGCTCATTACGTTTGCATTGCCCCGATGACGAGGTCCAGGAGCCGAGTGCACAAACTGATTAGCACTATAAAGGAGACTCCCATCGACCGGTTTTAAGCCCTGATGATGGCAGTTGGGTGACGAAAGCTTGGGTCTAGATTAAACGCTTTTAGTTTAAAAAAATTTTCCTGGTGTTTGTTTGTTTTTATAATATATGCAAATGCAGGTCTTGGTGTATTCATGTCTTTTCCCATGTAAGATTAAGAGTATCTTGGTGACGTTTCGACGAGGTCCCACTTGTCATCTTCAGGCTGGGGTCTTCGGCTTCGTGCTTGTGCGAGCAAAGTGTGATTGGAACTGCTGTCTCTATATATATATATATTGGTGGGGGTGTGTGGAGTGCTGGCTTAGTTGCCATAGGTGGATTGGTTGGCTATGTAGGAGTTATTTTTTGTGGATTGTTTGGCTGTTTCGTAACATCCTGAGTAGTTGAGGTGCTGGCTGTGTGCCCATTAGTCTTTTGTGTTGTAACGACCTGGGTAATGGGTTGTGTGATGACATCCTGAGATCTAGTGTAGTAATATCCTGAGTTCTGTGTTGCATCATCCTGGGTGGTTGGCTGTGTTATAACATCCCGAGCTTTGGCGTTGTAGCCTCCTGAGTTCTATGATGTGATGTCCAGGGCTGAAGCCAAAGACCCCAGCCTGAAGATGACGAGTGGGACCTCGTCGAAACGTCGCCAAGATACTCTCAATCTTACACGGGAAAAGACCCGAATACACCAAGACCTGCATACCTATACCCGTGAAAATCTACGAAAATACACACACACACACACACACACACAAACACACACATTTTCAAATTTTGGATTAAGACTTTCAATTACAAATATCAAATAAAAAATTCATCCTCAATCCAATTAACTCATTGTCTTCATGGAGCAAAATCTTTTTTGGGGGGGGGGGGGAGAGTTTATCAAGTAGTTATAAGCCTCCCTTTTAATCAAGGATTTTTCAGCCTTGTTAATGTCCTTAAAGAAAAAGTCCCAAACTTGTCTTTTTAAGAGTTGCAGATTTTCTTGAAGTTCTTCTTTCAGTTGTGTTGAGAGATTTATGTTTAAACCATCATAATAAAGCTGGTGTCAGGTTTATATTCCAAAATTGCA